TTTATTAGCAGCTTCATGGCGAGCAGAGTACCCATTCAAGCCGGAAAGCAATTGCTGACAACTGACCAGATGAATTTTCCGCATGACGTACTAGCAGGATTGATTGGGCATCTGTCGTCAATTCAGCCATACTGCCCGGTACACGTGTATAATTCCGTTATCCATTTGTCAAAGCCAGCATTGGAAAGGAATGGGTAATGAGAGTCCAAACTTTATCAGATCGGGATCCATTGCACCGACCCACCTGAAATGGAGGATCAGGACGTGAATGGTATGGGACAGCCGCCCTAGTTGCCAATACTGCCTGCCGAGCAACTGATCACAAGAAAACAGCTCCTCTAGAAAGTAGGGTCAGCAAGCAGCCAAGCAGGGACTTTGATTCGTTTCGATCAAGACGAAACTACGTATCTCTCCTCACCTCGCCTGGGACTTTGTCTTTTTCGAGGGAATCGCAGGAGGGGTGTGGGTGTCATGACGAGAAAAAGTCCGAATACTGTAGCTCTTACAGTGAAAGTGTGCCTCGCGACAAGTTGTGCGACATTTGGGCCGCACGCCCGGTAACGTTTAATCCTGCTGCGGGACCGCCTATAGGCTACACTAGACGGGCTGCACTGTATGTAGGTAATGTAGGGTTGCTGCTCGCTCGCTCGAGCCAGAACATGGTGGTAGACATCCTTACCCTTTACAACCTCGCACGTCCTCTCGCTCGATCCTCTCCCACCACCACCTTGCGACACACACACACTGTCTCTTTGACGATGCGAATTTTGTCCCACGCTCTCTTGATGATGGAATCGTGGCATGGCTCCCCTGCTAGGATCCTGTAGGTGATCCCGCCTTTCGCCTAGCTTCCTCGTCCTCCCGCACGAATCCCAGCCTAGTCTTGAGCTGGGAAACTTGGACGCGGCGGCGTGCGGGTTAGCTGCCATTGGATAGCGGTTGTCGGGAGGACGACTGGAGACAACCCCATGCTAAAAGAGCTCTCCAGCATTGCAGCACGCAAGCAAGAAACAGTAACAGCAGGCCAATGGAGGATGCAGATTCTGGACATGAACGGATGAATTGAGAGTGCTATGTAAGAATGAAGAGAATAGATGGGACTCTGGCCTGAAGTTCTCATTATCCCGTGTGGAGTTCTCGGGGGATTGTGCGCAAGACATGCATTGAAAAAGTTCGACTGAAATCCTGCAAACAGTACATTACCTCTGTAGAGATTTTAAGAAAGGTAGATGGATATCCGGCGGTTGTTGTCTGATCCCTAGAAGGTCCTCAATTTCCGGAGAAGATCAGTAGCAGAAGCTGTCGTCTTTCTTCGCTTCACTCTGCTACGTGAAAACACAATGGCCCTCGGATTGAGCATTGGCCGTCTGTAAGTATACCTGGAGCCAAGGCAGGTAGAGACAAGGAAGTTTTAACGTATAAGTGCTAAGAAATCATACGTGTATGTACATACTGTGATCTATCAGGTGCATTTTCAGATGATTGATTTGGAGGAAGATGCACAGCAAAACCGCCCCCGGTCATCCATGATTGCAACGTCGTCCGTCGCTTTGTTCCTTCCCATGAAATCTGATATGCCAGAGACTGACAACCTTGGAAGACGCCTGCTCTCTCTTCTTTTCTCGCCCGCGAACTCTCCCGATCCCCCCCCCATCCTGCACTTGCCGCCAGTGCATCGAAAGTCCGCGGGTGACTCTGACCTGGCTTTCAAAGCTCTTTGTACATGCACATGTCGTTCCAACGTCGACGTGGGCGGCTGGTAACCGGTATGGAGTATCGAGAATGATTGGGAAGTTCCCTCATCTTTGCTACTCTTTGGCCCTAGTTCCATAGCACACATAGAACAATACTCTTTGACTAAAAATTACCTACATTTTCATACGTCGAGAAATGATACTACTGACTAGAGACGAGAAACCACATGGGATTCATAACTACATACGAGTGCTACTTGAGCTGCACCTTTCTACCTGCTACTTATTACTTTGCTCCCCTTCAAGATGCACACCTAGACCTCAATTTAATTTCTTTTTCAAGCTCTCAAAAGAAGGATTCCCTTCCTTCTCTCGGCTGGCGCAAAACGCCTTACACCGAAAACGCTTGGTTGTTCTCCCACCTTCCTCCTTCTCTACCTTACCCACCGCTGGTACAGAGTAGAGTTGCCCGCTTGCTCTTTATCTCGTCTGTCTTGGTCCTCGGTATAAGTGGACACTTTTTATTGATGGGTACACTGTTACCTAAACTGAACTAAGCTTCGAGACCTGCTGCTTTCCTACCTGCCAAGTCCTCGCATACTCTCTATCGTCGTATTCCTCCTGCCTTGGGTCCCTGCGAGCAAGAGGCTTCATACCGTTGGGAAAGTCTTTACTGGATTGTCTGTCTCGAGGTGCTACACGACGGTTGACCTTAATCGCTACGCTACCTCTCTTATACGAGCCCGGGGACTTTTTTGCCGCTACTCTCTTTCTCTCAACAAGCTGCAAGCGAACACCTACATTTACTGTACCTACATACATACACCTAAGGTACCTGTCTGCCTGTGTATGCTACAAACATTCGCATTACATACTTACAACACTATCTTTCTGTGGGCCTTTTAATAGGAACGTGGTATCGTACCGTAATCATCTCCAAATTCCCACTTGGACTTTGTGTTTTCGGGTTTCCAACGAGACGGTACAAACACCCCGAGTGACCTACAGTCAGACCTACCATACTTGTTGAAGTGTTCCCACAAGGACAGCATTGGCAGCTCCTCCCACAGACACTGGAGTTCAGATCCCCACTAGCCGTGACTTTGTAGCGCCGCTCAGTATTACCGACGGCAACACGACAATTGCGATCCATTTCCTGCAATCCACCATCCCATCCGAGATCAGCTGCCCTCTTCTCCATTAGGATAGCACTAAGGTACCTAGAAGACAGACAACCTGTGTCTGGCTGCCACTGCCACCTTGCTAAAAAGCCTACATTACGGTCCCCAGTTACGGTAACCTATCACTAGCGCTGCACCTTTGTGTCTACTGGTAATAGTTACCTTTTTTTCACCTTACCTTACTTTCACCTACATTACCTTGCCTTTGCCCGCTGCAAAAGTCATTGTCGTTGGTTCAAAGCCCGCCAGGCCCCGCCATAACTACTCCATCCTTGGTCTCCAGTCAAACTCCGATCTTAGATATCGCACTGGTCCTGGTCCTCCTCGCGACTTAATTCAACATCGGCGGCCATATCCCGAGAGAGGTTACTGAACCCTTATTGACAAGTCGCCTTCTCTTATTTTAACCCAGAGCCAGGCCAAGAGAAAGATACACAAAAGATTCCCCACCCAATTATTCAATTATTCCATTTTTGGGAGTGACCTTCCTGGTTGCTACGTACCTGCGACTTCGCTTGGTAACGGTTTGAAGGTGCATCTCGCAGAAGGGGAAATCTCGATCAAGGAGAGAAATTGAGAGAATAGGAACAAGTTGCCTGGCCGTGTTTGGATTGGACGGAACAGAAAACAAAGAGAAGCGAACAAAGAGTTTTGCTCATTGCCAATCAGAGGTCTGCATCTCAACTCAAAAAAGAACCAAAATAGTTGCAGCCGACTATATTGCAACAACCGGCAGCAGCAGCGCAGCAAGCACAGCAAGCACGCCGGCATACATACATATACATACAAACGAACAAGAAATAGCACGTACATACGCACGTACGTACAGCAAAATAAACGACAACGACAAACACACCCTGGGATCGGCTTCGAGAGCACGATGCGTGCATAGGGCCGCTTTTACCGCTGCTGTCTTTCTCCGTCTTTTTTTGATTGTTGTGCTCCATTCACCAGCGGCCCAGCAAAAGCCCAGCCAAACCAGCCCAAAAAAAAAAAAAAGCCCCAAGCCCCAAGCCCGGCAGCAGGCCCAGCGCCAGAAGAGCAACCTAGCACTCGGCCCTTTATCCCACCCCCGGTCGCGCCTAGTAGGTCACCCTGGAGGTTCGGCGCGTTTCCCGCAAAGCGTTACCTACCCACGAAGGCCGCACCAACCCTCATTGAGATCTGCGACACACTCGGCGTATCAGTCGCCCGCCCGCCTCCCACCCCAAGGCCAAGAAGCTCGACTTTACCTGCTTTGGCGCTGCCCACTGGCACATTGCGATTTGGACACGAGCCAACGAATCCGAGGAAAAGCTATCTTAATTCCTTTGCGGCCTTGATTTAGAACCTTTTTCCCTTTTTCCGGCCCTTTCTCTTTGGCTACTTCCGTCGAATTTTTAAAAAGTCTCGTCTTTACACAACCTTGATCAAAGGATCCTCGAGGTCAATCTTTATACCACCATGTTAATTGACGGCGAAAAATGGTATGTGCCTTCCTCGTTGCCCTCTCCCCCCCTCCAACCTTTGGCGAAAAGCAAGACACATATATATGCAAAGTCAAGCCAGTTCACTAACACATGGTTCCTTAGGGCGTGCGAAGCCTGCGTGCGAGGGTAAATTCCACCGACACTTTTCTATTCTGTCGTTCCGAGGCAAGAAAACAAAATGCTTTGGAGGACAAAAACGAATGCATAGCTTGGGGACAATATTGGCTAACTTGAAATTCCACAGACACCGGGTCAGCAATTGCAATCATCATGGTGAGCCATAATTGCCGCTTCCTTTGCTCTCTCTCTTGCTCTCTCTCCCACCTTCCTACTTTTCGGCTCCCGATTCTAGCCTTGTGACACCTACCGCGGGGCAACTTTCTGCAGGGGGCCGCACGACCTCGTGGGGGAGCTTCCACTGCTTTCTTTGCCATGAGCAGCTGCACGACTCGGGCTAGAAGAAAAAGCAAGAAGAGACGAGAAATGCAACATTTAACTGTGTGGAACTTTGGGCAACGGGCGCTGACCGAACTGTCTCTCCAGACCGCCCGTTACAACATATCAACAAAAAGGTAGGCAAGAGCAAGCCACGAGGAAAACAAGAGGGACAATTGGGCTAACTTGTTACCTTTGCATCAGGGTCGGCCAGTGTCGCAATGTCAGCATTGCCGCTCAATGCGAAAGTCGCGGTCGTCTCACGTAAAGTGCGACTGCGGCGAGAAGACGCACAAATGCCAACACCTCCAGCCCACCGTCCCGGGCCACTCGGGTAAGCCTCACGATTCACTGGACAAGGATGCACTCCGGACCACGTTTTCTAAAACTCCGGGAACAGACAGTTGCTGTTGTAACCATGGAGGACGCTGCACCTGCTCCCACAAGAAGGAAACTCCTCTGGATACTGTCCCTGAGTCCGACTCGGACCAAGAGCCTCAACAGACCAAGGCCAAAGCGACTGCCCGCCGCCGCCGAGCCAACACGACGCACTCCGAGCCGGTATTGAGCTTCGACGAGCTTGGTCATCACAAGCCTCACAAGCACAACAGGGCCTCGCAGAAATGCGGCCCCTACACGTTGTCGCGCGGCCACTCGATGCACAGCAACTCTAGCGCGAGCAGTATGGGAACCCGCTCGGTTGATAATCTGGTACACAAGGCGCCGAGCCGGTCGCGAAGCAAGGATCTTGTTGCCCACGACCTGGAAACGCGAAAGGCCAAGTCGGAACAAACCTCGCCCTTGATGAATGGCAACTCGGCTTTTCAGCAGCTGAATGGGCAATTGCCGCCGCTGGACCTATCCAACATACAGTATCCAGAATATACACCTGCCTTTGAGCTCTTTCACGGCCTGGAAGAACCTCCCATGTTCAGCGCTGGCCTCAGCGCGCCCTCGGTCGACTGGGCGCAGTATGACGGGCTTGACATGAAGGCTGAGAGCTTTGCCCCGTCTAGTTACGACCAGACACAGTCTTATGCTGCTTTTGAATTTGGCAGCACCGAGCCTACTCTTACCTCCAACTCGGGAGACGTTTCAGAAACGGAAGACTTTGCACCGGCCTTCAGCGAAGCGCAAATAGAGGGCTTTCGTATGAGCGCTGCTTCCGACTATATGAATATGCAGCAGAGCCAGTCAACGCTTGCCGATAGCGACTACGGCCAGGCTGACTTTGGATCTTTCAAGGCTGCTGCTGCTGCCAATAAGTTCCTACCAAACCTTGGATCTCTCGATGACAACAACGGATTTCCCCTGATTGAGGAAGAATCTTACTGGTCGATGAACAACTTTGCTGACGGCATCACCAATTCTCCTGATCCAGTCGCGGCCACATTCTGGGACACGCAATGAACATATTTCAACAAGCATCGGAGTTCGGATCGCTCATGATACCATGACGCACATGTTTTTTTCCCCCACAATCTGCATACATATACCCTTTCGATGGGTTGACTGCTCTTTTCTTTTTATGGACGATTGCACATTTTCACACTTTATATATGGTTACGATCACGGCTTGGCGTGGGTACGAAAAGAAAAAGATAAAGACTTGGATCACTTTCAATGTGATTGACGAAGGATATTTCAAGAGGCGTTTGGATGGCATTATCAATTTTTGTTTATTGCATGGTTTGACGGCTGACCGAGGAAATGCAACCCGGACACGCTTGATTCCTGCAACCGTACATATTTCTTGCTTTTGGCCTCGTTCTCTCACGTCTATTTGCAACTTCGATTGCTAGATATCAGAAAAGTTCCAGGGATAGAAGAGACGGGATTTGTCTTTATTTCGTTCATCACATTGAGCAGAGCAGCACATATGGACATATGTCAATAGAGATAGAGATGAAGGGTTACGGCTACTACTACAACAACACGAGACCAGAGACGGGCGTATTGTGGCCAAGACAAAGGTGGTGGCTTCTACTATTACAAGCAGGCGCCTCTTACTACACTACAACAATACACACAAGCAGCGACAAGACGTTACGCTGCGATGTCTTCAGATTTTGCACATATACTTTCCAATTTAGGTATACCGTTGTGGTTCGCCGAACCCTGCAGGTCGCAGTATGGGACAAAGTTTTCACAATGACGACATTGACGGGGCACTGCGGATAGCGTTACTGGGGTTTCAGCTGCAGGTCTTTGCTTCTTGTGGTAAGGGTCTCCGTTGGCATCCCTGACCCTCATGACCGTCTGTCGGCCTCGTGCCGGTGCAACTGCTTCTGGAGTCTGCCCTAACGACTAAGGAGTGAACATGATCTACGGAATGCCACAGCAGCAGCGCTTCAGTAGCTAGCACCTGGCACATGGCAACAGCACAACAGCGACAGCAGAGCAACTCTACAAGCCTGTTCCTTGCTGCCGATGTCGCAACAGCTACACTAGTAGAACTATTAGTTGACAACGCGCGAGTCGGTCTGCATATTGACTGTTACTATTATTGCTGCTGTGGGCTGTGTTACCGTTCCCAGGCGGACGGATCAAGCCGTCACATAATTGAATCGATTAGGTACGACTGAGTAAAGCGACTTACTAAGTCGGATATGGTCCGTCGAGTCACAGTTGAGTATTCGGATCAAGCCAGGATAGCACAGAAAGAGACATCAACCAACCAGCCAGCCAGCTTCTCTAGCCGTGGACAAGCCCTCAGTCAGCCCCTCCCAAGTGCCGTACAAAGAAAGGCCCCTCGTTCGCCCATCAATCCCATTTTGAGGGGGTGCATTATGGGAAATAAGGGACGCGCGACGCGAGGTCGCGGAGCCAATCTAAATTGGCAGCGTTTAATCGTAACGTCGGCTCAATTACCACAGTACTACTGTATCCTTTTGCGCAGAGAGCAAGAGACCTATGCAAGTCATATCCAGTGCACGGTACCCGCAAGCCCCCCAAAAGACAAAAGAGCGCCAAATGGGAAGGTCTGCGAGAGTGGGGGGCTTTCTGAGAGCGAAGGTAATCCGACGGTTCATCGAGCGGCTGGACGTTGCCAGCCAACGAGGAAATGAAGCGCTGGAAACAAGCGAGCGAGCGCGAGCCGAGGGCGACAATGGCGACGACCACGGCGACGAGGACGACGACGGAGCCGATTGGAGACCAATGAGCCCACGTTAGTAGGTCTCCCTTTCTTACCTAGGTTAGAAAGGACCTACCTACCTTTACCTTTACCTTGGGGGAGATACCGTAGGTGTAGATTGCTAGGATTGCTAGGTTAGATTATTGGGGCGGGAAACGAAGCCTACCCACTAATTCCGTACTGCTTGCTGATGCCCCTCCACCACCTCCATTTTGAATGGGGGGTTCTTGCGAAACCACGGATCACGATCGTGCGGAACAAAACGACCAAATTCATGCCCCGGAAATTTCGGAAATCGCAGATGAGGCTGATATCGAATGGTTTCATTGATTGAATCCATTCATCATCGTGGGGGTGTATGTGTGCCCAAATTGGCTTTCCGGTAGCTGGTACGTATCTGTCGTGGCCGTCAAGAGAAAAAGCGAAGGAGTGTAACGTTTTGATCTCTCTCTCGACATGTAATTCGGCCGAACCAGACCGCACGCCCACGCCCACAGACACATTCGGATGCGTGCAGACGAAATGGCTGATGTCGTGATCGCCCTTGGAGGGTTGGAGAGCTTTCGGTCGCGGTTATCGCTGCTGGGGAGCGTGGGGTTTCCGTCGGTCGGGATGCCGAGTTCCACGATAGTGTGGTGCGGCTGCGCGGTAGGTGAATACACGTGTAAATCGTAGATTGTGTGTGTTAACGGGTGCCAGTGAGTGTGGTTGTATCATTTGGCGGCTGCCAACTTCATCGTGACCCTCCATCCTGTGTATTTAGGAGGGACAGTAGAAGACAAGCGTAATGGTAGAGAAGGTCGAGTGTCCCGCATAGTTCCGTGTAAAGTTGGCGATTTTTGCCTGGAGCAAGATCCAAAAGGGAGAAAATCGGAACAGTCCTATAAACGAGGGACTGTCCCAGCCTTTTTGAATAAAAGAAAGAGAAATATATACCTCGCGCTAGGCCACGCTGCTTCGGATGGTTTAAATCAGACGTCTATGATTATCTTATTTTTTGAGGCATTTTCCCAACGTTCTTATGGGATTTTTGTTGAATGATTTAAAGGCCTCTTTATTGCCTGTAATAAGCGTTGAAAAAGGCCTCGCCCACGAAAATTCCCCGGAAGCAGAAACATGCGAGAGGGAGTAGTATACAAACCACGCATATAAATCTGCACGCGTCCGCCCCCTTCTCCAATGAGTAGATTAATTTTAATGAATCATATACTCTGGAGGCCTCTTTTCCTCTTTTTAGTATTTTCCAAACTTGACCATTGGGGAAGAGAAACAGGAAATGAAAAAGAAAGCTTGTAGATGGGGAGGGACTATCACCGCACGCATGTCGACATGAGGGATGAAGGATGAAGGACTTGATCAGATCTTTGCAACTTGAACATGAGCTCTCGAGTTGAAATCTTGTTGCAAACGCCAATAAACGAACTCAGTTCACCCTGTCGCCTTGCAGACACCGACCGGACTTGCAAAAGTATAACGACCTCCTCAAGTTCCACCATGTCTACTTGGCCCCCGAGAAGGCGTTGGAAGGACTGGTGATTGATCAAGAAAGCTTCGGTTCCTGGGATCCTTTCTGCCGTCTAGATGAATGTTACCTTTGGTTTCGAGGTTTTGTGACGGCCAGAAGAACCAGTCAGCCCTTGGATGGAATAGACATCTTCTTGGTCCACATTCAGCCAGGAGGAAAGGCAAGATTTCCTGGACAGAATCGTGGCCACTTTTTCGAAAGGCATCAAACTTTTCTTGTCTTTTCCAAACCAGGTAGGCGAACCTCTGTGCCATGTATTGTACTGGTTCGTCCCTTGTTGTCTCGGGTGACTTCTTTTGCAACCATGTGTACCTGTGAATTACATGCTTTTTTTTGTTCCTCATGATTCTGGTACAGACACTTTGGATATCTCTCTTTTCCATGCAGACAACTGAAAAAGGCAAGGATTTTGGGTAATCCCCATACGCCCATACTTTCAGCCCTATGACGAGATATCCTGAAAAAAATCTTGTGACGCCAGGGTCCCCGCCCATTTCTTATTACTCATGAGTTTCCCTTCTTGGACATCTGATGGCGTCTGATTCGACAGCCGGCCCCCTTTTCTCCATTACCCTCTTTGGAGGGACGTGGAGTGCAGTATTGTGTCTCTCCACAGTATCTCGGATCGTATTATCGTGGATGGATGCTCTGACGTAGGCTGCGTTTAACCAATTGACCTGCAGAGTTTGCGGCCAGTCTCCTGCCCGAGGGCCCTTTTGTATTAAAAGTATCAAGTTCCAAACACAAGATCATTATTTATTGGGCTAATGATGATGAATTCAAAGAGTTTCTTACTATCTCTCGTGTAGCATACAAAGTATCATTTTATCCACAAATGAGCCATAGACTGTGTCGTTTGGCTCCCAGTCTTTCATGTATACCCACCTCTTATTTTCAAATAACTGGAACGAGGTCCTTGTTTTCATCTACTTAGCTTTCTCCCGTAAACATGATCGATCAACTTCTGTAAAGCTCACCTAGATTATATGCAATAATACCCCATGTACAGCTCAAAGCACTCGCAACCCGGGCCGCAGTCGGTATAGCCTGGTATGCACTCGTCTGCCCAGCAGCCCTGCCATGGTACAATGCGGACCATTTCGCGAATAACAACTCGGCTATAGTTGCTATAAAGCTGTAGGAGTGAGGAAACCAGTTTGGTCAGCGGGACTTGCCTTGTTGTCTCGCAGTGTTGGGGGGCTTTTGGCGATGCACAAAAGAACTTACAGAAAGATGAAAGGGAGACGGGAGTGCCTTTTCATGGGCGGTGGTGGAGGCCCAGCAAGCTGCAACAAGGAGGGCAAGGAGCAACGGTATTACCGAGTTCATTGTGTATTTCACGAATTTCAAACGATATTCTTGCTGCTATGGTCTGTGGAGATGGGCGGAAGAGAGTAACACGGTTGGGTTTCGTGCGCTGTGTGACCTGTCATTACGCAAAGAGAGATTCTGTGAATCCAAAAATGACAGGTCCTTTTTGTTTTATTCTTATATATGGGGACCGCATGCCGTGAATCACGCTCGAATGTCCGGGATTTTGTTTCGAGATCCCGTTCTTGCGACGCAATTCATGGTGATATGCGAAAGGCGTTCTCTCGAAATGATTTTTATCCAAGAGATCCCATTTGCACGCGAGGGAATTTGTTTCGAAATTGCTTCTCTCATCGTATATCGTATATCATACATGAAAGAATTCATTTTTCAAATTTGTCATTGTCCCAATTCTTTTCCCAGAGAACGTTGACATCAATCTTGTTGCTTCCCTCGACCGTTATTGTCTCCCAGCAAGCCCAACATTACAGTCACTGTAATCTTCTTTCCTTATCACGGACACAGAGATGGAATCTTGACCCCCATAAATTTTTGTATGCGCATAGATGAAAGACGCTAAGGAAAGATTCACACTCCCACAAATGCGAGCGTGGGTGATGGAAAGTGATCACAATGCTCCTTGGACAACAAGGCTGGATGCCATACTGCAGCTTTGAATGGTGAAAGACACCCAAGAGCGAGCTCCCTAGAGTGAATAAGGGGGTTCAATCACTATTCATGGCACTTGTGACACTTTAGAATGTTGATATAGATTTTACTTGCAACCAATGTTATGATTACATTGATCATGACAACAAAAGGCACACACATGCCCAACAGACAAGATGCTGGAAGTCATGGTTCGCTACCTTGGCGGTTGATTAAGAAAGCTATGTGTGTGAACAACCTGCAAAAGAGACAATGGCTGTCCCAGCAACCGCGTCGGCGGTGATGCGAAATCACCAAAAAAGGTCAACCCGATTCACTGCCGGGTTCTTTTACGGCATCAATAAATATGATGGTTCCATGTCTTGATACCAATGGAAAGAAAGTCACAATGACAATGGCAATGAGAGTAATGATGAAATTAATGACCACCTTGGAAAAATGAAATCAAAAAAATAAGTGAGTTAAAAAAACACCAACACAAATAGATTTCGAACCCACGACTTGTCGCCGATCCATGCAAACCCCAAAAAAATAATTGGCCGTCGGCCCTTCGGCGAGGTTGCCCCCGAAGGGTCAACAACACCGCTGACGGCCTTGAGGATTTTATACTTCAAATTGCATTATGAGGCCTTGTTGTCGTAGGGTCGTGATCAGACAAAACAATCTGCCATTGATTAGCCGTCAAGCGCACATTGGAACTAATATTATTTCTCTGCCTGCTCTCTTTTCTTTTTTCCCTTTGGGTCTGGAAAAGGCTTTTCCCGCCGAGGACGTCTTGTTGTATTTACATGTGCCAACTTGGACAATTTTCTTTTTCCGTTTGTCTGTATCAAATATCATCTTTCATTCTCTTGAATAATACTTAGTAATGAGAGTGCACCATTCAATCATTTATTTGTACTCTTCTCCACAGATTAACTCGGATGTGACCTTTCTCTTGGGTATGTGAAAGACCTAATAAGTGTCATAGCTCGCGTTTTGAAAGAGAAGGAATATGCAACAGCAGCCTTATAATGGACAACGACAGTACTACTCAATGAGGTAAATGAGATGGCCTCCAGGCAAGAACATGTGCAGTAGTGACGATATTAGCACACCATGGTACAGAAAAGCTTGCAAATACTCAAGAATCCTCTTCAACGACTTAATACTAATCCACCCAGATTAGTCTCTGTTATTATGAATATTCTACTAGTATACACGTGATCATTCATAGGCTTCCTCGTCCACCGTTAGTCATCCACCCATTCGCCGTCCCTACTTTTCTATTTTTTATTTTTTTTTACAAACGCCAAATCATGAAAGAGAAGGGTTGTGTTGTGTTGTGTTACAAAGATGATGCTCATCCAAGTTATAAGCAATGCTCAAAAGCCAAGTGGCCAGGGCAAATGCATGGAAATAACCATGCTCTAGGCAATACAAATTGAAGATACAGATGGCCCTTTGTGGATTGGCCCCACGCCTTCTGAACTCTGATTTGCTCGTCGCCCTAGAGTTCAACTGAATAGACACCCTGCAAAGTCCGAGAGGATTTCCTGAAATAGTTTTTATCGTAGCGGCCGAGATGTGAGCACGCTGAGATAACCGGTGCGGATGAGCTCTCGCGGATCAAAGCCCATGTGCTCATAACTATCGCTGGTACGCAATGTGTTGTCTTTTTCGGGTTTGACGGGCTCCATCTCGGTGGCAGTGGCAAGGTCAGCCAGGTGCTGAAGACTCTGACTGGCAGTAGCCTCTATAGCCGCATGAGATGTAGAAGGTCGTATGTGCTCAGAGATGCGGTCCCGAATCATGTCATCCCAGTTGGAAGCGGCCACGGCAATTTCGGATAGTTCTTTCAGTAGGGCGTTGGCTGCCTCGCGCTCAGCTTCCACCTTGGTCAACTCCAACAAGGTCAGAGACGTCAAGCAGAAGAAGTGGTGATTCAGAGGGTTGAGCAGCTGAGGATTGCCAATCAAGAGACCCGCTAGTTCCTTGCATGGCCACATGATATCGCTGGATTTGGAGTTGGTCTGAAAGAGATACGCCAAAAGTCTGCAATGCCAATAGATGAAATGAAGGACAGGATGAGTGCTTGGCGTAATGGTCGAAGGTAAAACTTCCCGGAATAGCTCCATGGACAAGTTGAAGAAGGAGCTCAGCAGTGGAGCCGCGCCGGATTCAAAGGTCATTGTCTTTGGAGGTGCAAGAGCAACTGGAACAAAGTGGCCAATGATATTACACAGTCGCACATGGTGGTAAACATTTTCGCCGAGCAAGTCCTTGAGAATGGGCAGGATGACGACGCTGTCATTGGGAATGTACATTGTGCTCGCAGTAGAAATGGCGTTCCAGCGATCGAGCATGATTAGAGACCACCAGGCCCGAATCGCCACATTGTCGTCCGAATCTGTGTCGAGAACACCATCGACATTGTTGTTGACTTGGGCAACGTGTAACCGGAGGGTGTTGGCTAGACCGACTGCCCGACCGAGGGTCATGGGTTTCGAGGGACTTCCCTGCTCTCCTTTCAAGGAGCTTGGGCCGTAATTGTCAGTTGAGATCACAATCAAGATTAGAGTTTGGAGGTGCACAAGATCGGAAACCCGAGAGCGAGGCGACGCATCCAACTCCCATTCCGTAAGCGAGCGGTATGCCCTTGTGAGCGCGTCACGGGCGCCACCATCGAGACTGAACGATGGAAAAGACTCAATCGTTCCCTGTAGGGCTGTAGTAAAGGCATCACGTAAGATGGGGGCACATTGAACTAGTTGTGCCTCCAGCCTCGACTTGTTGGCGACCAGCACCGGGAAGTAAGGGTGAACCAAGGTGAGGTATCTATCGAGAGTTAGCCAAGAGGGTACGCTGACTAGCAGTCTGAGCACTTACGCCGCAAAGATGGTTTCGTCAATCTCCCTGACTGGTTCCATCTGGTTGAGATCGAGATCCATGCCGTCCATTACGGCCGCTGGGCGCGACGGGGTATCGCCGTCAGGCTTTGCAGCAATTGGAGTCGGGGCCAGTCCATTTGCAGAGTAAGAAGGCCTATATCTAGACTCGGCGTTATACTGGCTAGGAGGCGTTGGCGTGCCAAAATCCGCCCCTGAAATGGTTGAATAGGGCCGCTTCCGGGTACTTGAATCACTCTGGAACAGATCGCCCGAGTCCCTTCGAGAACCATTCAGCAACTCGCTCAAATCAGCATTTGCACCTTCACTGGCCAATTTGCCCTCGATGGAGTGGATACGGTCGGCCAACTCCTTGATATACCCCTTGCTAGGTCCACGTTTCTGGGGAATCCTACTGAATAAGCAACGCATATTTGAGCGACGACAATTCGAGCAAGGTTCCTCGCCAGTTTCTGATGGAGCATCGCACTTGACTTTTTTGCGGCGACACTCGTCACAAGCTCGGGAGACTTTGGATCGCTTCCTGGGCGGCACATTGTTGTCGGGCATTGGGAACTGAGGTACCATGGAGTCCATGGGAGCAGCTGGCTGCAAGTGCGGCTGATGGTGCTGATCAGGGATGTACTGGTGCTGCATGTCCTGTTGTTGCTGCGGCTGGCCCTGCTGGAGGTGCTCGTGTTGCATGTGTTGATCGTGTTGTGCGTGAGCTAGATTTGGGTCATGTTCACCAATGTGATCGTGCATCTGGTCGTGCATGTGTTCCTGGACGTGCTCGTTCGGGTGCGGCAAGCCATCATGATGCTGCTGTAGACCGTCATGTTGCTGCAAATCACCGTGGTGCAGGTGTTCGTGACCATTAGTTAATTGATCTTCCTGATGTTGGTGTTGGTGATGTAGGTCTTGCTCATGCTGAAGGCCTTGATCGTGCGGAAGTCCATCTTCGTGCTGTAGGCCCTGTTCGTGTTGTAAGCCATGATCATGTTGCAGACTCTGGTCATGTTGTAAAGCCTGGTCATGTTGTAGACCTTGTTCGTCTTGCAAAGCCTGTTCGTGTTGTAAGCCTTGTTCGTGCTGAAGGCTCTGTTCGTGTTGAAGACCCTGCTCGTGCTGCTCTAGGTCATGTTCGGCCATGACATGCTGCAAATTCGAGTCTTCCGAGTCCATCAATGGAAGTTCATGCGCAAGACCCTGACTTAGCTGCGCAGCAAGCTGCAGCTCCTCGGTGCTGGTAATGGCATTTCGTTCTTCCGCCTGGCGCGGACTCGTGGGTTCTGTGAGCTGACCGTGTTCGTCCTCTTGATGATGTACGCCCAGGTCTGTCTGGTGCTGGTGCTCTTGGCGGGGCGTCGTCTGGTAGAAGGCGCCATTGTCCTGTCCCTCGACGGTCGGCGAAGGGTACGATTGCATTACCACATCTGCGTCGGTTCCTACCTCATCCGGCACTGGCTCCTGCTTCTCGAGAAGGGGATCTATATCCGGCATGTTGCGCGCGATATCTGATGATTCGTAAGGGGAAACGTGCAATGGCGGGCCGGCAGTCGGACGGGGCGGCCAAGATTGACACTTTGCATGCGGGGATGGTCAGGCAACCCAAAACTCTGTATTGCGAAGTCGACCCTTGATGGGTGTTGAGTGCTCCGATGACGAGCAGGGATGCGATTGCTCAAATATTATACAAGAGACTGTTGCGTCGCGTCGCGTCGCACATTCGTAGTCGAGTCGAACGGTCTCGAGGCCTGTGGTAAATGGATCGTTGGATAGTGGCGTGATTCGAACCTTGCCTACTGAATTATGTGTGAGTATCTCGTCATGTTGCAACAGTCTCAATCATGCGCGCCATCATTGACACTTGGAAACATTTTCGCTGTAGAAGCGGAAGGGGGTGATGAGTGTTTTGTTCCTGGCAGGGAAATTTTTTTTTTAATTGATATTGGCTGAAGCGCTAAGGTACAAAATCTCGCGACAGAAGGGAGAAAGACGCGACTCCATTTTCTGTTCGCCGAGTTGTGTGATGGAAGTGATGCGAAGGGGTTCGGGGACGGTCCTTGGAGGAAAATCATGGTAATGTGGCTGAATGCTGTGATTGCTGATGGGATCGTGCTCGTGATGAGAAGAGAGGATCTTTTTGGTGAAATGCGACTTACCTCTTGGTTCGAGTTGTTCGGAATGGATTAATACAGCGGCGATGCTTGCGGAAGCAGGAACAGCTTTGCTCCGTCTGTTTCGCCGGGAGGTCGAAGCAAAAAAAAATTCCAAAAGGCGCGCGCCCAAAGTCAAAAAATGGCGTGACGTGCTACAGTTTGGGGTCGCCGGGGTTTTGCCGGTTGGGGTCCAGGTTATACTATAGTGTCTATATCGTCGCGATAGGATACCCCCGTCTCTTACTTGTCAGTCTCGCAACACGTCACTGGAAAGATGGTCGATAACAAATCTAATATTCATGATAATACTTTTTTCTTTTCTTTCAAACTGATCCGACTCCCAACACCAAAGCAATACATAGATAGTAGGGTATAATATAAACGAACGAATCCTCAACTGATACTCAAACAGTCACCATGACCTGTAATGTACAGCTTCCTTCCCCATCTATTTTCGAGTTCATCAGAACGTCGGTGCGATCTTTGCCTCGGCCTGACCTTGGCCAATCCTCTGTGACAACTTAAATGACCTCAAAGAGCCACTTGTTGATGATCTTGCGCGGTGCTGCGGCGGCTGCATCATTGACGGCTGCGACATTTGCCGCATGTGCATGAGTTTGGCCCGCTCCTCCATGCTGGGACGGTAACCACCGCTCAAGCTCACCGGCGACGGGGCCCGGGTTGACGACGCCCGGGAGCGGACGTTGAGCTTGCCCATCATGGAACCAATGGCGGCAGCGGCATCGAGCGGCGGCGTGGGTGGGAGACGACCGTTTGGTAGCATAGCGTGCTGCGGTACTATTGCGCCGCCGCCGCCACCGCCCATGTGGCCGTAGCCTTGGGCTAGGGGAGGCGAGTAATTTGGATTCGATGGCATGCCTTTGATGTACAGCCCGCCCCCGTGCTGACCCGTCATGCCCCGGGTGGGAGAACGACTAGATGATCTGCTCAGCGGCGGCGTGATTGTCCCGCCAGGTAGTGCAGGCAGTGGCGTTCTTGCCATGAGATCAAAATTTGCCGGCATTGGAGGTAGCTTGCTGAGACGTCGAATGGCCTTCATGTTCTTGTTGACAAACGAAGACATGTTGCGGAGCGCGGTACCATTGTGGTGCGACTCGAGCGCAGAAGCACCATTCTTGGGAGCCTCTGTACGTTGAATGTGCATCTGATTCAATGTGGGAGGGTTACGTGTCATGGCCGGCTGAGCCTGCGGTGATTCCGCTAACGTCTGCTGGATATGCGACATGACGCGGTCGAAATCGACAGTATTCTGTGCCTTTTCTGGGATATACGATGGCGCTGAACCCATGACTGTGCTCTGAGTCAGAATAAAGAATGAGCCATCGCGGATCCTCTGGCGCAGAATATGCCAACGAGTCCTGGCTGGGTTGCGCTCAATGGCCGGCTGAACAATGGTGTGCTGGGCAAGGTTGGAGTAGAAAACTTCGAGCCGCTTGGCCATACGCTCCAATATCTGCATCAAGAATGTGCACAGCGTGGTCAAGGTCTGCTCCTCTGTGTAGTCCACATCGGCCAGACTCTCTAGGGCATCCATGCCGTAGCAAGCCTCTTGCCGAATATCCTCAAGAAGTGCCATGTCCAGCTGCACCGACTTGCTTGCATAGGCAATGATGCCGCGTTCGTGGAAACGAGCACCGCCGGCATCGCGCACAAACTCACCAATCTGTGCGACCTGTCTGGAAATCTTGACTGCATGCTCCGACGTCTTTGCTCTGGCAACAACGCCGAGAACGTCAGGAAGTTTCGCGTGTGCTCCATCCATTGATGTGTTGGCTAGAGCAAAAGAGAGCTTCAGTATCAGCTCTTGGAACTGAGGACCAAACATGGCCGAGAATCCACCTTGCAAAAGCCTCGACTGGTACTGGTAGAATGAACGAATTCCCTTGATATTGATCAGATCAATGCCCCGAAGGCTGTTCTGGAACCACCAATTGTCTGCATCAATGGGTGTTCCCATGTCGGAGCCCATGAATCGATTCATTTCAAATTGCTGAGCGACCAGCGTCTCGACCACAGTGTGAAGATATTCTTTCCACATATCATAAAGACTATTGAGGTCTTCGCTTGCATGATAGTCGGGCTTTGGTGTGAGGTTGCCGATAAAGTATTTGGTCAAAAGACTGGCAACCTCGGGGTTGTTTGTATGGGCAAGATTGTCGAAAGACTGCGAGCAGTCCACGCCTGCATTGGAGCGGATGATTAGTACGCCACCAGGGTGAATTGGTGCAAAGTCGGTGACATCGTAGACTTTGCCATGAACCCCGATCCAGACAGCAGTGTTGGGACGATGCCCAGTGTGCAGTGCCAATTCTGATTGAGGAATGGTGGGCAGATTGCAGGGAAGAGGCTTTGGAGTCATGAAAACATCCAGCATGAATCGGCGCTCGGCAAAAGCTGTAGCGAGGATGGCATCGCTAGATTCCATGGTGGCACTGCGGTGATCGTAAATGGCTTTGCGGATGCCAGCCATGACCGAATCAAAGACGGACACGGAGCCGCAGATGTAAATGTAGCCACCCAACCCGCCCTGCTTTTTGCTCATTACAAGATCACATACAGTATCGCCTTGCTCCACGATGAGTGCGTCGATATAACGAGGCGGAGTATGCTTTTCCAGAAGCTGCCGCGAGTATCTGTCGAATGCAAGGCCCCGAGAGTCACGCGAGAAGGCCGTGTGAATCTCCATGTTTCCAGTTTGAACAAGCTCTCGGAGCTCTTCTTCATAACAAAACTTCTCTCGGGATTGCACTCCCAAGTAAAGAATGTTGCGGCCAATGCTGCCATCAGCAAATCGCTTCTGCCAGAAACTTCTAAAGGGCGCAATGCCACTGCCTCCAGCGAAGAAGGCACAGGGTGCAGCGCCGTCCAGGGGAAGCTGGAAGCTTACCGGGCGCGACAGGCCGATGAGGAGGTCTTCCTCGGCTGGCATCGCGTCTTCACTCGAGGCCAGTGAAGGGTTGAGAAAGCCACTGCTGACGCCACTTCTGACAGTGGGAATGTTATTGGCAAAGGTGTCGCAAAGGTCGTACTCGGCTCTTGAAATGGTAAGGTCTAGGGTGCTGGGCAGAAATTCTTCGGGATAGCTTGAGATTGAGTAGGTTCTGGGAACTTCCACTTCGACAAGGTCGGCAAGCCATGCGAGGTTGTGGGACAAGTCAAAGGCTTGATCCCAGATCTGCGAAGGCGTATCAACCACAGCTGATTGTAGCAAATCGCCAAGAGATCCTCTGACGGGCCATTCGTTGGTTGCGAGGACCTGCAAGACTACCGTCGATGATGCTTTGAGCATGGAGTGGACCTTGAGGACGAGATCTCTGGTTAGAGGTGCTAGGTGGCCCCGTCGGATGATGTCGCGAACGGCAAGTTTGGGCGCAGCTTCTCGCGACACTGATCCCAGGTGCTCAGCAAACCTGCTCCACTTTGGGTTGAGCTGTACCGGCACATCGAGCATCTCCTCAAGGCCCAAAGCCAGGGCAACCTTTGCGCATTCCTCCCAACTATTGAGCGGCATGATAGCTAGTCTGTCGCCAGGCTGGAAGGTGACGCCAGTATCGCGGAGATCCAAAGTGACTCTCGCAATCGACCTCTTGGGATCATTGTCGACAAAGTTGCGACTGAGGATCCTGGAGCGGAAGCGGCATTCTTCAAAAGTGCCCCGAATCTCGTGAGGCTCACCGAGCATCTTGCCACGGTACGGCTCCAGTCTCTCCTTCATGGCCTCGGAGAATTGCTTGTGTGTTTCTTCCCACGGCCGCATCCTGACGCCACTCTGGCCCGAATTTCCATTTGTCTCGGTCCGGCCCGTCTTTGCAGCGATTTCAAGTATACCAAAGACCTTGTAGCGGTGGACACCCTGCAAAAGTTAGTACTCTTGAATTTAGAGATTATGCAACGTCTTGCTTACCATGAAGCCTCTTTCGCCTGTGTAGGCTTCGACAATGCCGTCTAGCACACCATGCAATCTAGGGTCGTTTGACTGTGCCACAAACTCTGGGATCCGGTAGTGATACTCAATGGCAGCGATGAAGGCTCTCATGTTTGACGGAGACCACGCTCTGAGATGAAGACCCTCGGCACCCAAGAAGGAATCATACTTTTTGCGGCCGAGGAATGCGTCCATGACCAGATAGGGCGGAAATTGCAGACCCGACGAAGCCGGGCATCTCTTTGAAAGTGGCGCAGAGAACTTGGCCCATCTGACCCATTCGTCTCCGGAAACGTAGTTCTCGCCAGAATTAGGGTTGGGCGAAATTGAGTGAAAGGCGTTTGGCATGAGCTCCAGGATCTCCTTCAACCTGATCATTTCGCGGAGGAGACCCTCGACATCCCTCTTCATGACGGCTTCTTGGCAAGCCGCGATGGCATCCGGTCCATGCTGGAATGAAGCTTTTTATTGAGATCAGTAAAGGGGTCGATGAATTCATAAGAGGTATCACTTACCACTGGTATCGGCAACACCCTTGAGAAAAGCGCGCTCTGCTTGGTCGCCAAACATGGCCCAGCGCAGGTCAGTGTTGTCGAATCGTCCCACATATGGGAACTTGGACTTTGGGTCCTTGACCGTGACGTTGTAGCTGCTCTGGTCCACAAACGTCAAATGGGGGATGGGTCTTCCCATGCGTTTGCAGATCTGTACATAAGGTAGGCCGATACTCCGGGGAAGACCCTTGACCTCCTCAAGCACATCTTCACCCCAGTCTCCCATGAGTCCACTCTTGGGACCTGAGTGAATGCTGACTCCTTCGTGCCCATCATGCTTTTCTTCATATCTGTACAACGAGCAGAGAAGACCCAAGGCGACTAGAGCTGCCCATAGTGCAGCATCAGGGATGACGTCTTCGGTTCCCTCGACAACGGGTATGGCAGCAGCGGCCTCACGGAAACGGCCACGAGAGATGGTTCCTGGCATCCTTTCGCACAGATCGCTCCACACCCGACCGGGCGAGTTGGCCAGGGCTGAGACTGCCTCTTCCATATCAGGAGGTACAAAGCCGTACTCTGCGCTCAGGAAGCCATCACGCCAGCCAGTCTTGGGTCCGATCTCCTCGGCTCTCAACAGCACCTGACGGGCAGGTGCTCCTAGTGCCACTGCCAGAAGATCTTGCTCATTCGCAGTTAATGAGTCAATGTCCTTGGTCTGGTTGAGTTCTCGGTTCGCCGGTGTATTCGAGTAGAGAATCTCGTTGATGGCCTTTCGTTCCCTGTTGAAGGTGTTTAGTAAGAGTTCTTCTCATGTCTCCCTCTCATATTGCCGTCTTACCTCATCCGTAACCAATCATCTGTATCAATGCCATTGGGGATCTGAGTAACAAATTAGCAGTGTCACCTCGGTCGCATCGACTCATATTCTTACATTGAAGGCCGCCCGTACATCGCCAGGCTGAGCAAAACCCGAAAATGAACATCCTCTGGGACCCATTTGACTACCTCGCACACTACCACCAGCCTTGCCTGCCGGGCAATGGCCCCCGGCAGCCCCAGATACTGGACAAGAGTATTGCGACATTGTATGTGTATGTGTATGAAGAGGATTAGGTTGAATTAGCGGAAAGAAGTAGTAAACAAATGGCCACCAGGGCGCGAGCCACAGTTCTACTGGGAAAGAAAATAGTCGGAGGTAAGAAGAAGATGAGAAAACAAAAAAACCAACCACACTTTCAACGAACCACACTCGAACTGTCCAACAAGAGAATATACATAGGGGTGGTTGAGACCTGCATTATGTCTTATAACACCAAGAGAGCAAGCACGAGACAAGTTTTGTTCACGGACCAAGTCTGAGCCAAGAAGCAATCCACAAGGCCCCAAACAGAACAACGGACATTGCTCCTCCTCCTCTCCAGTGGAAGAAGAAAAAATCTGGAGCCGCCGCCTGGGTTTTCCGCCACATGGGAAGCGATGTTGTCGTACAATACAATACCACAGGCAGTCGAGTGGATATCAGGGATGTGTGGGCAGTGGGCCGTTGCCAAGTAGTGTCTGATACAGCGATGGAGGCTGCCAAGAGTGTCCACAACCAGTCATGTCACCAGACAGTGGGTTGGACTGGGCGATGGCAGCATCGGGATGTGGGATCTCGTCGTTCTTTTTTGGCACCGACTTTGCCCAGCCCGGTGTGATCTTGTAAAACGATGGTTCATGAGATATGTCGTTCTGGGAATCACGGACGATCGAGACAAGCTGAGAATAGATGTAAGTAGAGCCCGGTTTTTTCTGTGGTGCAACATCAGGTTCGGCAAGGGAACCACGCGACTGGTGGACACTGGAGAGAAAGTATTGTCCAGGCTCAGTATCCCTCTCGATGGTCGATGGAAACTTTGTCGCTCACAAGACATGTCGTTGACCTGTTCACTTGGACATTGCTGGTCCTGTGGTTCTCCCGTCGAATCTCTCCTGATGGTGACCATCTTGCACGCACTCTCCATAGCACACGCATCTAGCGAGGCCTGGTTGTAAATGGCGTAACGCCACACTCTTTCATTCATCCATTCAATAGCAAGACTTCCAACGAGTTGCGAGGGTATGGCGTTTCGAATACTCCGGCGACCCATAAAAAAGGAAAGAGAAGAGAATAGCGCTGGACCATAAAGAGTCGAGAATGGAACTTCAAACAGTTTTGGATTCAAGGTTAATTTTAGTGGTGGACTACCGAGCATCAGCTTTGTACCTAGCGTACAGAAGAACCATGTGTTCAACCAAGTGGAAGTGCCCCGGGGGAATTTTCCGTAGTGCATCGACACCCCTGCAAGTCAACCGGGCTCGAGCTGCAAGCGCCCTGACGCCAGCGACTGTGGACATGTCGCCTATTCAGACGACAGGTGACTTTGACTGCCTACACAATGGATGAGCAGGAATCCGGTGCCATATCGATAACTTGGCAGACAAGGACTTCAGACAACTCAGTCATGAATGAGGAAGCCTTTATTTTCTGGTGCCTATTGCATTATATTGGCGCCATAACTGGCGGGTATTCCGAGATGGATGTCAATGCTTTGCAGTGTGCAGCCGTCGAACAACCGCTCACACCCTCACCTCTTGCTTCAAACTCACGTCCGTCAATGTTGGGAAATTCATTTAGTGAGGTGAATGAATTGAATGAGGAGTCTTTCCTCCTTCAAAAGCAATCACCATAGAAAAAGAGATGGACCGCCTTTGCTGAAAATACATACCAAGACTCATTATAGTCATGGGTCGTATCCAAAGTATAATGCCATTAGTCTTATAGTTCACGGTCTATTTGGTTACGCAGGCCTAGTCATCTGTAATTTCATCTGGTGGGTATTTTTTATGATGGTGGTTGAGAATGAGAATTGATTTCCTGCTTCTCTTTGTCTATACAAGTCTCAAGATTCCCAAATAGCTCAAACGAAACTCTCGTCGCGTTGCATCGGTTTGCTCTGTGGAAGACTCCACTGTTTCAAAGACGGCAAGGTCCCGCACATAGATGATTGATCGTGAGAAACAATCTTGCTTCCAGATTCCATCAAGTCTTGGGACTATGATTCCAGACCGGACTAGTATTGAACGCTAGACTCGTCTATATCCAAGGAAGAGAAATTAGACTTTGATATTAACAAGAGAAGATCAGCGCATCCTGCAACTTTGCGTGCGTAATCAATCCTCTGTGCGGTTGCAGTCGATCAGAGGATCACAGTTGCAATCCGCGGTTACGCTAGCGTACAAGTCGGGGGGGGGGGTTCAGCTTGGGAACTCTGGGAGGGCTCTTGGGGTATAGCCAAGGCTTTTTCTTCGTCCCTTTTCGCGCTGGGTTACCTGTCCCAACCAACCACCATGGTTAACAGGGGGCAACCCCAGAACTCAGGTGGTATTTGGCTTGGCTGATTCTGTTTGATCGTCATTCAAATGCCGTGCCTCGCGTAGGTTATGCGCTCCCACAAGCACACACACGCACAATCACACTCAGTAGTAACCTTTCCCCGGGTCGTCTTGCCCGCCACAGCGGGAAAGCATCAAGCGGAAATTGCCGCTTTTCGTCTAACATTGGCATTGGGTAAAGAAACACGCCCCCGACAGGGTCATGAGATTGCCAAGCTGTTATAGAATGTTTCCATGGTGGATTCTTCTCCCTCTCACGCCAATATACATACTCCACACTAAAAATAAACGTTCCAACGCTCCGCCGCCCAGTCTTTGCCTGCGAGATCAAAGTGGCTTGGTTGTTCTCCGAGGAGTTGTCATTCTGTATTTCCCCTCCCCATTTTAATGCCCAGAAGTTGTCAGGTTTCAAAAGATGTACTCATGTCAAGTACACAACCTAGCCAACCGATGGACCTCGCTTGCCCTTTGGGCGGAACGACAATCTGCTGATCTGGGGGCATGTGTTGATGCCGGGAAATCTCGATTGCTTCTGAAGCTTCGGCCGAGACAGAATTCTGAGCAGTGCAAGGAACTGGGAGCTCAGGTCAATATAGCTAACCCAACACACTTGACGCCCAGGTGGACATTTCCAACCCAGGTCTACGGACATGGACTTGTCCGGTCAGATGGTCGGTCAATCCTTTCATCCCATTTCCAGAGGTCCTCCCTTCAGATGCCACCTTGAGCCGCTCTTCCATGAACCATCAACTGTTTCGTCTAATTTTGGATATTTCGCAATCGACAAGTGCCGACCGATCTCATTGACACTTGTTAGTCTCAAATGGTATTTCTGTGTATATTTGCTTCTGTATAATATAACACGTCAAGCTGGACTGACTATGTAGTCACCAAGCTAGATTACAACATCTATACACCTGTACACTGCTCATCAACTAGAAATCCGCATAATTAGTCGACAAGCTGGGCGGCAAATCCTCATCCGCTGTGCCCCAATTACTCTCCTGCTTGCCCAGCGTCAACTCGAGGACTCCACCATTGTAGAAAAAGTCATGCTTGATCCAGTTTCTCGTGTACGGCCGCCCATTTAGTCTGGCGCTCTGTATATAAATCGCCTCGTAGGTCGGGTCGAACCCAACATTTCTGATAATGGCCTGCCGGCCCGTCGGCGTTCTCAGCCTCACCTCGCGGAACAGTGGCGGCGTCAGTAGATAGACGTCCTGTCCGGCGACGGGGAAGAAGCCCATAAAGGCAAAAGCCGTAAAGGCGCCCATGGCGCAGTCATCGTTACCGGGGATGCCATTGACCGAGCTGTTGAACTGGCTGGGAATGTATTGATGCACCCAATAGGAGCTCAAACCGGGCCGACCGCCGTAATGGAATTGAAATGTTGGCAAAAAGCTTTGCTCGTTGCCCATGTAGATGATGCCCGACGAGTGAAAGTACTCGAGCCTCTGGATAAACGGCTCCCTTCCTCCCAGAGTCTCAATCAGTGAAGCCATATCTTGAGGTACATAAAAGGTGTAGAGCCATGGAGAGCCCTCATACGTTGCGTATCTTGTGTCAAAGTAGCAGACATGCTGTTCGTGAATGGGACTGCAGAGGCGTGCGTCCTGCGCTAGAAAGCTTCCGTTCATCAGGCGGGGTTGAAGAAACCCTTGAAAAGGGCTCTCAACCACGGTTCCGTCCTTGGCCTGGTATCGATCCTCCATTGCTGGGTTGTAGAGGTTCTTCCAATTCTTGCTTCTATGCAGATATTTCTTTTCGTCGGTGGGATTTCCGAGACCTCTAGCCATCAAGGCAATTGAGAAGTCGTCATAGGCGTACTCTACCGTGCGGGAGACGGACCGTGTATTTGGCCCGGTGCCATTGGTGTCAACATCATCTTTTGGTATGTATCCATATTTCCTCCATGCTTCAATGTTGCCGCGACCTAAACTCGTCCAGTCCCTTGGCTCAATCTCGGCATCCTTGATGACTGCCTCGTAGGCTAGATTCCAATCAACACCATCCGTCAGGTTCTTGGCAAAGGCATCGGCAAGAACAACATCTGCATTGGAGCCTCCTTGCGTATATCCTGGGACAAAACTCATACGGCAGTCTGGCAAATACCCCTCGTGCTTGTATATGTCCAACAAGGCCCGTATCATGCGAGTTTGTTCTTGGGGATCAATAATGGTCAAGAGCGGATGCTGTGCCCGAAACGAATCCCAGATACAGTAGAAAGAGTCGAAATACGGCTCGCTCGACTCCCAAAGTGGGTTCTCACCAGTATAGTCTTGAGGCGATAAAAGGGCCCGGTATAATCCAGACCAAAAAGTCTTTAAGAGGTCGTTCTCGACACCAAAATGGTCCACCTCAACGACCGCCAGCTTGTCAGCCCAGGCTTTTTCGGCAGCTTGTACTGTCTTGCCGAATTCGAAGAATGGGATCTCGTCTTCAGCATTCTGGCATGCCTGCTCGATGGAGAGAAATGAAATTCCAACCCTGGCCATTAGTCGGCCCTTGGTAAGTTTGTCAAAGTGTATCCAGGCACCCACCGATGTGCTGAACATTGGAATGCCATTCGCACCGCCGAGGACCTGAACCGTATCGTTTGCATTCGTGTCCATAAAGGTACCCGTTTTCCGAATGGTCGCGCCTCTAAAGTCGGCACAGAAGTGAGCAGCAAAGTGACCTCGGCCAAAGGATGGGAGAAACGTGCCATTCCCCGTGACCCTCCCAGTTTCCGAATCGACCTCTAGATAGCCCCCGGACCTGCTGCCCGCCAAATCCGAAAGATCGACCAGAACCATCGGTTTTGTCGGAACAAAATGCTTCCCATCAGTGACTTCGGAAACAGATGGCAAACTGAATCGATAGAGCGCTGCATGCTTTGTAGCTGTCATCTCGGCACGAACCGAGTTGTTCAGTTCGATTGCGAAGTACCCTGGCGCTGCCTCGACAGAACCATTTCTTCTCTCGACGCCCCTCGTAAACCTGGAATATTGGCACTGCTGAAAATCATCTTCTGGACATCCAGGATGCACGAAAAGTGGGAAATTTCCTAGCGACAGTGACTAGAACCATGTCAATATGCGTTAAGATAAGTGAGTCTCATGAACTTACACCACCGGTTCCTTTTTAAACGACCCTGTCAGTGAGAGGCCGATTGATAAATAAGCGGAAGGGACTCACCAGAGTCGTGCAGGTGCGAAAAGCCGTGTATGAGTGAATCATCAGACACAAAGCCAGCAGCGGCCTCACCTCCCCGGACGTCGGCAACAGCTTTTGCCATACCTGAAAGTCGCGTTATCAGACCAGGAACCATGTCAAAACTGGAAAAACACCCGGAGTATCGTCTTACCGTATGGAAGAGTTGCTCCCGGAAAGACATGACCTAGACGGCAGTTAATCATTGGACCTACAAAAAAAAAAAACCGAAAAGATGGTTGCGAGCAGTTTACCTCCATTGACAGTCCCAATGAGCGGATCAATGTAATTGAGCACATCTGCACCGCTGCTCATGCGGGATCCCAAGAGCGTCGTCAAAAACCCTCCGTTGGACGATGACGACGCGGAATTCCATGTTGAGATGAGCGTCCAGACCACGACGAGACACATTCCCACCACGAGTGAGATGCGCCTGATGCGCGGCGCGCTTTTCAAGAAAGGTGCCATCTCGATCTTCCTTCCCGAGTGCCCGGCTACAAAGAAAGCAAAGCTCGCATAGAGAATCCCCAAGGGCTTGTCGGATAGGTGAATAACGCAGTTGTTGGTCTCCCAATATCCCGTTCAATGACGTTGCTTGTCGCATCTCCCCCCGCCTGCAAGGTAATGGTAATAAGTTAATCGATCATCAATCGACGGTACGATATTCTCTCAATATGGCCAGCATGCGGTGTCGTGATAATGTCAAATACCGTGCAAAAGAACCATGGTCAAGTCATTCTCGCCATATCCCGTCGTCTTTGATTTTGCGTAAATCAGCAGAACTCGACATGTGGCCAGAACTGCTCAGCCAAGACTTTTAGGACTCGGGACATGCGAGTCACATACTGGGGTTGAATGGCAGATAAGAGCTGGTGTCTCGCCTGCGTGGCGCAAGGCAATTGGGATTTTTTTTTTTTTTTTCCAGCGCTGCGGAAAAGGCTGAGACAGAGCTGCCGTCTACTGCTTCGTTCTTTTTGGGGGGTCACTTTGGTACTGGAACCATTGTGGCTGAAAAGAAGGTTGATTACCTGCTGCATGGCCGGGTAGGAAGACCAGGGAGAGGGTCGCAATGGCGAATAGGAGCGAGCTCGCGCAATATAAACCTGCCAGAAACGGCGAACATACCCCGAACCCCACGATCCGGGTTTCTTCATTTAGACTCCCGTGCTTCACATCTAGATGTTAGCAATGCAATTTGCATATTTTCCGTGTGCAGCGCATGGGTCCTATGTAAGTATATCCATTTCAGTCCATTAAGAATTATGGCTTGGCACGATTTAAATAATTCATCAACTATCAGTGCTGCCCTCCACTGCAGGATTGCTTGGCGAGTTCCAGTCTCATCACTGGAAGGATGTCGACAAAATCTCTGGTTTTCTGTCCTTGAGATCCAACAAAAGCTGCCCAAACAGTCCATTCGCCCAGGAAAACCACTGGCGCGTCCATTGGGTTTGGTCAAAGGTGTCAATAGACTCGTGTATAAGTCCAAGATTGTCAGTCGACGAAAGAATTTGACGCAATCCCGAAATAATCTCATTGTCGTCGTCAGAGCTGAGCAGCGTGACAATAATGGACATTGGCCACGCTTTGCCTGGGCCGACGTGAGGACCGCCAGTTCTGTATTGTGTTAGCACGAGCTATGGAAACACTGTGATCAAGGAGTATTGTACCCGTTAATGACCGAGCCATGCATATAATAAGGGTTCCAGGTACTCAGCGCAAAGGATCTTGTATTTTGGTACGTTGTGTCGCTGGCATCAAGGTAGTCGATAATGGGAGCACTGAGGAGACTGGGAACGTTGGCATCGTCCATTTGGTTGCTCGAACCGAATCCATCAACTTCAAAGGCATATATTTCTCCAAACTGGGGATGTTGCACCTTTCCATGAGCCTCAATGCCATTCTTGACGTTCGTCGCCAGGTCGCTCATTCTGTCAGCCGTGCTGCTATCGATTTTCTCCATAATGGTCACACATTTGCTCAAATAGCTTGAGAACATCATGTTTGCCGGAATGAAGAGCTGGAATATGGTTGAATCGTCCGAGGGTCTAAACGCGCTCCGGACAAGCCCAGTTCCACCCTTGACGGGGGATCCGACGCCCTTGTTGAGCAGCGTTTCCGATGCCGAGGTTGTTGTCCGCTGGAACGTGTAGGGCGAGTTATTGACATGTCCATCATCTGCATAGGTTCCAACTAAGAGGGCCTCGGCCGTGTCGAGAACGGTTCTAATGGCATCGGCCCACTGGAACTTGCCGAAAAAGTCGCTGTCCTGAGTCTTGTCGTAATAGTCGTAAGAAAGCTGGAGGAACGCCGACAAGCTGTCTAACTCGTACTTGCATTCAAAGACAAAGTTCTTGTCATAGCTGGGAAAGACAACATCCGTATCTGCTGCACTATTGTCCTCGGGCGGCTTTCCAGACTCGGTGGGAGCCTGAAAGGCATTGCAATGCGGGCTCGTCAGAAGATAGCGAGCCTGCAAGTTTATGGCACCTCGGAAGAGGGAGGCCAGGGAGGAGCTCGAGCTATTGGCTTGCAGAAGTGGCTTGTAGCTTCTCAACTGATTTGCACTGTCACGAAGCCACATGGCCACAATGTCTCCAGTCGTAATAAACGTCAGCTACATGTGAAAGAAAAGTTAGTAATTAACGTTGCCGGTAACGCCACATTTTGCAAGGGTTGCATGCCTCTTCTTCAGAGTTCCCACTGGCGAATCCATGCCAGGAAATTGTCGTATCGAGCGTGTTGGGAAATGTATTCTCGAACAATCTGGACAAGTCTGGATCCTTGATGGTCGTCTTCATGTCCGAGATTGTCGATTCAACCTCGGACAGGCTAAAGGTGCGACATGTTGCGTTTGGCCGCTGGTAGCTGAGCTGGTATTTGCCAGAGGATACAGGGTCGTGGACCTGCGTTGAATAATCGGCGTAATCAGGGCACTGCGAGAGCACTCCTCTCAGGCCAGCGAGCAGGACGCCACCGCCGAGGAGGATCGCGGGAGAGTGCAGCATGGCGTAAACGGATGACCCGGAGCCTGCAAAACCTACCAGAAACCTACACACTGACGTGGAGTCGACTTTGCAATGGCCACGGGTGCTTGGTAAGAAAGCTCAACGGTGCAGACAGATGGCTTGAGCAATACCCGTTATCGTTGTGTGATTATCACAAAATACAAACAAAGTGGAAGAAGTCAACATCTGAGAAGTAAAAGGGGGAAAACTCAGGCCGACAGACGGGCCCTCGAGATCAAATAGCGGTGCACGATCGCGACTTCTGTTGGGAACCAGCTCTGCATCACACGAGGCACCGTCAGATTTATTATTGTCCGGGGACTCTTGTGCTGTCCAATCGAGATGCACTGCATGAAGCGCCTTTGCACATGTTCAGTGGCTACACAAGGCAAGGAACGAATGACGTTGTGACTAGAAAGTGCACTGATTTCTACCAAAACACCACTATCGTGTATACCATTGACACGAAGGGCATGGTATGGGATGGATACTATGGGGTATGTGCGGTTTTTCATGCGGGGAAGCCTGTAGCGGTATGGAGTAGGTATGGTACTTACCATGTAGCAGCAGTAGTGATCAAAATGGAGCCGTCAAAATAACAAGAACTGCCAGTAAGCAATGTACGGAATAGTGAGCCTCATGTTACATCGGGCGCTCGCCGTGTAGCCGGTGACATAGTCACGATTCACGTCCATAATGGATGTCTCACATAAACCCCAACTGCTTAAGGTTAAAAAGTGAAGAGCTGTCGTGCGCTTATAGGACATGGCCATGTCATCCACCCCGGATTTCGGGAATACCTACATTGAACAGTGCCTACCTACCAGTGCTAGGACCAGGGTTCGGGGTCCAGTCTGCCACCCCCGCACGCTGGATGAGCATGGAGACAGACAGGTAACAACTTGGAGTCCATCATCGTGAGGGGTTTGTACAACCTGATCAAGACTGTATGTCCCAGTTGACGTACATGTAAATACATGCCTTGGCCGTGATGCCTGCCTGCGTCATGGTTTGGGCCGTGAGCATCGGTTTGTGCCAAGAGACAGATTCAAGAATTGGCCAAGCGATCGATGTGAGTCTACAATACTGTTATGCTCCTTGAAAACGCCCAAGCCCGTGGCACTCCGGCTCTGGTGTAATTGAGTGACGGGGAATAAAAAGAAGAGCTGGCAGGCTGGTCGAATGCAGCTTGACTTGTGTGTATAATTGTGTAAACAATAGAACAACTGCACATTCAATGATCGCTTGAATTGTTGCTGGTCATGTTCACTTGGTTTGAATTTGGAGCGGTAGGGGTTGGGGCCATGGCTCGAGGGTTATACGCCATCCAGATTCGAGTCGAGGCAAAGTGGTACTTAAAATGCATTCAAGCCTTCGCCGAGCTGATGAATAACAGACTTGGACAATAACAAGGTAGGAGGCCTAGCTTCTTTGTGCAGGAGGAATGAGGCCAAGGTCGTTTGATTGCGGCGGCCAATTGGTAGGCATACCCGATATAACCTGTGGATGTCGTCGCCGTATATATATAGTTGGGTTGGTGCCTACCTAGTAGTTCTGTAGTGATTTATACTCAAAGTTGATGCAATCAGCAGTCGAGAATCAATGAAATAGACCTGCTATGGTCACTCATATGATGTTTACATATCATACGTACCTAGTTTAGACACCATTATTGGCCTTTGAGCGCCTTATCCGCATCATCAATCTGCCAGCCGTATTCAACGTGGAGACAGCGAAACTAGAAGTGTACTTACCTTAGGCTTGTGTACTCCACCATGCGTAGTGCATACGAGCTTGGGTCAATCGCAAAGAAAACACCAACCTAGGTACATTTCCTACTGTGTAATTGATTGTTCGCAGCTAGGTGGAGCTCATGCGTTATGTATGTACGTATTGTGTGTGTGTGTGTGCATGTAGGTGGAAGGCAAGTAGGTACAATACGTAGATGCATCCAATCACCCTTCATGTAGGTAGGCAGCCTGGACATTGCCTGCTTGGCCTGCTGTCTCGTCGAATCGCTAGCGGCGGATTTGAGTCAAAAGGCTCCCGTTGTCAGGGCGTCAACGAATCGAGAGGGGGGCGCATTGGGGGAAAACCACAGGTGCAGCCCCGGGCCCACACCTGGACAATCATGCGTGTGATGCACTGGAGGAGTCACCGGACCTGGGATTTGAGGCCGAGGTGCCAAGGGCATCAATTCTCATAGAGAACAGAAAAGAGCCCAGTCACAACACACGGGCAACGCCCAGTCAGGGGACCCAACAGGACACACGCGCAGGACACAATCAACACCCCATCAACCTGTGTACATGTATATGCACGGCAAACACGTTCCCACAAAGTCAGTAATGAGACATGATCATGTAGAATAGAATCTTTCACAAGAGAGAGAGAGAAACTATATGTAATTGATGCTTATCAAGGGCGCCCAAGACGTCATTATCGTAGAGTCAGCGACTGCAGGACCCTTGTTTGGCTCGTCCTTATCTGCCCATATCGTCGGCGCCTCAATGGGTCGCTTGCTTTTTAGATATCCGGCCGATGACGGATGAGCTATACCGTTCGGGGGACTGGACTGCGCCTTTGGGCTGGACTTTGGCTTGCTTGGGGGGTGTAGCAGTGTTGGATTACCTGCTGTAGCTCTAATAATTCTGGCTGCTTTCTTTCTAGGTCTGCCATCAGCCATATCACGAGGCGGCTACCAGCTAATTAGGGACTGGCTGGTTGGACTGAGATCGACCGATAGAAAGGAAGCACACGCCTGTGCACCGATTCTCACAGACGACGAGCAGATAACGCAATGCAGCAGATGACTTGCTGATCGACTCATCCACTCTCTCTACACGTACCTTGATCACTTTTGCTAACTGATTATCTTCGTCGTCCTTTTTCCTTCTTTGCTGTCTTCCTAATTATCTTTTGGGTAACAGGTGTGTGTTTGAGTTGCCCACTGCATCTCTCTCTCTCTCCTTCCAATACTCTCTCTTCCTCTCTCTCTCTCTCCTCTTTCTCTTCCTTCCACCCCCCGGAATCTCAACTTGTACACCTTCCATCCACATCCACTTACAGCACATCACCCACAAAACAAGTGACTATGGCCTCCACCCACTAAATAGGCACGGCACAACCCTGCGGGCACCCGCATCCAGTAGAAGAGCCGCCATCACGACAGCCAATACCGCTTGTGCACTTCTCTGACCCGTCCTGGTCCTGTCTGTCCAACGTCTCTGCCTGTGCCCAGCAGGAAGCCTTGCCGCTCTCGAGCAACCCTGCAACGCGCTGATCGATCTCGAAACTCAAACCATCACTGCCTGCCTACCTACCTATCTACGCATCCTGCTTGTTATTGACCGAGTCAACATTCCCCAAAGTCAAGTCGGGTCCAGGTGACAAGCAACAAAGAGACGAACGATCACCACGCAGTAGCAATGGATACTCATGGTCAACATACTCAAACTACCTCCGCCTAGACTTGCCCGAGCCGCGGCCCTACATCACCAACACCAATTCTTGCCTCCTGGGCTCTTCCTTGGTGATTACGATACGTTTTCCCTCTTCATATAGTACAGACTATATAAGCAATCTTTCGTCCGAACGTTTGCAGCTATGCATCAGACTCCCCGCCCAGGGCCTCGCTCATTGTCGCCCGCTTCTTCGCCTACCACAAATCCCACAAGAACGAACAATCCGAGGGAAGCTGTTCGGTCGGGCGGCCACTTGCGCAGCGGATCCGAGGCGAGCGCTGCTTCAGAGGCCGCTGGTACAATGCGGCCCAGAGAAGATGCGCCTGGCGCAGGTCCCAGTTCGGACTCGATCAGGAAGCTGGACCAGATCTTACAGGTAGGCTACGCATAAACAGGCCCTTAACTACATGTACCTCATGGTTAGCCGTACTAATCGCGTGTGCTGTGACACAGAACATATTCGCCAAGGCAGGCACTCTGATATTACAAGAGCGCATGCAGGTCTCGCCAATGTTACTCGCTGGAACTAGAGAGAAGAGGATAAGCAAATGGGTAAGTAATAGGAAACCCTCATTAGCCTTCTTGACCATCTCTTTGAATTATAGTTGACGTAGGTCTGTGACAGTTCCAATTAGATACCGACGAAATCGAGGACTTTAGGGAAGAATTTAGAACATGGAAACATTGTGGTGGTATCGAGAACCGCCCGCCTCCACTGATAATCGAAACCTATCTCGATACATCCCGATTAAAAAGCGGCCAGAGTCTGATCATTACAGACGAGAATGGGAAGAGATGGGATGTCGTCGAGGCTATGAATTCATCAGATCTTTCGAGCGACTCGAGTGTGAGCGGTAGCTCGGCCGGTGGTCGCTCCAAGAAATCGTCAAACACTCATCTAGTACTGGAGCGGTGGCGGATCGAGTTGAAAGGCTCCAGCAACGATCCCGAAGATTTCGGCCTTTTACTACCGACAGTGTACAAAAAGGCAATCATCTTTATCCGGTCTGTATATACTACGACGGGCATCCTGCCAGCTTGGAAGCTTGCTAGGAACTCAAAGTCCAAGATGCTGCACCCGGCCTTGCAAGTAAAGTGTAGAGTTCTGTCAGCGGAGAACCGTCCTTTTGGGTTCGATGCTTTGCGAAGCCCATTGTATGACGGCAGGGGAGATGTCACCACTGATTACATCTTTGGTCTCCTCGAGGTTCCAGTTGGCCGATTTTACGCAACCGTTTCTTACCGAAACAACTGCAATTTCCAAGTTGTCGAGACCGAGTCACTTTTGAGCTCTAGAATCGGCTTGGCCATATCAGACGACCTATTCAAACCGTCTCTGCCGCGGCGTGAACCTGGACGTCGCGATACCGCAGCCGAGATTGGGTCCTTGCCTTACCATCGCCACGAAAGAGACATTACGGAAAATCAGCAAAGATATGGAAGTTTGTCAACCTTCCACGGGGAAGGTCCTCATGGGACGAGTCCGATATCAGCACTGAAAGCTGTCAAGTCACCTGGATCGGACACAACATCACCGTCTAATTCTCGGCCTGCAAGCGTGGAAGTACCCCCTCATTCGCTTCCCATTGCCGCTCCATCGAGGCCGCCCCTGAGAGTCGAGGCACACGGAAGGAGACCTTCAGTGTCTTTCCAACCATTCAAGCAGGGTTCTCTGTCTGGATCTCCTGTGCCACGAATGCACGACATGGACACGCCAGCATCGCCACATTCTTTGACCCGTGGACCCGGCTTGAGCGCACTTACACACGCCAGGAACAGGTCATCGTTGACGGCTGGAATGGCAGCCTCCTTGAGAGGTGGCCCTCCCCCCTCAGCAACAGCCGCCGCAGCGGACTCACCAGTTGTTGGATCGCCCAGGCCTGGATCCACGGGCCGATATAGCAGCAGCTTTGGCCATCGTCGTAGCAAGCCATCTTTTGGAGGGGCAAGCAGAGCTGGTGACGACGATCAAACTAGTAGTGGAAAGCAGAGTTTGGCGTCTTCCTTGGCTCAGCCTGGGTCTGGACTTCTAAATGAGGCCGGCGCCGGTGGCAGCTCGGGTTCGTTTCAGACGGACAACGATAACATTGAGGAGTTTCTCAAAGTATTGGAGAGTAAGAGGACTCTACAGAGCTTCGAGCCTTCCAAGAAGGGCGAAGCGATGAGGAGGACAAACGCACAGCTTTCCAAGTTCCAGCTTATGCGCGACTCAAACAATGCCCTGACCGAGTCGCTCAACTCATCAATGCAGCTACATAGATCGTCGAGCTCTTCCAGTCGGCAGCTCGCCAATGTACCCGGCATGTCGACTTCTTCATCTCCTGGCAAACCCTTGTCGCCTCATACACCACATACGCCAGCCATTCCTTCCCGTCTGAGTGAGAACTCGAGTGTCGACTACGCGGCGCCTACTCAGTCGACGCTGCGACCCCGTCCAGGTCGCGCAGCTGAAGCACCCACCAGCATCCCGTCGACATTGGAGGGCACAACTGCTATCGATATCCCGCTCTCGCCGCGGCCTTACCCGCATGTCAGACGGTCGAGCTCGGCGGCACAACCTCGAGTTGTTGCCGATGATGATGACGCCCATCGAAGTCTCAGTCTTGGTGCCGACGATCGTGAGCCGCCCAGTCTTAGTGCTCTCCTTGGTCGCCACGAAGCCGCTAGAGATGCAGATGGCACATCCGATTCGCCGGTCATGCAGCCGCCTACTGAACTGCAGGTTGATGAGTCATCAGAAATGCTCAGACAGGCTTCTTCATCGGCCGAGAGGGAGACCAGACCACCAGGCGGCCTATACGCCGGCTTGTCGAGCTCCCCTTACCGACGATATGGTGCTGGCAGCGGACGAGGCTCGAGCAATTCTCAGTCGGGCAATAGCAGCCTGACTGGTCCTAGCACTAGATACGCGCGTGGGTATTCTAGAAGAGGCCCAGCCGGTCTAGGTGTTACCAGTGGTCAGCCGGAAGATACAGAGGAAGAGCTTTTGTTTGACATGTCGGAGCTCGAGCACGCGCTGAACCGAAAAAGCCTCGAAGAAAGCCGAGGCGCTGGCGGGGGATCTGCTCCTGAACGCGAAGGCTACGATTCATCGAGGGGTGGAAGTCGTCGATGGTAGCAGCAACGGCGAACGACGTCATGATTCGCACGGGACATTCGAGCGACACCATTTGCGCTTCACATAGATTGTTTTTATTCGGTCATATAATACACTAGGGCGGGGATATAGCATTTTGCTGCTCTTGGCTTTTACAAGGGCAACCAGTGAGGAGGACATCACCATGGGCGCGATGCAGACTGGAACGCAACCTTGGCCCCTGGGGTTGGTTATGAATTTCGAGCGATTGTATTTAGGGAATCACGGCCATGGTCATTATTGAAAAGAGTCAATTTCCTAGGGCACAATGAGATATGCCCGCAAAAAAGACTCTTGGGCGTTTTGCGTTGCGGATCTGGACGGTTCGGATTTGGGCCAGTCGTCGAGCTGGAAGAAGGTGTGGTCGACCTACGTAGTCGCATCATGATTGCATACATGGTGAAAAGCCAGACTACAAACATAGAACGAATATACAGACTCGCAAGATGACAAACCTTTGGTTCACACAATTCTAAAGTTGAACTCTGGCTGTTATGATCAACAGCAAATGTGAACTCAAAGAACTATCTATCTTGTGGGATCCATGTATGTCACTCTTGGGTTGTTCAGGAATCAGTCGAAATCAAAACAGCATACATACTGCGCCATCAGTAGTTTGCGAGACATGTGTGGCTCATCGTCCTCACATTTGCACGAAAGCCGCTTTTAGTGTGGTTTAGAGTCGATCAAGAGTGCGGCGCAGTCATTTCGTCCCAATGCAGTATTGCGTGTTCGCCAACTAAGCTGCTTCTAAATTAAGGGTATCGCCCCTCGAGATTTCAGCTTGCTTGGGGCCAAGTGCATTCCGTACTCTGTCCGGCGAGATCTAATTATGTAAGGGTTCCTAGGTCAGAAAGCAGAGGCAAGAGAATCCAGCCCATCCAGTAGTACAAACAACCAAGTGTACAAAAGTGACATGAAATTCGTCTTGTGATTTATATGCTTGTAGTGACTTCTTTCCAATGTTGAAATTCATAAACATTTCTTTGGTCAATAGAGGTTATTTTAGGCAAGTCAATGAGATACATCCACATACATGCCTACATACGCTACTAGGTACATAATTGTAGTAAGCTGAGTGAATCGTGGGCCCAAGAGACTGGGCCGCCACGCTAAAAGTGATCGCTGCCGCGCTCCCTTTCAGACTTCAGTGGACCGTCATCCGAGCTTTTAGTGGGCTTGAGCCTGGCTGGCAAGCTGGAGCTCTACCCTCGAGACCTCGTTGTGTGTAGTAGTACTGTGTAACCCAAATTCCCCCAGCCCAGCTGATACGTAAGTCCACACTCAACTGTCCCCGCCAGGCTGCAGCTAAAGGATCTCATCCTCATTACAACCACAACTTCAACCACAATCTACTCAGCAACAGCGATTCTTAACTTTGACCTCGAGTTTCTGACCCCGAAAATCAAGCAACAGGGCTTCAAATATCACCAGAGTAATCTTCATCAATCGACCGGGGAACGCGCTTTTACAGAGCTGCTTGGTCTTCGCTATTCAGCATGTTTCGAGCAGCTGCTCCTGGCCCGTTTGACGAGGCCATTGGTACGTCATCAACGCACTACATTAAAGCTCATGCCCGGCCTGTCTGCCGCGCAGTCACCTTGAAGAGCACAAACCCGCGCGATCTGCACACTGACGATTTGTTCACTCTTACAGCCAAGGCGACAAATGAGAATTTGACATCCGAAGATTGGGGTGCCATCATCGAGGTGTGCGACAAGGTCGCAACAGACCCGAATGGCCCATCGCAAGCTGTCCAAGCCACCATCAAGCGCCTCGCCCATCGCAATGCCAACGTCCAGCTCTACACCCTCGAGCTGGCGAATGCCTTGTCCCAGAACTGCGGCAAGCCCATGCACCGTGAGTTGGCTTCGCGAGCCTTTACAGACGCTCTTCTGAAGCTCGCCAACGACCGCAACACACACCAGCAGGTCAAGGCAAAGATTCTGGAGCGCATGAAGGAATGGAGTGACATGTTCAGCAAAGATGCCGACCTGGGTATCATGTACGATGCCTACTTTAGACTCAAGCAGACAAATCCGACACTGCAGCCCCCGAGCGCCCCGCAGAAGAATCGACTGACGGAGCTGGATCGGCAAAAGGAGGAGGAGGAGCTGCAAATGGCGCTGCAGTTGAGTTTGCAGGATGAGGAGCGCAAGAAGAAGGCTGCCGAGAGTAGTACGGCGGCAGCAGGTCCCAGTACAGGTGCTGGCGGAAGTGCAGGTGCCGCGCCAGGCCAAGCCGAGCCTATTCCATCGCACCCGACTGGAACAACAGCAGCGACCGTCTCTCGTGTCCGCGCCCTATATGACTTTGTCCCCAGCGAACCTGGAGAGCTTGAGTTTAAGAAGGGAGACGTCATTGCAGTGCTCGAGTCCGTGTTCAAGGACTGGTGGCGAGGAAGTCTAAAGGGCAATACGGGTATTTTCCCGCTAAACTACGTCGAAAAGTTGACCGATCCTACACCCGATGAGCTGCATCGTGAGGCGCAGATGGAGGCCGAGGTCTTTGCAGAAATTAAGAATGTCGAAAAGCTGCTCACCCTTTTGAGTACCAGCAACACTGCGCCAAGGGAAGAGGATAATGAGGAGATTTCAAAGCTCTACCACCAGACACTGGCTATCCGACCAAAGTTGATCAAGCTGATTGAGAAGTATTCTCAAAAGAAGGACGATTTCACACAATTGAACGAAAAGTTCATCAAGGCCCGGAGAGACTACGAATCCCTGCTGGAATCGTCCATGTCACATCCTCCTGGCCCGAGCTACCACCAATATGCTCATCGACCAGCTGTTCCAGGGCAAGGAGGCTATCCCGGTGGCGTTTCGGGATATGCTCCCCAGGGTCCGCCTCAACATCTTCAACAACAACAAGATCCTCAACGATTCTACACTCCTGGGCCTCAGGGGCCTCCACCCCAGCAAGGTATGGAATGCTAGAGATAAGTCTTGTCGATTCCGACTGACGTGTTGTAGAGCAGCCTCCTTTCCAGGCTACGTCACCACCTCCTAACTTCCAACGCCAAACACCTGGCCCGGCACCTTTCTATCTACAAGGCGCCGAGGTGCCGGCTCATGCTGGCCCGCCTCCGCACCAGCAACAATACAACCAAGCCGGGGGTCCTCCACCAGGCCACCAGCAACAATACTCGCAAGGCGGCCCTGCGCCCGGCCAGCCCCCATATTCCCAAGCTGGCCCAACTCCAGCCCAGCAGCAGTATCCCCCTAGAGATCAGCCTTCTCGTTTAGCCTCGGCAGTTGCTGCAGGCAAGCAGCCTGCCCCCATCCAGACATCGTCCCCTCCGCCAGCACAGCAATCATACCAAGCATATTCGCATCCTGCCCAACAACCTGGTGGTCAGCCCCAAAGTACATACGGCAATCCTCAGGAATTAGCCACATCAGCCTACGATTCCCCTGTTGCTAGTCATCAGCCCGGACCCGATCCTTACTCGGCCTCGGTCTACTCAACAGAGGACCCTTATGCCAGTAGTCCGACGGCACCGCCGGCATCGGTACCGGTACCAACAGGTCCATCTCACGGTGTGCCGACCGCTTTGGCTATTGCTGGCGGTGGTGGCCCTTCTGCCCCTTCAGCGCCATCGCAACCGCAATACACGGCTTATAACCCACTTCAACAGCAGCCTCCACAGCCTTCATATGACGCGCCATCTGCACCGACCAATGCACCGCCACCTGTACCAACCGCATCGGCGCCTCCCATTCCATCTCCAGATGGTATTACTGAGGCCTTTTCGCCTGCGCCCCTGCATCCAAGTGGTCCGGCATATGACGCTAGGAATAACCTTCCAAGTCAATACGGGCATGCTGGCAGCTTCCACCCGACGCAACCTCAGTACAAGGCCTATGTTCCGAGTGCACCAGCAGTTGATGGCAATGAGCCCAGTGCTCCACAGGATTTTTATCGACAAAGTGCTGCATACTAGGCATGGCAGGATGAATGGTGGCATGAAGCAGTCTGGACATTCCCTTGGTAGCATGTGGGCATGGATTTTCTTTTAATGAAGCGAAGCATCTTTTGAAGTGGTATGAAAGGGCATTTCAGCAGTTTGTCTCTTTGCGCAGACCAAATGCACTCTTGAGGGGCACCAATTCTCGGTAGCTTTGATGTGCAAACCGCCAACCAGGATTTTCAAGTGTTTGGCGACAGCAGAGTATATATTTATTTGTAACATAATCTTGCTCACGATTCATTTTATCGCAAATGTGAAACTGGAAACCAAAAGCCCAACACGCTCCAAATCATGAAGGGAAAGCTCTAGAATGTAAAGCTCTATAGCTATTCGTCAAACTTTTCAAGCAACACCTATGAGCTTTTCGAGTTTGCCATCTTTAGGGTCTCAGCCAGTCGCTCAATGCCCTCGATCAGCTCATCCTCTTCATGCCACGCCCAACATAGCCGAGCGCCACTTACAAAGTCTCTCGAACGGTCCGGTCGCTCAACAGGGTCGTCAGCTACGCTAAAAATACGCCCGGGGGCAATCTTGAGATTGAAGTGCTCAAGTGCCAGACTACAAATATCATCGACAGCCGGGGCGATATCTTCTCGGGGAAACAGAATGTATAAAAAGAAGCCACCCGCGGGCTGCTCGGCAGCATCCGCGGCGTCAGAGGATTCTTCTGTTGCTATCCTCACCCCGAACGGATATAAGTAATGTCGGATGGCGGCTACCATGGTATAGTAGCGTTTCCTATACGTGGGGATCAAGACATGCTTCAAATGACGCTGTAGGTCGCCTTGGGCGAATAATTCCCCTATGATAAGTGATGACATGTGTGCCTGGTTGCCACCCGATGACGTGGCTCCGCTTGAAAAGAGTTTTAGTATCGCTTTATTCGGCTGGGAGAAAAGGGGGAAGAGAGGAATGACTTACACCCGAGTCAAGGTCGCCACAAAGTCCGGAGTCGCCTCCATCCAACCGACGCGGGTCCCCGGCGCGACAATCTTGGAAAAGGAGCCGTTGCTCACGGTATTGCCAAAGGGCGAGGGCGAACCCGGTAGGATTCGGTCGATATCGACCAGTCGGGGCGGGGAGATCAAGTGCCGTTGTCGTCGGGTGTTGTTGTTGTTGTTGTTGTTGTTGTTCCCGTCCTCGGCGCGCACACACGCACAGCCGTCTTCAGGACACCACCGCAACACGTCGTAGACATCGTCGGTCACGAGGAGCATGTCGAATTCGCGAGCTAGTTGGACCAGGGCCACGCGGTCCTCGTACGCCATGGTGCGCCCGCTCGGGTTGGAAAAGGTCGGGACCATGTACAAGATGTGGCGATAGATTTTGGGGTAGCCATTATTGGGGTCCTTTTGCGCGTGACGATAGTGACCTTCGTGATCCTTTTCTGATGCTTGGATCGCGGTCCGCAGATACTCCAGATCCACGCCCCGGACACCCTCGGGCACTCCGCGGATCCTACGGCGGCCCCCGGGTCCTACTCCGTTGAAGCCGGCGTCGCGAAAGATGGCGGCCGCCAGGTGATATGTCGGCTCCACCATCCACACGGTCTGCGTGTAGCCCTCCTCGCCCTGGCCCGGGTCGGCGAATTTCTGCAGAATCGTCGCTAGGCCATTGGACGCTCCGTTGGAGACGAGGATGCGGTCTGGATTCACGGCGCCGGCTTCAGGCTGGTACTCGTCCGTGAGCCAGCTGGCAATGTGAGAGCGCAGGTTTATTTCACCTTGGCCTGCGCCGTATCGTACTGGATTTCCTGGGTTAGTAAGGTGTACCCGGGCATAATGTGATGTGAATCACATGTCTCTGATTCGGTGTCTTTTGAGTTGAAAAGATGATACTGTTTACAGCTCATGAAGTGATATTCTTTGCATAACCACTCTACATGACTACCCATGAAAGAAGAATGGAAAGTAACATACATTTCTCCTGTATATTGGGGTTTGAAAAGACCCGGGCGGCGGCCTCTCCCAGTTCCGCACTGGGATGCAGGCGCGGCGTCGGCCAGCCGCCTTGGAGGTTGATGTGCTTCTCGGGCACTCCGTACTTGATGACCATGACTGCGGGCAACAAAGTTGATCCGGCAAACAGTACAAACACAGCCGGTAAGGAATCGTGTTGAAAAGAGTGCGGTGCACGGTTTCCGATCACGACATTGCATCTAGTGGTAGGTAGTCTCTCTCCTCCTTGACCCTTGCCGGACGCGGGCGCTGCGGGTCATATTGTGGGGACCGACCACCTCGGCCGTGAATAGGAACCCCAGATCCGAAAGATAAGCTGCTCCGACGGGACGATTTCATTTCAGAAACAACAGCATGAACAATCACAGACTATTCCTGTTATCTTGAGGCATAGTTTCTTTAAAACGTGGCAGGACCGGTACGTTGTTGAGAAAGAGAAAGAAAAAAAGAAAGGGAACAGAGAAAAAAGGGAAAAGAAAAAGACTTTCTCCATTTGTTATTGTATTTGCGAACGTATCTTCAATAGACACGGAATTTTGTCAATATGCATTCGAACATTGACCGGCTGCATATTGACAAAATTCAGGATTATTGCCCTCTTATTAGAAACCCGTATTTGAGTCTTCGCAATGCCTTGAATGGAAACGATCCCATATCCCACGACTCCGACTTATTGTCTCTAAATGGCACTTAACACGACGACTCCCGGATATGATAATATGATTATGAGAGGTTGGCGGAGATGGTGGAAATGCAGCTTCATACACCACGGCGTTATTTAGAATCCAACGCGTACCGTTATAAGCAAATTAAAATTATTTTGTTTCACCGCTTCTTCCATAGTCCCAGACTTTTTGCAAATTATAGCTCGGAAATCGCCAGCCAATGCAAGTATTGAAGCACCTCCTACCGCGCTTCTAAAATACTTTTTTGCGCGAAATCCTCGACATCTCCCACCATTACCTTTACATGATCACGCTTCTGACGGCTTTGAGCGACGTATCCTGTTGCACTTATGGGTGAGAACTCTAGTAGATATGGAAAAGGCAATCAAGGTTGTCAATCTCTTGCTCCATTCTGGGGAAATCATTGATCCAGCATTCGCCCACCAATTCACAATGCACATATTCCTTGATGTCGTGACCGAATTTCAACCACGCTGGCGAAGCCGCAGGATTGGCGCCGCCCTCCTTTGATGAATCTTTCAGCGGGCGTACGACAAAGGGAACCGTAGCACCGGGAAAGTAGACGATCAAATCGCCAAATTCGACTTCGAGAGGAAAAAGAGCAATGCCATCTGGAATCAGCGGTGTCCATTCCATATTGGCCGCAGCGAGCTTGTCTTGCTTGGCATGGCTTTTTTGCCGAGCGTGCTCACGATACTCTCTAGCTTTGCCCTTTACTCTGTGCAGAAGATTTGGAATTGCCTTTTTCTTGGTCAGCTCCGAGTCGCCGCTGATGCTACTAGGTGACTTGGCTGAATAGCTTGGTGAGGGAGTCCCAAAGAATTCACCAGGCGAGGCTGACCGATACATTCCAATTGTCCTATCTTGGAAAATGGTTATGTTTTTACCCCTTTGTTCTGCATTCGGAAACATCATGTCCGGAATGCTCTCGACCAGGTGGTACTCGATTGATCCGGGCTTAAGCGGATTATCGGCCAAGTCGATATAATTCTTGAAGCTGAGCTGAGAATTGAGGTGATAGGCTAATCTGTTGTTACGCTGTTGCAGAAAGTGCCATTGTTCCAACACCATGGGGGCGCCAAAGGCCTTCCAGAAGCCAGCAAGCTTGAAAATTTTATTACTCGGTATGCGTGGGTCGATTTCGCGGTGTGCGTTTGCGTCAAGCAAATCTGCATAACTGGAGAGAAGTTTGGCTTCCGGAGACATGCTCGGTTGCGTCTGGCTTGGAGAAAAGAACTCGAGGGCAACCTCTGCCTGCGGGATCGTGAGCAGGCACGGTGAGATGGCTGTGCTGATCACGCCCAACACTTTCCCCTGGATGCAAAGGACGTCCTCATCTGCCCCTTTCGGTTAAATCACAAAGTCCCCAATGTCGCTTGGTTGGTAGAACATTGGAATGGCGCCGCTGGAATACAATACCTCAATGATGGGCCTGGCCTCGTAGAATTGGTCCGGGGATACGTTTTGCCAATTCGGAACCCATGACGGTGTTGTCATCTGCTTCTTTGCATCCTCGAATTTGAATTGGTCAAAAAGATCGCCGTAATTGGATCTCAAAGTCGTGGCGAGGCCCAGCAGGCATTCTTTCTCCCTGGGAAGAGTACTTTGGGCCAACTGAGCAGGGTTCTTTGCTTCCATCGCAGCCAACTCTTTGCCAACTACTACGTATCGAGTATCCAATTCATTGAACTTTTGTTGTAGCCTGATGATCCATGAATAGAATGGTGTACTGTTCCTGTAGCTGAATATTCTGAAGTCTTGTTTGGCACGGAGAAAGTCGGCAGCGAATTTCGTGTAGAATTGCCTCGTCGTCAGATTGTAGTCGACTGTATTGTGGGATTGCCAGTCAAAGCCAGAGCATATCCCCAGGAGACCAATGACCTTGTCTCTCGGGTCCGAAGCTACCAGGCCCCTTGTATGCCCCACGAGCATGTCGAGCAAGTTTGTCGTGGCACCCTCGCTCGCCTCCTTGTACCAGGATGGCAAATAGTGCTCCTGATTCCGGGAGACATGAAACGCAACGCGCGAGGCCCAGATGCGACGGATTGAGTCCAAAATCTCTCCCTCGACGATCCGATTTTATAAGAGTCATATTGCCGCGTCTCAAAGAAGAGGAGTCTGAACAGTGTTTCCCAGGGAACGCGACAATGGCCGCACTGGAGCGATACACTTTTTGACACGACGAATTCCTGCAATACCCACACGCGACTAAACCAGACACGCGGCAAGATATCGCTATAAATATCTTGTATACCGCCCCGGAAGTTGGTCAGGTCGTTCAGCTTTGAAGGAAAGTCAAAGGACTTTTGTCCCGTCTCGTCGAGCGCCCAGGGGCTATTTCTCCCCAGGTAGTTCCAAGCCGATATGCCAGTGTTGCCCCCATCTTGGTCACCGAGGTAGACTATGGTTTCCTCGGCTGCTTCGTAAATGTCACGCATGTGCTGGACTTGATGATTTCGCTCCCGAGTGTTGGACTGGTCGATGCATAGCGCATCAATCCAGAGCGGAAAAGTGCCGCTGCGTCGGCGCAAGTGTCGCAGGGCAGACTCAAGGTTGGGCTGAATCAATATGTGCTTGCCTTGGACGACCACGGCGCAGCTGACCGGCTCTTGACCCCATACATAAGACAGTGCCGTGTATGCCACTTTTTGCGCACTACTTTCTGGCAGGCGGACACATTGGATCTCACACTCGAGATCATCCTCGAATCTATCTGCTGGGAGCAGTTGCAGAATTCGAAAGGATGCTGTGTCAAGGGGTTGATGTTCATATGGCTGGTAGTGTGGACTGCCCCTGAGAATGGACGTGAGAAAGATTGGTTCAACGGGCTTTGAGTTCTGACCATGCGTATGTCTCGCATGCCAGGCACGGCTGAGCTGTGATTTCGACATTCTAATCACACAAGTTACAAACGTCGGTCTATCCCGTAGCGCGCATTATTTCGCAACATATTTCCAAGTGTTTGAGAGTCGTGCTTGGCAAAGTGCGCCCGCGACCCTTGAAGTATCTCAAAATGTCCAGGCTGAGTAAGGACCCAGGAGGCAGGACTCTGTGGATCTAGGACTTATCTGTCTGACATGCTGTGGGTGCCTTGCATTGTGGATATGATAGTCTGTCAGCAACAGGCTCCCGATTTGGCTTACATGGTAAATTTGCAGTAGATCGCAATTATCTGTCTCTTTATAAAAGAACAAAAGAAGAAGCAAGAGGAAGGTAAAAATAAAAGGGGAGAAAAAAAGGAGAGAGAAAAGAAAGAGAGGGAAAAGAGAAGAAAAAAAGAGAAAGAGAAAAAGGGTTCTAAAAATAAGTGTAAATCAGGTTATACAGCGGACTCTTGTTACAGAGTACTTTAGTTCTCACATGGCACTGCAAAGCAGTCGCTTTATCAGAAGAGGAGGGGATTGAAAGATTGCAGACACCGAAGAACCGGATAGGGAAACACATCAGTCTCATGGAATGTCTTAGACTAGTATACAAATTCATGGCCATGGAGAACCTCTCCGTAGGTAGTAGTGTGATCATATTCTTCTATACTTGGCTCAAAACAGTGCGAAAGACCTTCCTCCCACTCGTTCCAAGTCCGGATATTTGCCGCATGTTATTCGATATGAACAGTCTAACAGGGACTTCTGGGTCACTGATCAATTCCTTGTAGATATTCCTACCCGATAGCATGCTACGGAAAAGGTAGAAACCGTTCATTCCAGTCAAAAGGAAGCATTGAAATCATCTGTGACAAAGGCACTCAGGTACAGTATCCTGCTAGACTTTGATTGTGCCGGGAGTATTCAAGGTTTGGCGCCGAGACGTCCTGTGCCAACAATTGCCGCAACGAAAACTCTGCCACATTGACCCACTCACACATTTTATCAGCTCCAATAAATTGCCTCCTTCCAACAAGCACTGAAGCAATTCAGTGCTTGATCATTGGTCCGTTGGCAGAATTGGCATTGCGTCTGACTACGAAGCATTCTCTTCTCTGAAGAGTTGTAATCAGTTGACATCAGGAGATTCTGGGTTCGATCCCCAGGCGGACCTTCTTTTTGGCCCTCTAAGTAATTATAATTACTTTTGTTGATTTTTTTTTTGTTGTTCCCTCTTCACCTTTTTCGCAGTCTCTCTCTCTATTGCGACAACAGCCAACAACAGCCCGACTCCGCGCCCTCGGGTGGGCAATAATCATGTTTTGGGCTTAGCGCGGTTCCCATACCATAGCACTGGGAAGGTACGTACCCCACACCAAACAATTTGAAACAATATAGCGGAATATGGATTCTTTCCCATTCATCTTACCGTTTCAAATATTTCATACAGAAACAGTTGTGATATAAACAAAATATATTACTATAAACAGCAAATAACTTATGCCACGGTAAGCGTAGCATTGGCCCTGAGGTCGGCGCTCGAGCTGCCCACCAAGACGGTGAAATTGCCAGGCTCGACGACGTAATTGTAGTTGAGATCCCACAGCCCGAGGTCGCCAACCTTGAGCTCAAGCTCGACCGTCTCGGTCTCGCCGGCAGCAACGGCCACCTTGGCGAAACCCTTGAGCTGAATGTTGGGCACCACGACGGACGCAATCAGGTCCTTGACGTACAACTGCACCACCTCGGATCCGTCGCGGTCTGACGCATTGGTCACGTCGAGTGATACTGTTATGGTATCGCTCGAGGATGCTGTGGACTGCGACAAGGCGAGGTTGGTGTACTCGAATGTGCTGTATGAAAGACCGTAGCCGAACTGGGGAGGAATAGAGTCAGCAAACAAATTTTGGGCAATACAAGGAATAGCGCGGTGAAAAGCAACGCCTTGGGACTTTTACTTACCTCGTACAGAGGAATGGGAGTCGACAGAGCATAGTTGCTACCAAACTTCATGGTACCGTTGGGATACACCTCGCCGGGATTGGGCCAGGCACGACCAGAGTTGAGGTAATCGTAGTAGGCCGGGGCGCTGCCAATGTCGACGGGGAAGCCAACAGAGAGCTTGCCAGACGGGTTGATGTCGCCAAACAGCACGTCGGCGAGGGCATTTCCTCCCTGTTCCGATGGGTAGAATTGTTGCACCAGCGCGGCGGCGTCATTGCTGATCCACGGCTCCGTAATGGGCTTGCCCGAGCTGAAAACAACCACTGTCGGCTTGCCAGTGTCGATTATCGCCCGTACGAGTCCAGGCATGGCTCCTACGAGGTGCAAGTCATTGACATCAATGTGTTCGCCAGTAGTGGCGTTGAGGCCGGCCCAGAGCTCATTTTGGTCTCGCGACCAGCTGTCATGAGCATTCATGTCAGTATCGATGCTCAGAGGTGCATGAAATACTTGGTACTACTTACGTGCCAACGACGACAACAGCAACGTCAGCTGCTTCTGCAGCTGCAACAGCTTCAGCAAAGCCCGACTCGTCCGAGGACCAGCGCTCGGCGCCCTGCGTAAAGGTGACGGTTCCTGTGCTAGCAGCCTTGATGCCATCATACGGCGTAACTCCCCTCAGAGATGCTTGGTAGGGTACGTAGTCACCATACTATGTTATTGTTGTCAGCACAGCCTCGTTGTTTACGGACATTGTGACTCACGTTCATGTAGCCGTGGGCCATGGGTCCGATGACGGCAATGTTGGCGTCCTTGCTAAGCGGCAACACGCTCTCATGGTTCTCCAGGAGCACAATGGACTCTGCGTCGAGCTGCCTGGCAATGGCAATAATCTCGGGTGTGTTGATGTAGTTTGCTTGCTCGTCGGCTGGTACGCCGGCATATGGCTTTTCAAAGAGGCCAATCTTGAACTTGGCCCTCAGCGTTCTTCGGACGGCTTCGTCAACAATATCGGCAGATAGCTTGCCAGACGCAACCATGTCTGGAATCAACTCGTAGTTGTAGGATCCACCACCCATCTCTACATCGGTTCCCGCAGGAAGGGCCTTAGAACATGACGTGTCAGCAACCGATAAATGCAGGCATTGTAGCGTCATGGTTGGCAGCACTCACAAAGTTGACCACGGCCTCGGAGTCGATTGGACTGCTTTCGCACATGAAAAATGCGCCGCAGAGACGATCTGTGCCGCCAGCATCGCTCATGACCTGCCAGATCCTGTCAGCTACATTCTGGTTCAATAATTTGCAGCTCAATACGAACAAAGTATTCATAGCCCCACTGATCTCTCAGGATGTCAGAGAGAATATATTTGTCGGCAACGGCTGGTATTCCGTCGTACGCATGGTAAGCAGCCATGATGGACAGAGCCTCTCCGTCAATGATGGCTCGCTTGAACGAGGGGAGGTATGTCGTCAAGAGCTCACGCTTTCCGCCGTGCACTGGGCCAGTGTTGATGCCCTGCTCAGGGGTTGCGAAAGCCGCCTTGTTGATATTAGTCTCCATCTCCGCTTTCAATTGCCACAGAAGACTCACGAAGTGTTTGACCATGGCGGCAACTCCACCTGACTGAAGGCCCTTGACGTAGGAGTACGCAATCTCGCCGGTTCTGCAAAATACTGAGTATCACTCATGAGACCGCCTGGTTCTATGACTTACAGGTATGGATCCTCTCCAAAAGTCTCTTCAACTCGACCAAAGCGCAGCTCACGTGCGAGATCTGCTAGAGGCGCAAAGATATTGTTCACACCCAAAGCCAGCGACTCTTGGGCAATAGCCGCAGCCATTTTTTCCACCAGGTCCGGATTGAATGAGCAAGCATAAGCAATGGGCGAGTTGAAAATGGTGCCGTTGGGAATGAGGAATCCGTGGATACCCTCGCTCTGCACCCACGGAGGTATACCCAGGCGCGTGTTCTCCATTGCGTAGTCTTGACCAATCTTGATGTTGTCGCTGAGGAGCTCCCATGCGATCGGGACTCCGACATAATAAGATCCCCCGCGATACTGCGTGCTCCATTCCAGCCCAGTCTCGTTGAAGCTGCCATCGGTTATGTTGAGCCAGTTGCGAATGTCTCCCTGGACCAATTGCGAAGTCTTTTCCTCAATGGCCATTCGAGACAGGAGATCTTCGACTCGATCATCAATGGCTGCGCTGGCATCTTTGTACAGAGGCTGTGTGCCATTGCTGGTGCCGTTGCCTGTGCTGTACTGGGCATACACCTGCGCCAGAAACAGCGAGATGGACAAGGTCAAGGAACACAGCATTGTGGAAAACCAAACAGCAAGACGCAATCACAGGACAACAGCCAGAGTCGAGCTCACAAGTCAGCCTGGCAGGTCACACAAACAAGGCGATCACGCACTTCAAATACATCACTGCCAGATCCTAGTCTAACGTCCAAGTTGAGGAGGCTGCCTGCCCTACGGCCCGGAAGCCAGCATCTTCTCCGCATTTACCAGGGCATTGGCACAATCTATACCAGGGAAATTACCAAATCTCGGCGACGTCTTGCTGGTTCTCGGCAACGAGCATACACATAGATCGAGGGTGTCACTCGCATCCCCTGGCCCAAGCCTCTGGATCGCGTAGCAAAAATAATAGCAGGGAGAACAGGCCCGTTTACCCTCTAGCCACTTGTCCACGCTGGTCAGGAACCAAAACGACAATGAGCCGATGTCATGACCAGGGCATTGTCAAAACTTTCGACATTTCTCTCCTTTGCAATGAGGAGAAATTTGGAGAATGACAAGACGTCCGGGGAAGCGAGGTTGGAGAAAGTTCGTGGGGAAGGACCCTGCAATGTATCCGATTGGTGGAATGGACACAACCGACTATGCTTGCTCATTACAGAGAATATTTCTCCGATTACCGACAAACATACATAGACTTATTACCTCGTATATTCAGTCCTATAGAGATACCCCAAGCCGAAGGAGGGGAGGGTCTTGGACATGGTGCCGTTCCAATGACAATCCAGCGCTGGGAGAATAATTTGCAGACTTACCCAACTGCGAATTCTCCATAATTTGTCCAGCTTCTGCAGTGCATATGCTGATGCACGAACCCGAATCTAATAAGCTCGAGTGGACCAAAAGACTAGAGATCATCTCCATTTCATGATTATGACTTGTCCGACTGCCCCTCTCTCGCCTCCGCGGGCCGTGTTCCGACTTGGTGTAGCCCACACTCAGATACAATGTTTGAGCAAATGATAATTCAACCCGAATGAGGGGAAGCTATCGTGAGGTCTCCAAGATGGCAAGATTGAATTGTTTATCAGTCATTGTTTACAGTCTTCAATTGAATCACAAATTTTGAAAAGTCCCATGGTTTTTTGTTATAATCACCAAACGACAATTGCTCATAAACACAATCAAGCACCACCGACCAGCCAATAGCCATCGAGATCATGAAGTTCCGCGATGGCATGTGGCTCCCTGCCGAAGGCGTCCAGACCGAGTACGCTGAAGAAGTCTATGAGATTGCCTCAAAGGAAAACCAATTGAGCCTCCTGTGTCCAACAAGGAAGATATTCTCTCGTGGTGATACTCTAAATCGCAGTACGCTGACTATTGTAAGTCGACCAAGGGATTGATATTCGACTAGTGACAATGTACGTTTCTCGGTACTAACTCAAAGAACAGGACATTGAGGCTGCCTTTGATGGTGTCATTTCAGTCGAAACCACACATTGGGCGGGCGCAGCGAGACGCGGACCTGATTTCGACCTCTACCCTGATGGCAGGCCATCTGTCGAGGCCAAAATATCCAAGAATGATAAAGGCACTGTTCTCTCTTCGGGACCGCTGTCAGCCACCATCAGCGCTGAAGAGCACAGCTTTGACATTAGATTCCACAGCAGCGACGGGTCCAAGCAGCTCACTTCACTCCTGAGCAGGAGCGTCGGGCTTGCCTACAGCCCGGCGACGAGCAATCCCATGCAGACGGGCGACATGCGAGATACCAAGCATTACATCTTTACACAAACATCGCTGGCCGTCGGTGAATCCGTGCACGGTCTGGGAGAGCGATTCGGGGCGTTCAACAAGGTTGGACAGAGCGTGCAGCTTTGGAACGCAGACGGAGGCACGTCAAGCGACCAAGCTTACAAGAACGTGTCGTTTTGGCTGAGTTCCAAAGGCTACGGCATCTTCATTGATACACCTGGCAAGGTTGATCTCGAGATTGGCAGTGAGCGGACCAACCGGGTCCAGACGAGCATCGAAGGACAGAGACTAAAGTGGTACATCATCTATGGACCAACGCCAAAGGAGGTCTTGAAGAGGTACTCCATTCTCACGGGCAGACCGGGCAAAGTGCCAAGTTGGAGTTTTGGCTTGTGGCTCAGCACGAGCTTCACGACCAATTATGATGAAGCCACCGTCACGTCATTCCTCGAGGGCATGAAGGAGCGAGACACCCAAGTCGATGTATTTCACTATGATTGTTTCTGGATGAAGGCATTCAAGTGGACCGATTTTGTTTTCGACTCGGAGAGGTTCCCCGACCCAAAGGCCCAAATCTCCCGTCTCAAGTCTTCCGGCCTGGCCAACAAGGTCTGCGTCTGGATCAACCCTTACATTGCCCAACACGGCGCGGCATTCGAGACGGCCGCCAAAAAGGGCTACCTGCTCAAGCGCAAGAATGGCGACATCTGGCAATGGGACCTCTGGCAAGGCGGCATGGGTCTCGTCGACTTTACCAACCCAGAGGCCGCCAAGTGGTATGTCGAGTGCCTCAATGGTCTGTTTGACAAGGGCGTCGACGCCATCAAGACTGACTTTGGCGAGCGCGTGCCCACCCTCGACGTCGAGTGGCACGACAAGACGGTCGACCCCCACAAGATGCATAATTACTACGCCTTTATATACAACAAGACCGTCTACGAGGCGCTCCAGGCCCGCTTCGGCAAGAACGAGGCCGTCCTCTTTGCCCGGGCCGCGTGCGCCGGCACCCAGCGCTTCCCGCTCCAGTGGGGCGGCGACTGCGAGTCCACGCCCGAGGCCATGGGCGAGTCGGTCCGGGGCGGACTGTCCCTGGGCCTTTCGGGGTTCGCCTTTTGGTCCGTCGACATTGGGGGTTTCGAGGGCTACCCGCCGCCGTGGATCTACAAGCGCTGGGTCGCGTTTGGCCTGCTGTGCTCGCACAGCCGCCTGCACGGCAGCAGCTCGTACCGCGTGCCCTGGACCATTGACGGCGACGACGGCAGCGAACAGGGCTGCTCGCGCACCCTGGCGCGCTGGACCGCCCTCAAGACGCGCCTCATGCCGTACCTCCTCGCGCAGGCCGCGCGCGCCGTGGACGCCGGCGTGCCCCTCTCCCTCCGCGCCGTCTGCCTCGAGTTTCCCGACGACCCGACCTCGTGGTTCCTGGACCGCCAGTTCATGGTCGGCGACAACATCTTGGCGGCGCCCATCTTTGACGAGTCGGGTGAGGTCGAGTTCTATCTGCCCAAGGGCAGGTGGACATGCTTCTTCACCAACCAGACGCGCGAGGGACCGGGCTGGTTCCGGGAAAAGCACGGCTTTGGGACTCTGCCCCTGTACGTGCGGGAGAACTCGGTGCTCGTGCTCGGCAAGACGGGCGTCCGGGGCGCCGTCTACGACTACGCCGCCGACGTCGAGGTGGTGCTCTACCACGCGCAAGAGGGCGCCAGTGCTGATCTCCACGACAAGGACGGCAAAGAGCTGGGTCTCTTGACCGTCACTGGAGGTGAGGACAAGCTGAGTGGAACTGAAATCTTGACTGGAGACTGGAGCATCAGCACAAATGGTCGAAAGCTCGAGCAAGAGTACTCGGAGACGATCCAATGGCTTTAGAGTAGGAGTGACTTTTCCAGATTGCGTCTACCAAATCAAACCATTCCTGAACCCGCGGAGACAATCATTATGTAGAAGTGATAACTCAAACACGTTCAGTTCCAAAGTAGTATTGGCCTTTACAACAGAAACTAGATTACTTGCATGTCGCTATAGAGAAGACTTTTTTTTTTTTTTTTTTTTTTGACTTATAACCAAATTACTACGATCCTATCACGTTGGCAGGAAGTTCATACATGATCAATAACAGACGACCTGTCGACTGCCAATGTATTTATATATGTACATAAAACGGTAAGTATCTAGACTTCTAAATGGTCTTTCTAGTATCATCATATTCATGATTCTTTAAATGGATTCAACCTCATTTAACTAAATCTCAGAAACAAGCGTTATGCCAAGCGAATGGTATCGAAATAAGTCATAGTCTACAAGAACCCCCAAGTCACAATCAAAAACAACTCCTCAAGCCCCGACACTAGCGAGACGCTGCTGCTGCTCAGGACGGGGAGTCAACCGCGCCGCAAGCGTCGGGACGCCGACACGGTCAGCCATGCGGTCGGGGACCAGCTCGGGGGATACCGAGCGGAGGGGGTACTCGTTGGCCGGCGACGTGGGGCGCAGGAAGCGCGATGTGGTCGGCTGCGGTGCCAGGATCGTGGGTGACGATATGATTGGGGACTCGGGGGAAGGGGGTGTGTGAATGTCCACCACGGGCGGTGTCTTGGGCACCTGGATAGTGGTCGTCGGACCCGTGCGGATGGTCGAGGGCAGGATTTGCTCGAATCCTTGTTGACGGGCTACTTGCTCGATACTCTTAAAGTACTGGAGACGGGGTAGGAAATTAGCACCGATTCCATACAGTTCAAGGTTTATTGTTCCATGGGCTTGTGCCTACCTTGACAGTCTTGACCTGCAGCTCCAGGGTAGCATCCTCGTCACAGACAATCATGGGATGCGGGTGGAGCTGAAGACTCGAGAGAGTCCACATGTGGTTGACGCCCTGCTCGATGCAGCGCTGGAGGGCGAGGGCCTTGCGGGAGCCGAGGATGATGACAACCACCTCGCGGGCCTCGAGGACCGTCTGCACGCCGACGGTCAGGGCCATGCGCGGGACGCTGTCGAGGTCGTTGCCGAAGAAGCGCGAGTTGGCAATAATGGTATCATAGGCCAGCGTCTTGACCCGCGTCCGCGACGCCAGGCTGGAGCCCGGCTCATTAAAGGCAATGTGGCCGTCCTCGCCAATGCCGCCCAGGAAGAGATCAATCCCGCCGACGCGCTTGATCTTGGCCTCGTACTCGACGCACTCGGCCTCGAGGTTGGGCGCGTTGCCGTTTAGGATGTTGACGTTGTTGGGCTTGACGTTGACATGAGAAAAGAAGTTCTTCCACATGAACGAGTGGTAGGACTCGGGATGGTCTCTCGGTATCCCGATGTACTCATCCTGAACAAGCAGTGGTCAGACATTATGAATCACGTATAAAAGCATATACATCCGGGGTCTATCACGAACCATGTTAAAGGTGACGACATTTTCGAATGATATCTAGAGTATACTAGGTTAGCCTGGTGTACGATATATAGCAAGTGTCCCCGGCAAGAGCTAACCTCTCCAGCTTTATATTTCTCCACCAATATTCTATACACAGCCAACGGACTAGACCCGGTGGGAAGACCAAGGACGAAAGGGTGGGAGGGGGTTGGATTGAAATGCTTGATCCTCTGGATGATATAGTTGGCCACATAGTAGCTGGCGGTCTCCGGATCGTCTCTAATGATGAGTCTCATGGTGGGCAGGATAATATTGGATATGATAAGATGTCAATCTAGGAATGATGATGTTATCAGGTCAAGGGAGTAGGTAGATAGTGCTTGGGGTTGGGTTGACTCTTGCAATACGCAAGAATGAAGAGAGCAAGCAAAATTCAAACCAGCCGTTGGCCATATTAAGAGCCTCACTCCGATTGCCATGACTTGATCTCTGACGTATCACGGGCATCGCTCCGGCCCTCCTAGGTAGGCGAGTGCCGCCAGGGATTGTGTGGATGACTATTGCCCCCAGGCAGCTGTGACGCAGTACAGAAGCTTCTGGTGGAGGTCCATTGTTGAGAGAGGTTCAGATAAGATGGAACGTTTGACTTGTTTTCCCCCCCCGGACCCCACCAAACTGGTGTATGTATGAGATCACACATTGTACGGCGTGTGGCCCGAATGGTGATGGGCAGGCCGGTCCGGCAAACGTTGTAGTTGCTCCTCCCTGCCAGCCTGCCCTACCCCAGACAGAAGCTACCAGAGCTAGCCATTGCAGACACGTGCCATCCCGTTGTCTCAGAGCTCACCGGGCAGTCTGATTGGATGTGAGATCCTGAAGAAGCTGTTCCGTAGACAACCGTATATGGAAAGCGTTCTTTGCCTGGACGGTTGGGCCGCGCTTGATTGGCCCTATGACCCGGACGCCTCACTGAGGTAGATAGTGTAGAAAGTGGTATAAGCACAAGGCGTGCGAGCTTGCGAGGCTCTCTTAGTCATCTGAGGTCCCTGTGGTAGGAGATCGGTCGACAAAGCTAAGATCTCGTCTGTAACATGGCTGACCATCCACCCCCCTGCCCTGGTCGATTTTTAAATGTTCCTTGTGGTGCTGTCAAATTTGAGTAGGAACGAGCTAGTTACAAACAGGGCCCTGAACACTGGTAACGTTGTTTGTCGATGTGGATCGAGATAGTGGATCTACCGTTAGCAATGGCATGGAGGTGTTTGATGGATGGATGGACGGATGGATTCTTTTGCGCTCTGATGGAAACGTATACTATTCTACTGGGGGACAAACCCACTTGTCGCCGGAATTGCACCGCGTGGATTCGGGCAATTACCATGATCGATTATTGATTTTATTATTCCCTGCGCAGAATTTTGACAATCACAGATTCGACCTTGGGGCAAACTAGATAAAACCATGTTCTGGCTGATTGGGGGGAAATGGGCGGCTTGGCTGGTGGGTGTCTTGCGTCTTATATCCGGTCGGGCCTAGAATTTCCAGCGCTCACCTCAGCAAAGACGATGAGCAAATAAACGAGCTGCAGGATACCCAGGACCGCGAACCGAACCAAACCAGAGTTCAAGAGCTGTGGCGCCTTCTCCTGTGGCTGGTCTTTTTTCCACCTGCCCAAGGGAAGATCTTGCCCATTTTGGACTCGCGCTTCTTTTGTTTGCAGGAATGGCTTGAATGGGTTCCAAGTAATAATCATAAGATTTAGCTTTCTCATGTGAGGGTCAGAAGAAAAACTTCGCTGAAGAGAGACAACGTTACGTTACATCCCCTGGGGCATCCAGAGAAACAAGCATACCGATCGCCGCAGCACGATTGGTTCAGTTCGCCTTCTTTCCCCTCCCCAAAAAGACCCTTTGCCGGTCCCCGTTTCGCGCCGTTTCAAGCGCGCGGGGCTTTGGATAGCTGCTATCGCCGCTTGCTACCTCATCCATCTCCAGCTGCCGCTGACCAAATAATCTGCTACTACAGCAAATTGATGCTGGACAGTTCCTACCAGCCAGTATCTCACTATCTGACCAACCTTCATTCGTTGCCTACCTACTACCTACCTATGTGCACTATTATTCGCTACTGCTATTGTTGTTCACGCTACCACCTAACCCACACCTGCATTGAATGAATCACTGACTGACTTGACTTTCTTACCGATCTTCGGTTCTGCGAGTCAATGATTCTCAGTCAGTCAGTCACTTACCTCCTGCTCACTCGACGCCCCTCCAACAAGAAGACCTCAATCGCTGCTGCCACTTGATCGCGGTCCATGGACCGATTAGACTCCCCCGCGACCGTCTCCTTCATTTCCCCTTGCTGCCTGTCCGCCTGCCTGCCCGCCCGCCCGCCTGCACTGTAGCACACCTACTTTTTGCTTGTTCGTTATTGGGAATGGCTTTCATACTACATGACCTAACTGGCTACATCGAGGTATCGCATACTACATTATAACCTACAATACCCACATACCTTTGCTAGGTTGCTACATTACCTACGGGACTACTACTGCTACTACTACTACTGCTACTACTGCTACCTACAAACTACACCCTGCACTACTGGTGGGCATACATCTTTCTCCATTTTACATTACCATCCAGACCCAGATAGATCCTCTCAGTAGTGGGGCCGAGTCGTGTCTGTTTAGTTGGGAAGAAAGAGGAGAGAGAGGCCCTTTCTTCGCTGAAGACACACTTGACAGCACTGGAACGACGATCTGCCGCAGTTGGCGTGCCGGTAACTGACTGGGAAGCCACACCTCAGGGAACCTTACCAGCAGACAGACACACATGCCCTACCTAACCAACCTTTTGCTGCTACTACTGCTACTACTTTTACTACTACCTACACCGTACATTGGATTGATTACATTGGATTGGATCGGGACCCTCTAGTCAAGCGTTGTTGCAATCCGTGTCAAGTTCCGAACGCAACGCAAATTCCCTCCTCGGCCGCGTGCAATCAATCAATCAAAGCTCGTAGCTTGTTTTTGGTCTGTCTCGTCTCGGTGCTTTCTTCTCTCTGGGTTTGTTTTTTTCTTCTTGTCTATTTCCAGTCCACTATCGAATCCATCTATTTCTCTGGCCCTTTATAGGCTGCCATTTGCCTTCCCCCTCAGTCCCGCCCGATTAAATCCATTTACATCGGCTGTGCGGACGCTCTTGTAACCTCATCACCTATTGGCTGGCTGCGTCGCTTCATTCTTTGGTTACCTACCAGCCTACCGGCAGGTCTCATTTTTCCCGGTCCAGCCTCTTTGCGACCGCTTATTATACGAGCCAGCGAGTGAGCAGGGCAAAGCACGCAAGCATTCTGACGCGGCCCTTCTTCTTGAACCAGTCCATCCACCTACCATCCGCCATCCCCTTGTCCTTCCTACCCAGGAGGTAGTCTAGGAAACGAACCAATTTTCATCTCCATCCTCGGGTCCTCGGGTGGGTAGGGTAAAATAAATGCCTGGGACGGGAAAGGCATTGATCTCCTTCTGTGACCCATTCACGCCCTGCTCTTTTCGCATCCTACTTCTCCTCCTTCGGTAGAAAAGGGGAACAGAGCTAGCTATATGCCACTACTCATGATTTGATATCCTGCGACCAAAAAAGAAAACATATCATCTCATATCTACAAATTCACATGCCATTGCAGCCGCTCTCTTCTGCAATGACGAGGCTGAAGCAAGTCCTGTTGGCAGCACTCAGCTCACTGCTTCGAGGCCGCTCTTTCCTGCAGGCCCTCTTCACCTTTTGGATCAGTCCGACGGTTATCAAGGAACACAGCGTGAAGACGGCGTTGCCACGCAGGGACATTGAGGATTTCCTAAAGGAGGCGAGGCAGCGGTTGCTGGGCCCCTTTGAGGACGGTCAGCTGCTAGGCCTTTCGCGTGATCTCAAAGTCCAGTTTGAGGAACGGCTACAGTCTCACAATGAGTCCATGCTGCCATCCTTTAACCACCTCCTGCCCTCTGGCAAGGAGCAGGGCAACTATATTGCTCTCGATGTGGGCGGATCAACGTTGCGTGTTGCCCTCGTTGCCCTGAGGGGCCGCCTGTCTGCTGGGAACGAAAGCGAGATTGTCCGAATGGAGAGCTTCAAAATCACGCCTGAGATCAAGAGCCTAGTGGGAACGGGATTCTTCGACTGGATGGCCAAACACATTAGCGAGGTAATAGGGGATGATGCTCAGTCTGAGGAGCCAGTGCCCATGGGCCTGGCATGGAGTTTTCCGGTCGAGTACGCAAACCCTTATCGATTTTTTTTTTCTTTCAAATTTATTATTCAAACATGGCTTTGCATATGGCTAATCACAGGGATACAGACAAACATCACTAGGAGGTGGCCTACTACTCGGCATGGGAAAGGGATTCGTGGCTACGGACAGTCTCCTCGGTCAAGACCTGGGCATGATTATTCAGCAAGCATGCGCAAAGCAAGGCCTCAACGTGGAACTGGCTGCCCTAGTTAATGATGGCTCGGCGACCCTACTGTCTCAGGCCTACATCCACGGGCAGACGAGGTTCGGTCTCATTCTTGGCACCGGAGTGAATATTGCCGTACATCTACCTGTGGCCGCATTTCACCGCTCAAAGTTTGGCGAGCGGTCTGAGTCGTGGTTTCAAGAGGCGAGTCATGTGATTGTGAACACCGAGCTGGGCATGTTTGGAGGTGGTATCCTGCCGCTCACACGGTGGGACGAACAGCTCAAGGCGGCGCACCCACGCCCAGACTTTCAGCCCCTCGAGCACCTCCTCGCTGGTTACTATCTAGGCGAGATTGTTAGATTCGCCCTCCTCGAAGCCATTGAGACCACCGGATTATTAGGTGGTGTGGTACCGCCATCACTGGAAAAGCCCTACTCTCTTGACACGGAAACTCTGTCGAGAATAGAAGCGTAAGTTGCGCTTACCCATCCAATTGAGTTTGTCTAACATTTGATGTTATAGTGACACAAGCGCCGACTTCGAAATCGCGCTGCCATACTTTGCATCAACGCATCCATCCAGTGTCCCACCCACAGCTACCGACCTGGCCGCGATCCGGACCTTGGCATCGTGTACATCGCAGCGATCTGCGGCCCTCCTCGCTGCCTGTGTATTTGGGCTCTGGGAAATGCGACACGAGACCGAGGCCGAATATCTCGGCACACAAACGCCACCGCCACAAGCCATCGATGCCAAGGCCCCGACGCCACGCAAGGCCTCGTTTGTGGCCGAAGCCCGCGTCGAGGTCAAGCTGCCGCAAACCACGGTGGGATTCAATGGCTCTGTCATTGAGCGGTACCCGGGGTACCGCGACAGCTGCCAGATGTATATCGACAGCCTGACGTCCACGAGCGAGCACGTGGGCGAGATCAAGCTGGTGCCAGCCCTTGAGAGCTCCATCCTCGGTGCGGCGGTCGCTCTGGCCTGTGCTACGGAACCACAGCCATGAGTTTTGCAATAGAATAGAATTGCAAGGCCTTGGCAAAATCTATGAACATTATACGATACCCCATAATCATCGTAGTTTGCGCGAGATCACGGGAGCAACGAGAGTTTCTATAGTCAACGACAATACCCCTTTCCAAGTGGTGGACAACATATACTCGGCGTTTTTCTTATCATTTACCACATTATGGACGGTCAAGCAAATTTGGGCACGGCTCTTTATTTTGGGCCAAGGATTCATGGCTTGATGGGATGTTTTATTTTTGAATAGCGATCTTTGCCTCCCAAAATGGGAAATGAAACGGATATATGGAACTTTGCATAAGAGAGGGTATTTTATTTTTGAGCCAACATCCGAATGAATATAAGAAAAGAAACCAAGAAGTCCCAAGCCTATCATGAGAAAAGAAGAAAAACGGCAGAAAACATGTCCCAGCACAAGTTGTCTGGATATTGCAAAGCAATAGCCCTTGGCATGTTCCAAATGATATCATTTGTACCAAAAAAAAAAAAAAAAAGTTTAAGACACCCAGACGAAGAAGCAACAGGTAGGTATCCAATTCGCCTTATTTACCTAGGTATTCGAAAACGCCGATTTCCATGCCCACATCATCAATTCATCTAGCAAACAAGAGGACACTAGAGTTCAAAATTACTGGTGAGGAGAGAAACAAGATCCCCCACAGTACCTAACAAAAACGCCAAGCCGCTTTATTCTGCAGAGAAATATCTCTTGGCTTTGCTCCGGACCTTTTGTGCTTTGATTTCCTGGGGCACGGCTATGTGATGGACGATGTGGGGTCGATATATCGTATCTACCAGGGGAGTCCTGCAATTCAGCTCGGTTAGTCATCGTGCTCCCGTTCCCCGCTGCAAACTGTCATTCATGTATTTGGTCGACTTACCAGTCGTCCACGCTAAGTGGAAAGTATTCATATAGCTCCTCGGTTTCTTCTGTTGGACTCGCAAGAGCGCCGCTGATGCTTGACCTGTTGAGCTGAGGGCTCTGCAGTGCATCGGAATTAGAACGATTGTTTGGGCTCCGCTCGTCTTCTGAGAGCGATAGATTAATAGGGATGGATGGGCCAGATGAGTTCTTGGACGATGCTGCAAAACTTGACATTTTGTTTACAGACGACTCTGAGCTCCATGCCGGCACGGGTGGCCGGTTGGGGTTGGGCGAAAGGGCCAATCTCTTCTGGGGGTTTTGGGGCTGTCGCTGTTGTTGCTGTTGGGTTTGATGTCCATTGTCATATGATAGTGAATTCCCATTGTTCCAATCATTTGTGTATGACGAGCCTGAAGAATTGTAGCGGTGTAGGCTCGCAGTTATGTCGGGCTTTTCTTGCTTCAAGATGGGTGTTGTTGCTGGCGCTTCACTTTGAGTCCGTGGCTTTTCAATATAGACTGGTTTCTTGTCGCCCGATAGTTGCACGTCTTTTCGGCTGTCGAAATTTCGTGGACTACGACCCCGAACTATGACTGGGCCGCTTCTAATCTCGGCAATCTTCATGAGCTCCCCGCCAGTCTTCATTTTGCCAAGGAGGTTAATTTGGACAACGTAGTGTTGTTGCAGTCCCTTGCGACGCCCGTTGTTGGCGGTGGCAGACTTGAACTGCAAGCGCTTCCATGACACGGGAATGCTGACGCGGTGGGCGTCCACCTCTTGAGCACTACCGAGATCAAGGGCCACCTTTGGCGGTGCGCCAGCGGTCTTGGTCTCTTGACCCTCTCCTAGAGCAGAGTTGCCGCTCTTCCAAGGTATGGAGATGATTTCTGTCGGCTTGTTATCAATCGACTCAGAGGCCGTAATGGACGCATGAAATTCCACGATGGGTATAGTTCGTCCTTGCTCATTCAAAACCTGAGTACAATGCCGCGGCATAATAATCTGACCCGAACATTGCCAGAGATTACGTCGGTAGCAAGTCAGTTCCAGGGGACGCGGCCCCGTATTCTCGCCGCCAAAGACATCCTCGGCGACAAAGAACATGCCGTACAGCTCGGCACTCATGTTCACCTCGGAGAAGGCTCCAGTAGAGTCATCTACGGGAGACGCCTTGAAAATGGGCGGGGAGAAGCTGAGCAATTTGTCGTCCAGCTGCGGTGGCGAGGACTCCTCATCATGGAAGGCCTCGGGATCAGGCGCGGCATCGTAAGGCCTGGAGTAGTTGAAGGGGTCTTCAAAAGTCGTCGTAAATGTCTCGAGATCATACGAGGATGGGTTGAAAGGGAAATTGGGCAAGCCTCCGTTTACACTGTCCCTGCGGCGTAGGAGGTATTAGTGATGATGCTCCATCTCGGCGGCAAACTACTTAGACATGTAGTATAGGAATTCCTTCGCCATACGCGGTGCTCCAGGCCCAACTCGGCCCGGCACATTAAAAGAAATGGCGGCGACTTACAGGATGGACTCATCAAAGTTCATTTCCGGATCAAAACCGTCGATGCCGAGTCCTGGGCCGACAGCAGGTCCTCCGCTTCCCATGGCGGGTTGATTTAACCCCAAGGCATCGTTCGGGTTGGCGCCAGACGAGAGCGCCGGCATGTTGTATGTAGCCATTGCATCTTATCACACACCCTTTCTGCTTTGTCGTCCTGGTCCACGGCTTCGCTGTGGATTCGGGGGGAAAGGACGGCCGATCGGGGAATGGCGCCGCTCCCGGTGCGCCTCCTCCTCTTTTTTTTCCTCCTCGGCCTTTTTGGTAAAAGGACACAAAGTAGAAGTAATTCAAAAGGGCGGTTGTCGGTAGATGAATGGCAAGGCTTGATTCCCGATAGTGGACGAACTGTTTGGCGCTGCGATAGATATGCTAGATGGTAACAATTTAGTTGACCGTAGACGGCCAGAGATGTTAATTAGCTGCTACTACTACTAAGCTGGCGACTTCCGATGAGCGTCGAGTCGCAGCGCGCGGAGGGTCCATGTCCTAAGCATCAATGATCGGGGGTGGGAAGGCAGGAAGCTGTGGAAAATGGGGAAGCTGGGCCGCTTGTCAACGCTAGCGCTATCCTGGCCTTTTGCACTAGCAGCTAAACTTGCCTGGCCTCCGCCTTGGGCTTTTTTCCTCTGCCCGTACCGTAGGGGGAAAAGGTGGAGGAGGAGCAAGGCCAAGACTCGAGAGTAGTGTACCCATTACCAGACGCCAGAGGCGTGAGGGGCAAGACTGAGAGAGAACCAGAGGCAAAGGCGGCGGACCTTGCCTGGGACCTCGAACTCATTGGCCCGCCCATTCCCTATCAGCCGCACGTTGTACTGTTACCTGTAGCATCATCATTGGCCCTGCCAATGCCCCAGCACAAGAAACCCAGCAGAAGACCTAAAGACCTGCCTTGACTGGGTGTGCTATACGATAGCGCTAATTGGCCCTACCGATTTGATCTCGAACAGTGCGCAGCTGTTGCCAAGATGCACACACTTTTGAGACACACACACACCCCTTAGGGACCTCGAATGATGAGCATTGACTTGAATCAACTAAATAATTTAACATCCCGGTCCCTCCTTGCTAGGAGGATATCAAATCCTACAGTTTGCTATGCAGCTGGGAGCTCTTCACTTGAAGCAGTTTCGACCAGTTCAAGATCGCGATCGAGGACCCATTGCCCATTTTTCTGTAATCTGTATCATGGCCATGACCCGTATCTGTGCAACACCTTTCAACTCGAGATATACAAAAACTTTCTCTACTCAATAAGGTTGAACCCTGGGCGCCATCAATCCATCAGTGAGAACTTGTCATGCCTAGCCACCTGCATGTTTGAATGTGTAAAGTAGGTAAGCAACCTAGGCTCCCGCATAGCCAACGGAGAGATTCCGGATCAATCCGCCCGCCCCTCAGATGCAGGACCTTTTTGACTTCCCCAAGTCGCGGGCTTCTATTTTTGGAGATCGAAGGGTGGCTTATACTTCAATGCCCAAGGCCTTTGAAAAGACCGAACGATGACACTTGGAAATCTGTGCGACACGTACATGATATAAAAATTATCGATAAATGATATATTCCGCTGCAGAGATGGCGAAATGCGAGTCAACTTAAAGAGCATTATCATCGCATCCCAGTTTTCCTAGGCTTATGATCTCGAATTACGCATCCAGTAACAATAACCAATGTCTCAGGCTCCGCATAAGTAAATGGCAAGACAGGCTATAAGACTAGCTGAGGTCGGACCACTACAAAAAAGCTATCAATATCAATACTTTGAGTCATGCTTCAATAAACTTACATGTTCTGGGGAGTTGGTAATCTCATCAAATGCCTGTTGCACTTCAAATCCCATAGTGGCAAGAGTTTCGTACGCATCGTCGAGCACCTATATACAATTAGCACCCAAAACTGAGTTCAACTACAATGCAATTCTGCTGCCAACTTACCCAGCTGAGTATACTTTTTGCCGACTTGTGACCTTTGTTCTGACGGACACCCATGAATACTAGTCCCTGAAGTAGCAAGGCTGATTGTGATGTAGTGGGAACAATAGGAGCAATGATGCCTCCGAAACTGCCTTCGGTAGCAGTGTTGAGCAACGGAATATATGCCGCAAGACTGCTTCCCGGCTTGGTCACGATAACAGTCCCCAGCAGGCTTTCGTTGGTGCTTTTTGCTCGCACAATTCCACAATCGTGATTTGACTGCAGTGCATGTCTGTAGAGCTCCACGACATCTGGCTGCGCGTGCGCTGTGACGTGATTCAACACACTCTCTCCATTTTCGAGCCCGGTGATCAAGTCAAACGTGATTTGATTCCGTTGCAGGCTTTGAGGGAGGCCTTCAGGAAAGGACCAAGAAGAAAGATCCTTGATGGCAAGATTGGAAATTCGGCGTGGAAACTGCACATCCCATCCAACATTTCCGAACCAGGCCTTTGCGCCCCTGCTCTCCTCGATCGGGATACCAGGAAAGACACCAGGGAAAGAAACACCGAGTTGGACCTTTTTCAATCCCTTTTTGGATAAGAGGGCTTTCATGGCTCTTCGGTGCAAAGAGGTGCCAATGAAGAGGTTCCGCTTGGCTGGATCGACAAAAATGGCACCGATAGCTCCCTGACCCTTGGATATGTAGGTGGCTACGAAGCCATAAAGAGCTTGCGTGCTGCTGTTTCGAACAACGAAATGTGCCTCCTCCACATTCGGACTGAACAAATTAAAGGTATGGGCGCGACAGGTAGAATATGGTAAACTTGGCGTACTCGTTCGCGCAAGGGCTTCCAATAGTCCATCCAGAGCTTGTGCATCACGCTCACGGTCATAGTTCTCCACAAGCCACTGTCTTCTATTCTTGATGACCTTTTTGCTCTTGCGCATCGTACCAGGCATGGAGCCTGTCGGGATAAACTCGCCGTAGAGAGCGCGGACAAGCGAAGCCATGGCCGTCTCAGTGAAGTCGAATGTGCACAAATAAGTGCCGATGCTTTTATCCATGGCAAAGTCGTAGGGTGAACTCACGGCAATCACCACAAGCGACTTTTTCTGACCGGTCGATCGAAGTAGTTGGCACATCATTGCGACATGTTTCGTGAAGCCAGATTGATAGCCATTCCTGTGGGCATCCGCGGTGACTATAACAATCGCCGAAGCTCGGTGGATCAGATTTTCATGTACTGTGTTGTCGAGGTTAGTGAAATATAAAAAGCATTCGATGGTATTAAATTACCAGGTCTCAGCCCATTGGCAGTGTAAGAAGTATGCAGAAGCTTTCCGTGGCGGGTTCGCGCCAGCGTTCTCCCCAGTTCACGAAAAACGCCCTCGCCGCTCATGATGGCGCCCCTTTCCTGGTGAATGAACTGTCCGTGCAACCCGCCACCACCATTCTTAAAGTTGTTCTTCTCCATCATACTCTTGGTTGCTTTCGAGGCTGGTAGCGGCTTCACAAGCGGTGTGAGTAGAAGCATCTCCTCTTCTTGCAAAAGACTTTGCGTCAATGGAAGGAGACTGTCATTGTCTCGAACGACGGTGATGGAAAGATCGTAAGCCTGACGGGACAATTCCAAGTGTATGGGATGGATCTGCGAAAGTAGAGACAGGCCGGCGGGGTTGAGGGCGGCCTGCCAGGATGTGCAGGCTCGCTTCATTCGGAGGACGCGCCTCAAAGATGTATACACTCGCTCTTTTTCAATCATACCATCCTCGATACCAAGTTTCAGACCGGAGATGGCCTCAAGCTGTACGTCGTGAGCTCGGCACAAGAGGATCAAATCATTACCTGCCGTGACTGCATTGATAGTACCGCCCTTGACTCCGTATTCTTGAATCAGGGATTCCATTTCGAGGCATTCCGATATAGCCACACCATCGAAACCAAGTTCGTTTCTGAGAAGATCGTCTACTACCTCTCCCGCTAGGCAAGCATGCATAACGTTCATGTCGGGATTCTGAATGCCACAGCCTCCAATGAACATGGCGTCGAGCCGCCCCGTGGCAATAGCATTACGAAAAGGCACCAGAGCACTGAGACTGAGTTCCTCAAGGGTTTGTGTGATGATGGGCATATCCAAACTTGTCCCCATGAAGTTGAGGTTTCCATAGGATGGAAAATGCTTGCCACAGGTTGCCAAGCCGGCATCCTTGTAGCCATTCAATGCTGCGATGCCATACTGCGATGCTTCTTGGGGATCATCACCGACAGCTCTTACACCCAAAGGCTGATGCCTAGCATTGGTGAGGACATCGAGCACCGGACCGAGAATTACGTTGACGCCTACGGCCGAGACCTCGGTTGCTGTAGCCTTTGCTACTTCGTATGCCAGCTTGGGGTTGCCAGTCGCGGCAATTCCCATGGCACTAGGGAATTGACAAATGTAGTCCTCGTCAAAGAGGCTGTTAACACCGCCATTCTCCTGATCGAGTGCAATTAGGAGAGGGTACGGATGTCCAGCATTGTGCGCTATAGTCTGAAGCTCCCGAACCAGCTCAGTCGTCTGTTCGGCAGCTACGATGGAATTGAACGCGGTCAGTATTCACTTGTGCCCATGTTTAAAATCGGTGTCTGTGTCTCGTGAGAGAGACAAGGCAGGTTCATGATGAAATTGGGGCCTTTACATTTGAGGTTCTTGGCGGTAAGTAGGATGGAGCCCAGGTGGTGCTTCTCGATGAGGTTCCTGATTTGAGGCGTGACTTCGGTGCCGTCCCATCCCATCAGCAGCATCTGGCCAATGGCCCTGGATCGGCATTCGGTCAGCAGACTGAGGCATCGTCCTAGGCTCTCATGCCGAGAGACGTTTCGCGAAGGGACTTATCCCATCAATCGTGCCAGTGAAACGAATGGAAGAGGGCCCCATAGTTACGTACCAGTCCATATCCTCCCATAGTGGGTCAGACTCGCTGTCTACTTTGGCCATGGTCAAGGTCGTCTGTCTCCGGATCACCGGTGTCACGTTAAAGTGAGCTGCTGCTCAGGATGCGGGCGCTGCGGTGCGTGCTGCTGAAAGAGGGGCCGCCCCGGCCTGCTGGTGTAGGAAGAGTGTGGTTCACTTCAATGTTCGTCACGAGTGTGTATGTAACAATGCCAGCAGCACCTGGCAGTAGAGACGGGAACCACACGATTCAGTATCCCCCTGGTCGCAGGGAAGATAGATGCAAGATTGTCTCCAGATTGGACTAGGAGATAATGTCTATCGCGCCAACTGAAAAAGAATAGTGTGACTTTGGCGAATCGACGAATAACAAGGAAAAGCCCGAAAAAAATGCTACCAGCCTTTATCGTCTGTCAGGCGTCGAGATGAGCTTGTCCACGAGGAGTCCGTGGTACAAGACGGATTGCTGACGGGACCCCAGAAACATGGACGCTGATGAAGGCCGGCTAAACCTTGGGCTCAACGCTGCTACTGCCGCCTCCCGCTAGCCTTGGGCGAATTTCAGTGGCTCCCAGGCTCGTTACAAAGTGGAAGGCCCCTCCCCCGGCCTGTCACTACATTCACTAACTGTTAGAGCCAAACCCCGGCCTAGACTGAAGGACTCTCCCTCTGTGGGACCTTCAACGCAAGTTTCCCTACCGCAACGTTACAACACCCGCCACTACTATTGCACCAGGCCTTTTTTTTCTCCATGCTCATCATGCGCGACATCAGTGGCATACTTCCGGCTTGTTCGGCTTGACCACATGTGTCATGGTAACACGGTCAAGGATCCAGAAGAGGCACATTTTGGAAATGGACTCTTTTCCCTCTCCCCTCTTGAAACACATCGCCGATCAAAAGAAGATCACATTGTGTAACCATCAGCATGTTATCGACCATGTAGCAGCTAGATTGGGTGCTTCAGCACAGAGGCAAGCATGGAGTAGCCCGAGAACCAACCTGTCACGCACACATCCGTCCAACGTTTGCTGATTGGGGCATTCGATCCGCAACGGCTTTGAATTTTTTTATTTTTTTCGGTGATTTTCCACTTTTGAAGGCTATCGCAAGTGCAACCTGCAAGAAGCGAGATATGACCTCAAAGGGCTCCACTGGTTCGCTTGTTTCCTATCTATCAGAGCGGCCAGCATCGGACGCAGGCACCTATTCAATGTGACTAAGCGTCATCGGAGGGACGCTGACTACTACGGTGTGTCTGATATCATTGCAGGTACTTAGTTGTTAGTGAACCGCTCTCGTTTTACGCCTCTGTCCGTCCTATGGAGGTCAGAATCATTGCCCAAGGGGCTACTATTGTCCCGCTTGACGCTACTTGAACGATATCATACCCAGTAGTATCAAATCTCTCTTCTATTATCTCTGTGTTTGTTGTAATCCACAGCCATGCCACACTCTCTCCCATCATCGCCCAAGTCGACGCCCCGTAACGGTGGTAATGGCATCACCAAGTTTACCAACTGCCGCATCCTCAAGGGCGACCGGCTCGTCTCGGAGGATCTCTGGGTGAACTCGGTCACGGGCAAGATCGTGCGCAGCCAGGCCGCCTTCTATGACGACTTGAACCTGCCCGATCAGACCGTGGACCTGGGAGGCCGCATCATCTCGCCCGGCTTCATCGAGTGTCAGCTGAATGGCGCGTTTGGCTTCAACTTTTCGACGCTGCTGGAGCCTGCAGAGTATGCCAAGAAAGTAAGGGGTCTCAACAGACAGCTAGTACAGACGGGTGTCACCAGTTATGTTCCCACTATCACATCTCAGACTAGTGAGTTGTATAAGAGGGCATTGCCATTTTTGGCACCAAACGGGCATGTCCAGGTTGCAGAGGATGGCGCAGAGTCGCTAGGTGCTCACGTTGAGGGACCCTTTTTAAATCCAACCAAGAACGGCATACACAATGTGGACGTCCTGTTACGGGCAGACTCATTTGCCGATCTAGAGGATTGCTACGGCGCCTCCAACCTCGAGCGGGATGAGCACGGCAACCCGCCCGTCATCCGGATGATCACGGCGGCCCCCGAGGTTGGCGGCATGTCCGACCTCATTGGCAATCTCACGGACCGGGGTATCGTCTTTTCCATCGGCCACTCAGAGGCGACGTACGAGGAAGCCTCCAAGGCGGTGGCCTCTGGGGCTTCCATGATCACGCACCTCTTCAACGCCATGCGCCCGCTGCACCACCGGAACCCGGGCATCTTTGGCGTTTTGGGCATCGCCGAGAGCCAGCCGCGCCCCTATTTCGGCATCATCGCCGACGGCGAGCATCTGCATCCCACCACGGTCAAGATCGCCTACAATGCCCACCCGGACGGCTTCATCCTCGTCACTGACGCCATGCACCTCGTCGGACTACCCGACGGTGCCTACTCTTGGACCAACGGAGACTGCACCAACCACATTGTGAAGAAGGGTCCGTTGCTGTTGTTGGAGGGATCAGACAAGATTGCCGGCAGGTAAGTGCAATCAAGATACCATGACGGCGACTAGACAAAGGTACTAACAGACATCATGAATAGTTCCATCACCCTGATAGAGTGCGTCAACAACTTTCTCAGCTGGTCTGGTGAAGATGTGCCGAGCGCACTCAGGGCAGTAACGTCTACGCCGGCTGCCATGTTGGGTTTGCTGGGTTCAAAAGGCTGTCTCGAGGATGGAGCTGATGCTGACCTGGTGATTCTGTCTGAGCACCCAGCCAACGGCAATGGCGGAGTTACACTCAACGTGGACGAAGTATGGAAGTTTGGTACCAAGGTTTTCAACCAATAGATGAAATGTGGTAGATGTAGACATATTACATGACAGTTTTCACGAACCAGTTAGATTGGATAGTAGCAAATGCACACTTTGTAGATTATCATAGCTTCATACCAAGTCATGTATCTCATCGAACTCATTTAGGTCCGCGATTAATAGTCAACGGCTTGAACGGCTTCCTAAGCCGGTCCAGAGGTGCCATACCATCCTTGCTCAAGCCTGCGGGCCTCTTAAACCCTCTCATGCCTTGAGGCACGGTAACCGTCGTTGTGTGATAAGAGGCTGCAGGTCGGGTAACCTCGTCCGCAGTCGCCATTTCTACATCTTCGGTTACTACAGCATTTGGCTTCTCGGGGGATGGTTTTGTAGGCGAGCTTGAAAAACATGCATAGGGCTTCGCTACTGAGCGTTCCTCATGTTTCGGTGGAGAAGGCTTGCTTGAGAGCTTGGAAGACCCAAGCTTGTGGCCGGAGAATTCGGGACTAATTCCGGACGGATGCTGTGTTGTTGGCCTCGATTTTGGCAATGAGTTGTGCCTCTGGAACTTGTTGGGTAACCGTGGTTGTGGTGGTAATGACACTGGCTGTGGTACAGGAACTTTCGTCTGATCATGCTCCTTGACAACATAACCAAGCAGACTTCTCTGCCCTGGAGGGCGACGGTTTGTGCTAGGTTTTGAGGCTGCCGGGGTTGGTTTTGACGCCAGACTAAGCGACTCAACCACCTCAACTGCCCGCTGTGCGGTTGCAGAAGTAAATCCGGGAAGAGTAAAAGATGTGCTACTCTGCATAGTTGTGGAATATGGAGTGTTCCAGCCTTCAACCGAATCTGGTGCCACTTGGGCGCTGCTAGTGGTATGTTGGGTTTTGCGCCGTTTGTTGTAACCATTTTGGTCAAATCCCCCTTCGTTTTTGGAGCGGGCAAGTGATTGTGCCTCGTTGGGGTCTACAGGGAAAAGGTTGTCTTCGACTGAAGTGAAGATTGGCATGGACTTGTAAATGGCATCCTCGGATGGAAGCTCGCGCCTCAGAATTTTGGCCACCTGCAACATAACGCGTCTATCGAGTGGTGGACCCTGGGGGAGGAAGTGAGAGCCTGACAAGGCCTCAATGAAAGGGGACATCTCGAGCGTTGTATTCTCGCCATTTGAGCTATGAAGTGGGTGGCTCAAATATAGAAGTGCTTGCGCTCGAGTCATCGCCACGTAGAGTAGTCGGCGCTCTTCAGCTTCATCGTCTGACCTCGAATGTGGTATCGAGCCGTTATAAACACCAGGCACAAAAACAATGGGCCATTCCAGACCCTTGGCAGCATGTATCGTCGAGACTGTAATCAAGGGTTTGCCTTCCTCATCTGTGTCATTTGTCTGCTTGTCGGACGCAAGTGAAACGTTGGCGAGAAATCGACCTAAGATGTCATTCGTTTGGAACTGTGTCACGCCTTCAATTTCTGGGAGCATGTCTTCCTCGGCCAGATTTTGATCCCTCATGAATTCTCCCGCCAAGCCGACAAACTCTTGAACGTTTGCCCATCGTGCTTCATGGTCATGCGGGCATGTGTCCTCCAGGTACTTTTCGAATTGCAGATCGCGAAGCAGTTGTTCGATGGCTTCGACTAGATCAAGGGATCTTCCCTCCTCAGAGTCCTGGAGTCGGGCCCGCACGCCATTGATGATTTTGAAAAAGTCGCCGCTGATCCTTTGTTCTGTCTGCTTTCTGATGTTTGTCTTGGCCGCACGATCTCCACGGCAATGCTTCACGAGCAGACTCCATACACTCATGGAATTGCGCTCAGCTTCTTCAACCAAGGATTTGACGGTTTCCGGTCCAATTCCACGCTTCGGTACGTTGATGACTCTGGCAACTGCGTCGTTATTGTCTGGGTGATAGATGAGACGCAGATAATCTAGAATGATCTTGATCTCTGTTCTCTCATAGAACTTGAAACCGCCAACCATTCGGTAAGCTATTCCTGCCTTGCCAAGAGCGCTCTCAATGTGTCGAGATAGCGAAGCCGACCTCAAGAGGATGGCAACATCGTCGGCGCTTATCATGTTTCCTGACATTATTTTTACCCGCTTGATCTCCGACACGATCCAGTCTGCTTCGTCCATCTGATTCTTGAGTTTCCGCAGGACTGGCCGAGTAGCTCTTTCATGCACTGGGACCAAAGCTTTTTGATAACGCTCCTTATCCTGCTGAATGATTTTCAAGGAGATGTCCAGGATGGAGCTCGACGATCGATAGTTTTCTTCCAATGACACTTCATCAGTCCCTGGAAAGTCCCGAAGAAAGCGATGCAGATTTCTTATCTCCGCTGATCGCCATCCATAGATACTCTGGTCCGGGTCGCCAACAATAGTGATGCGCTTATGGTATTGAGCGAACAGTTTCATGAGCTGAAATTGAATACCGTTTGTGTCTTGATATTCATCTATCAAGACCGCTTGAAGGTTTGAAACGCAGGAAGGATGCTTCTGGAGAAGCTCCACACCGCGTACGAGGAGGTCATCGTAGTCGAGTAAGTTTGACCGTTCCAGCTGGCTCTGGTATTCGTTGTAACAGTTTTCGTACGCTTGGGACTCGACCGACTTGTCCTGCTTGTGTTTCTTGCCAGGTACTTCAACAAAGGAGCCGCCTGCTTTCTTCTTGCTGATGTAAGCTCGAGCTTTCGGTACTTCCAGCTGCACATCCAGCCTCTTGCAAATTCTCGTGACTATGCCACGTGAGTCAGAGTCGTCAGCAATACCAAACCTGGGATTGAGGCCTATCGCTTGGCCATATGCAGCAAGATAGCGACGAGCTATGCTGTGAAAAGTGCCGAGTACAATTTTCTTCTCTCTGCCGTTTCCAAGGGCCTTTCCGATGCGCTCCTTCATCTCACGGGCTGCTTTGACGGTGAACGTCGCAACAAGGACATCGCATGGCTCATACTTGACATGGTCGACAAGCCATACCACGCGAGAGGTCAGAGTATGCGTTTTTCCACTGCCCGGTCCTGCCAAAATAGCGACAGTGGACGCGTTTGAAGTTACAGCCTGACGTTGAGCCTTGTTGAGCGAATCGAATATGCTCTGGCCCGTGGCGGGAGACATGACTGACAGCTGTGGCTCATCTGTGCCTTTAAGTCCAGCCCAGTGGAACGGGAATCGTATGCCAAAAGTGCGTCAATTGTTCAGCAATGCAAATAAAGTGGGAAGAGCCCGGTGGCAAATGTTTGAATAGTTGTTCTGTACCAAAATCTTGACGCCTCTTACCGAGACGCGTCTGCATTTGTTACAGGCAGGTGCCAACGCGTTCCCCGGTACTACAAGTGGCACGAGATCATGTGACTTCACTAAGAAAAAGCAAGTTGGGGGTCTCGGGGGCCTTTTAGCGGTGTGCAGACAGTAATAATCACACCTGCCGTCGAGACAATGCAGGCTGGCAACAACTACCCAGCGGCTACATCACACTTGAGAGCATCAATCCATTTTATTTGGCATGACTGAATTCAGCTTGCCAATGACGGAAGTCAAATGCCGTTCTACTGGCAAGAACTGATTAGATACCCCCAAAGTTACCAAGCTAGCAAGCAGGAAGTGAGAACACGGTTTGTAAACCACACCTTACCTGCCCCCAAGCTACTGACTGCTGCCCGATGGGAGGCTTGGGAGGGTAACATTAACAAATAGCCCTTGCTATAATTGTTGTTGATCCCCCAACCCTCAATGCAGAGTCGATGATCTTGCCAAGGTAGTAGTCGGCATTACACCACGCCTTCTACTGCCAATCTTCTCTTTTCCCAAAGAAGAATTTTCGTCAGCCATTCATCACATCACAGTGAATCTCGAATCACATTTTTGGTGATGTGATGGGAATCGAATGAGTGAAGATAACGGCGTGATAAGATTTCTAGTCCCAGGACACTATTGAAGCTAACCCGTGTCTGGCTCTCGCTTCTTTTGTTGCTGAAGATGTCGACTGAGGAGAGCAGCAAAGTAGCATGCGAGCATGGTAGCTTTGACCGACCCTTGCAGAATTTCATCTGTCGCTTGCATGGGAATTACCAATCGGGGAGAGGAAGTTGATGATGGACAGGGATTGGATATGGGCGGACGAGAGGCGGGGTCGAGGGTGGTGAGCCCACGACCACCAATCAGGAAACTTGCCTGTCACGTCGGCGCTTAACCTCCCTGCCATCTATATTCGCCGTCCAACCAGAACATCGCCAGTCCATAGCAATTCCCGTTCGCGCAGTCGACCATAATGGCATCCAGCCGTCCCAATGGCCACTATTCATGGCCCCAGGGTGCATGTGGCACAAAGGGTTCAAGTCGGCCCAACAAGTCAGAGCTCACAGCACACTGCAAGCGCCCGGATTGATGTGTTAGTACCGTCTCTGCTGGTCCACTCCGACACACTGCCGAACATCACCAGCCGCTATATACCCTTTTGTTCTCCCAAATGTGACTCGGGCCTGGTCGATTCTCGATCAACATGCGTTTCGACTTATTCGTTCAGGAGGTCTAGCAGCTTCATGCTCTGATATCTGCTTTATGTAAGGAGTGGTAATTCTGGGCCTGGCACAATGCAGCCTTGGCTTTATAGTACCTCCACCGCTTCACTTCGTCTGGCCGTCGTCTTTTGGACTTCAGCGTTCATTCCTTACTGTCTCTCTGCTCCCTCTGAGAAACCTTGTGTTGTACTTTGCGCGAGGAACAACAATCCAGCTTCCGAAGACGGTCTGCCATTATCAACCAGATCCTTCATAGACAACACCTACCTTCCAGCCCAGATTGGCGGCATAGTCGGAGCATACGCCTTCTCACTTATCGTTGTTGCCGCTACTCTCTTGCTGCTTGCAAAGAAGCGTCGCGAGCATCTTCGGGCCGCTGACGAGGACTTGGAAGAGATAAAGTACGACTTTGCCTTGCCAAACGGATTACCAGCCGATCCTCCACAGCCATTGGTTTTCACTCCCACAACTCCAAGGTCGCCTATCAGAAATTTCTCCTATCCAGCAAACGCTGAGCATCAGGAGCCGAGTCCCTACGTTTTTCCCTCACCGGTTTCTTCGACTGTAGCTCTTGGTGTCAATCCTCTTGTTGACCAGAACGTGGTCGCAGCTGATCGCGAAATGGCGCAACAACAGTTGGAGGAAATGTATAAATATGTCATGGAGCAGGATGAAGCAAAGCAGGCTGGTGTTGTTCTTCAAGGACCCCCCGCTCCTATTTTGAAGTCACCCCCAACGCCTTCTTCCCAAAAGTCGGGCTTCTTGCGCAAAGGGAAGAAGCCGGCAAATCTCGAGCTCAACGGCGCCGAGGAAAAACCCCAGTCGCGTGCTTCGTCCATCCTCTCGGCTCTTAAGTCGCCGCGTGGAAAGAAGTCATCAGTCAGGGCTATCAGCATCTCATCCCCCATCATGACACCAATGTCTGGCACGTTTCCTAGGCACGAGGAGGCAGAGATGGAGTCAATTCCTCCCCGACACTACGCACCCGCACCGCCTCCTCCGGTACCAACGGATCAGTATCCCTTTGTATCGCAAAGGATGACGCGGCCGGTTGAGCCCCTCACGCCACCAGACATGTCCCCTGAGAGTACTATGAGCATCGATGAAAGGATCGGATCTGAATTCGGTCACATGCGCAACACATCAGAATTGACCGCTGAGGGCGACCCCTACTCTGCAGTATCAGAAAAGTCAACCACGCCTCTTGTGGGCTTGCCATCGTCGCCGAAGCCTAGTCAGACACGATTTCCATCTCTTCCATCCTCACCTAAACCAGGAGCCACATTTTCAAGGGCCAATGCACCTTCAGCGATTCGTACCGGTGGTTCGCTACCCCTTCGAGCGTACGAGCCATCGTTGGCTTCGCCTTCCACCCAGACAACCAAGCAGACTGTCTTTGAGAGGGCACCACTTTCGCCGTCGGCTCTGAGGACGCCTTTTACTGGTGCCGCTCTACCTTACTCGCCATATCAGCCGTACACCCCTGTCGTCCCCATGACCCCATCTCTGGTCACCAAGGCTGACCGAAAGAGGATGAAGGCCTTGCAGCCAAAGACACCAACACTGCAAATGGTCAAGAACGAGGACGAAATTTGGTGATTGGGAACATGTCAATGGACAAGAAAGCAAGCTCACGCTGAGGATCCTGATTAAGACGATGAAGACGTCCGGATGTTGATCGGACTTTAGACGATTTGCAAGATACCTTGAAGAAAATATTATCATGATTTTATGAATGGGGCATTGGGTGATGTGGGTGGGTGGTGTTTATTTATAGCTGGGTCTATCATAATCAACGGGGCTTTTGATTTTACCACAATCTCAAGAGGCTTTTGCATCTTGTCTTTTTTCTTATATACCTATACTTTCAAAGAATTACATTAAATTACAAACTTCAAACAAAGTGTCGCCGTTCAACACTAATGCATCTTTTCCTGCCTTTTCTTTCTGTGACAGATTGGTACTCTACATGCATTTGCTTGAGGCATGTCCATTGAAACAATAATATGTGAATGCTTTATACTCATCAGGGGATTGATGACAAAACAGTTGGGTAGTTTTGCCAACCTTCTTGTTTGCGTATGGTGAAATTTTACTAATATCACAACTCTACAAAGACGAGATCAGTGCATATGAAAACTACATAAGCAACGCACTGTGAGCATGTCTTGATTGACTTCAAAGTTTCGAACCTAATCATAAGTACTACTAAGCACCATTGTGCGCGTCCCTATTCTACTTGTTGCATGCTGATCTTGTGCAAAAAAACGTGTGCGGCTGCCGGCAAAGGAAAACACTGCTATCGGATCTGGGCGACGATAAGTAATACACTTCTGGAATCAAGTTCATCCTTTTTTGCGGAAGCAAGGACGTCGGATGCACAGTAAAGCATACATGTACATAGGGCATCACTGTGTTGTTGGTGCACTTACCACTGGCTGGCTGATGGGTTTGGGTTCTGTCATGTCCTTTTTTAGGCTTTGATCGCGGGGCCGGTACAACGTAAAGCCTAGCCAAACAGGCCAAGGACCAGGTAGGTAGGTAGAGGGTCTTGGGCCTGGTGACTGGTCACAATAGGTCATCCCAGGGCCCAGCCTCGACGTACAGCCGCTAGATTAGATGGCCTAAGGTGCCTAGGCTAGGCATGGGCCCGGGGTTTGTGTGTATCGAAGCTTTCGCAATTGTGATTCGCTTCACAATCGGCCGCAAACCTAAGACTCGGTGAAAGCCCCCCAAGCTGCTTGATCTCGACAACCACGCCGCCGCATCACCAATTCCTGAACAGCATCAACCACTACGTATTACTACCATACATACCAATCGACGAAACCAGCGCAAGACTCTACCCAAAGAGTTCCCCCCAGACGGCTCATTTCCACATAGACGACCTCCACGCGCATCCATTTGTCCACATCGACCTGATCATTCTCTATCTGCCTGCCCAACGAATCCCATTGCATCTGCGCCCCGCAAACCGTTGCGCACACACACCAAGGAGGCTGAAAGATCAAACAGCCATTGCCAACATCCCGCCAGCGACTGGCGACAGCGATCCTTCACGAAGAAAGAGAAGAAACAACAAATCTTCTGCTCATGGCCATGTTCCAGAACCCCAATATGTACGGCAATCACAACTATGAGCCGCACGGTGGCGCTGCCTGGATGCACCAGCAGCAGTCCTCCCACCACTCGCAACACCAGGTTCAGCAGCAAGCCGCTGCCGCCGCTGCCGCTCAACAGCAGCACTATAACCGCATTGGTGCCCAGAATAATGCCGCCGCCGCCGGTTTGAACTCGGCAGTGCAGCTGCACGACGGACTCGAACCTCATGTGTCAGAGGACAATCGTAGGACGCTTGTCTACGTGGCCGACCTGTTGAAGGAGAGCACCCGTGAGGCCGCGCTTCTCGAACTTAGCAAGAAGCGGGAGCAGGTACCGGAGCTTGCCCTGATTCTTTGGCACTCGTTTGGTATGTTTGGCTGAATATTGCTGTGCAATTTTGTTGGTGGTGTTCTGCAGACGCTGACCTTTGGCTCTCTTTCAGGTGTCATGACTTGCCTTACCCAGGAGATCATTTCCGTCTACACACTCCTGAACCCCTCCCAGCTCACCGCCGCTGCTTCCAACAGAGTCTGCAATGCTTTGGCGCTGCTACAATGTGTTGCATCGCATAATGAGACGCGAACGCTATTCTTGAAAGGTGTGTTATCCTAGCAGGCAAACCAAGGTAGAAGATGCACATTGCTGATACAATGATATTTATACAGCTCACATCCCACTGTACCTTTATCCCTTTTTGAACACGACATCAAAGTCGCGCCCTTTTGAATACCTCCGGCTTACTTCGCTGGGTGTCATCGGCGCACTAGTCAAGAACGATTCGACCGAAGTCATTAACTTTTTGCTGACCACCGAGATCATTCCCCTCTGTCTGAGAATTATGGAAACCGGCTCCGAACTCAGCAAGACCGTCGCCATCTTCATCGTCCAGAAGATCTTGCTCGATGACAGCGGTCTCAACTATATCTGCGCCACCTATGAACGCTTCTATGCAGTGGGAACTGTCCTGAGCAACATGGTCGGCCAGCTCGTGGAACAGCAGACTGCGCGACTCCTGAAGCATGTAGTTAGGTGTTTCTTGCGTCTCAGTGACAATGCGCGTGCACGAGAAGCACTTCGTCAATGTCTGCCTGAACCTCTCCGAGATGCAACTTTCTCCTCCGTGCTGCGAGACGACGCCGCCACCAAGCGATGCCTCACACAGCTACTGTACAATTTGTCCGACGGGGCGTTGGGGGACTCCTCAAACAATCATCCCGGCCTATGAATCAAATAGATTCCCAAGATTATTTGTACCAACAAGTCATGACGGGTCGCTAGACTCCATCCTCGCCGGCATACTGCTTTAGCAAAACGGTCCACATATCACGAAGTCCAACTGTTAAAGTCAAGCGCCCAGTACCAGAATTTCACATTGTGTCCTTGGCCCACGGCAACGAAATTTATGCCCTCGATTTTTTATTACTGCGGATCAAGGCTGATCTGCGTTCTGATGATTTCTTGCACAATACAACGGCGTTCTCTTTCTCACTTCCATCTAAGGGAAGGGGCATATTGGAAGGTGTCAAGGGTTCAGCGGGAAGGTCGGAAAACCAAATATCCATGTACAATATGAAAAGCCTTTGGTGATTATTGGTTCTTCTGTTTCGGCTTTCTAAAGGGGGTGACGACGGAAAGAAAGGGGCGACATCGACGGAAGGAGTCGAACAGCGTTTTTTGAGCATTGCAGTGGCGTTTTGGTTTTGTGTATTTCTCGAGTTTCCCTGATGCTGGAGCTTCTCTCGAGATATCCATTATTAGATAGACTGAAAGGCCAATGGTATGTTGCTGCTATACAGCTACCACTGCCGTAGCCTTTTGGGTAAAAGAAATACTGTTTATTATCTTGTTTTCGTCATTTTGGGACGATGAAAAGTTGTTACGTGCGAGTGTAATCGTACTACAGAACTCACATGGTAGATAAAGGTTACAGCAGGAGTGCAGTCCTGGTCTTTGACCAAACTCTTCCGACAGCACTAGTCACACATCTACTGCCTTGCATAGGCAATCACTAATCAGGTATCCAGATCATTGATGTTATTCTAGAGAGTGTCATCAAGGCAGCCTGCTGAAAAATACGGCCCAGTTCAGGAGAGCAGGGTCATGGTCGATGAACGCAGATGTATATCTAGGCCATGAGAAATAAACACTGCCAGTCTCGTGCAACTGTGAGGGACCCGACACAGGCTACGATGTTTACGAAGCCTGGAGAAGGCCATGAAGTGTCCGAAACAGGAAGGTCGTGTGATCAAGAACATTTCGCCAGTAAAAGTGTGCTAGGAAATCAGAATAATATATTTCATACAAATTGCAAAACATTCTTCAGGGCAATTTATTTGGATGGAAACCCTACAAGACAAACAACACCGTCAATTCTGCAGCATTATACTACAATCCATCTAGGAAATCTGGTTTGATCCGCAGGCAAATATTGAGAATTAATCGAGGATGCAATCACAAGTCGGCGACAATAATAACGTTCTCGGTATCGAATTTATTCGCAGCGGTGTAAGTTACGGATGGCATTGATTCAAGGGTCAAAGTTTTTTATTTTTTTCTAATTCCACTTAGGTCTAATTTCATGGAGGAAGTTTTCTTTTAATATAAAATATGTAAATAAAAGGAGCATGTGCCTTTAAACTTCCTGATATCAATTACCGGTCAGCATAGGTTGCTGTGATGTTGCTGGAAGACTAATATAGTGGAGCCGGGAAAAAGCTAGCAATATGTTTAATAATAAAGCCACAAAATTTCAACAGCAGATCAACGAATCAGCTCATTCATCCGATATGGTGTAGTGGCTAACATATGACGCTCTCATTCTGATCCGTCATGCCCGGGGTTCGATTCCCCGTGTCGGAGTTATTCTCTTTTGCTATTTTGACCTTTTTTTTCCTTTTGCCCTTGTTACAAACGAGTAGAATGATTTGTCTTTTCTGCTACCTACTCGGACAGACTTGATGCATAATCACCTTACTGGCTTTGATAGGTCAAACCGCGACACAAACCACAGAACTATTTTTGCACAAAAGATTTGGGACACAAGATATAACGTTTTTGTATTGAGCTATTAACCTATAAAGATGCACAAACTCAAACTGTCGTCTCTTGTGTTGGCTCTCGCATTCCGCCCTAATTGACCAAGGTTGATAGCACTTCAACAGCTCAACAGGCCATGACATTCGAGTCGACTATTGCTCTACTCTAGAATTTTATGTGGCAAATGTGTAGGCAGCCAACACACCGTCGTCGTAGCATGGAATGATGATCTCGCTGTACCCATCACCGTCGACATCCGCGGCGCTGACTTGACCGACGGTGCATCCACAGTCGTGCAGGTAGGTGGTCTTGTAGGTCCACTCGGTCGTTCCGGGAATGAGCACATAGGCCCTCTGCGCGGCGTCGCCCGCCAGCACAATGTACGGGATCCCGGCCTCCTCGCTCTCGGGCGTGGGGAAAAAGGCGCGAGGCGAGCCGGGCGCCGCCTGCTGCAGGCCGCGCTGGGTGACGGGGAACCCGGACGCCAGCGTGTGGCGCGTGTAGCCCTTGGCCTGGGTCACGTCGGCGGGGATCTCGTAGGCGTAGACGCCGCCGGTGCCGTCGCCCTGGTGGTTGGACACGAGCAGATCCTTGACGCCGTCGCCGTTGATGTCGACGTACTGGGCGTCAAAGGCCGCGCCAATGGTGCTGTCAATGGTGACGGTCTGCACGTCGTCGGGGTCGGCGAATCCCGTCTTGGAGTGGAAGATGTTGAGCTTTTCGGTAAAGTAGGACGGGGCAATGACTTCGGGGAAGCCGTCGCCGTCTAGATCCGCGACGGTGAAGAGGGCGTCGCAGCCGGCGCCAATCTCTGTCTCGACCCACTCGCCTGTTGGCTTGGACGCGTCCTTGGGCTTGAGGATGACCAACATGGTCTTGGTCGCGCCCAGCAGGGGCTGGTCCGCACGGCAGGAGACCATGTCGAGCACGCCATCGCCGTCCATGTCGGCAAAGAGCACGCGGTGGTACCACCAGCCCGACTGCTCAATGAGCTGGACCCAGCTGGTCGACCGGCTGCCGCTGTTGGCAGAGTAGTAAATGCCACCGTTGGTCTTTGTCGGGACGAGGAAGCCGCCGCCGACCAGCACGCCCTCGGTGCCAAAGACCTCGGCGGGGGCAATGGTGATGTCGTTGGGCCAGGTGATGCTGCCGGCAATCTTGGTGGGCGTCAGCTGTCCGAGGCCGACGCTGCTGACGGTGGAAATGTCATTGATGCGGTGGACCGAGTCGCCGAGGAGGGCAAACGAGGACACGAATAGGGCATTCTTCCCGCCCTGGGCAATGACCTCGGCGAAGCCGACATTGCTGAGGCTCAGCGTTCCGAGAGACTTGACGGGAATGGAGGCATTGGTTCGGGGAGTGTTGGCGCCCTGACGTCTGTCGAGGGTGACGCTGGTCGCCTGAGCCGTTGCGGACAGGACTGCTGCAAGAGCAGAGTATGCGAGACTAGTCACGACATGTGAGATTTCTTGCGTCAGGTCTGATGTATGGGATGAAGGAGGTACCTTTGAAAGAGCATGGTGTATGCTATTGTCCAGGGCCCCTAGACACTGGTCGTGCGTGGTGGAAATGTGGGAGCCATCAGTATTGCACGACTTGAGGACTGCTTACGACCATTTATTCTCGCCCACGACTCTGCTTTGCCTTGATGTCTTCTGGATTCATTCTGATAGACCGTGTTTGGCCGACATCTACTACCACATTGTACTCTGCCAGAAATAGTATATAGTTCGCCGACACTGCGTTCAAGTCCCATTCTAATAGAGTGCGGAGACACAATCCAGCAACTGAGAAGAGTAACCCAACTGTTCTTACTCACTCAGCGAGTGTTGGTGTAGATGCTCGCTATACAATGTATTGTGGTAATGCCAAGAATTATACAAGTCGCTGCGAGCTGGTTACGATGTCGGGAAGGTGGTGTTGAGGCTCTCAGCGTCTGCCTCTGCTTGGGCTGCTTGATTTAGTTCCGCCGCCTTGGGCCAACCACGTGTGGATTGGTCGTATTGCAAACCGCTTATTGAGAGGGGCACTGATCATCGCATGACAATGTATAGAGACCCCTATCAATCGGCTTTGAATCCATTCGGCTCCGACTCACGGATTTTTGAGGACCATCAGTAATGGTTTTCGGGGTTCAATTAGGCTTAGGTCCCCGAGTTGTTACTATTGCCGGCCGGTGTTGTCCGGAACGGGAAGGCCAAGATCAGACGACTTCTGACTTGACTACTACAAAGCCCTTTGCCAGATATAATGAGCGGAATATGTCGCGGAAAACTAGCACGCTATTTAAAAAGACAAGCATCATGCCAAGTCGAATATTGATTGGATTTTGCTATGCGATAGCGGGACACTATTGATGAATTATTCCGAAACTTGACCCAACCCACGCGAATGTTGGGTATGACATAGGTCACTAATACTTTTTTTCCGTATGCGACTATAGCTTGACTATCACGCGACTCGGGATCAAATGGTTCTTACCAAGCTAAAGAGGACATGTTCCCTTTCTTGATCGGTCATTCAATATCTGAAGACCTGCTGAACCTGGATTTCGCCTGGCAAACGAACGGATATAATCACATCAGTTAAAGACTGGCGAGTTCAAATGAAATCGCGATGAGCGATATGCAAAATTTGACAAGACGCCCTTCTGGGCGTGAACAACATGTATTAAGAGTCAGAAGGTGAAGTGATCCGAGAGCCGCTATCTTTGCCGCGGTATTGCTTTGATCATGTGAAATTGTGCGCACAGAAGAGGACTGATGTGTTGTTTGCACAACGTCAATCATTGCTTGAAAATTATCCCAATGTATTCAAAAGTTTACGTACATCATGCGTCTGTCGTTGTTCCGTTAGACAGCTCCTGGGCCCTGCCCGCATCGCCCTGTCCGATATCTTCCTCGGCAACCTGCGGCCGTGTCTTACTCAGCCAAAGGATGACGAGCGTAAAGACAATCTCCAAGGCGAAGAAAATAGTCGCCATTTTATATCCGATGCGAAACTTGGGCGCCTCCGTGGTATCATAGACGAACAAGGGAACCCAGGCCTGGAAAGTGTACGCCGCCGTCTCGACCATGCCAATTATAATGGCTCTGTGCTCGGCCGAGTGAGAGCAAATCTCGTTGATCCACGTGATGATCAGTGCGCCGGCGCCGGTTTCGCAAAAGGTCAATAGCCAGCCGGCCATCATGGCCGAGATATTGTGCTCCGGGTAGACGCTGAGGATTATGGTGCCGATCATGGCCACGAGGCAAGCCACGATAATGGTTGGCCAGCGCAGGCCCGTCGCGTCCGACGTCCAGGCGTACATTACCGTGAACAATATCTGCAGTCCGTATCCCGCCGTGGGTATGATGTTGACCTCTTCTGTGGTGTACAGCTTGGTCGCCTTCAGCCATAGGTTCATGTAACTGTAAATGCGAATACCCAAGACGTGGCAGATGAAGATGGCGCAGAAGAGGTAGAGCGGCCAAGAGGTAAAGATGCTGCGTATAATTTTCCAAGTAAGACGCTTCATTGGCTTACGTCCTACTCGCTCCATTCGAGCAATGGCCATTTCTCGATCTTTGGGTTTGAGCCACCAAGCCTTGGACGTTGTAGGTCTGTGTGAATTTTGGATTAGCAATGTATTTCTTTGGGAAGGAATACGAAGACAAAGACGTACTGATCTGGGATCGCCCAGTAGCCATAGATACCAATAGGGACACCAATGATGCCGTCGAAGATGAAGAGCCACTTCCATGCTGCGAGACCGCCTCGCCCGTTCATACCGGCGTATAGTGCCGCTTGTAGGTATCTATTTGTCGTTAGTCCTACTCTCTTGGATCAAGGATACTTTCAATACTGACCCGGAAAACATTTGAGCAGCACTCGAAGAGGCCTGGAAGATGCTGGCTCGTTTTCCTAGCTCCATTGGAGTGTACCAATTGCCAAGCAAGGTCATGATGCCCGGGTAGGCTGACGCCTCAAACAAACCCGAGACGAATCTCAGGGCATACATTGTCGACACATTTTTACCGCCGGCCATACCCATGACGACAAAGCTCCAGGCGAGCTCCAGGGAGGGCAGCCAAATTGAGGGCCGGACTTTGGTCAGAATCAGTTGCGAAGGTATCTGGCCGAGAATGTAGCCAATATTCCAGTACGTTGTGAGCAGGTTCAAGTCGTTTCCAGACATGTTGAGGTCTTCTTTCATGCCCGAGACATATGCATTCGTTACCTATAAGAATTCGAATTAGCTCTAGCTGTTGATTTGAGTCAGGTTGGTGAACACACATTTTGTTGGCACATGTACTTGCCCCAATAGCTAATAGTGCAATAGCTCAAAATCCAAAAGTCGATCTTTGCAATGAATCTTCGCTCTTCTGGTGTCTTGTCGAGCGAATCCCATATAACAGAGGCGATTCTTTTTCTTAGAGGCAACTTCTTTCCAGGCTCATCTCCGACATGAGTGGAAGAGACCTCATGATTCCTCTTCCCCCCGGAAGATGAATCACGTTCAATATCATCAATCCGATCCATATTGAGAGGTTGGACAGATATGACCCGTCAATCGACTTGACAAAGCTCAATACAGACACTGTCAAGACCTTGCGTGAAATTTTCAGTTGGTATATATACCGTACCTCTCTTGACTTTTCTATATCCTTGTGCATATGATGGTTAGCGTTTGTCAAAACAACGCAAACGAACTGTCTAGGCAATCACGCCATACAAGAAAAATGGGTAGCTGAATCATCCGTGATTATTCTCCCATGAACCAGCTTGCGAGCACGTCGTTTGTAAGGATCAGTTATCACCTGTATCCGTCGGCTCATGGCCGCCCGAAACTCCCCCATTCGGCGCTAATCAACCACTGCGACATTGAGCTCTCGCTGGTCATTATATGGGACCGGACATGGAGTCGGACTCTTCCGGTATAGCCAGCAGCACCCGATTTGGCCACAATGGGTTCGACAGCATTCCATTTAGGGTAATTCTGGTCGGGAGACTCCCGACAAACTCCTATCAGTATTTGCACATCCTACGTCGAACATCCGAGGATTGTTGCGAAGTCGCAGTGTAGCAATAAGACAATTGTGATTGGCAATCGGCAATATGGCATTCTACCTTCCATTAAGCTTGAGTAGAAATAAATAGTGAATGTGCAAAAAAATCGCCGCAACTTATTACTCTTGATCTCGTGCATGGACGAATCTAAAAAGAAAATGGTCTCTGAAACGGAAGCACGGGCAATCTACGCCGATGCCATCCACTTTGATGGACTGAATATCTGCAACTTTGGTCGCGAGATATTCGAGTCATGGCACAAGGGCGGCATCACCGGCGTGTCGTGCACCTGCGGCCTCTGGGAGGGATTCAGAGGTAGCATCGCCAACGTTGTGCAATGGAAAAAGTGGTTCGAGGAGCACGGCGACCTGATTGTCCAGGCGCATAGTGCAGCCGACATACGCAGCGCCAAAAAGGCTGGCAAGACGGCCGTGCTGCTGTCGTGGCAGAATACGGCCGGCATCGAGGACCAGCTCGACTACCTACGCGTCTTCCGGGACCTCGGCGTCCGCAAGATGCAGCTCACTTACAACACGCAAAACTATTCCGGCGCCGGCTACACGGAGCTCCACGACTCGGGCCTGACCGGATTCGGCCGGCAGGTGGTGGACGAAATGGCCAAGCTCGGCATGGTGCTCGATTTGAGCCACGTCGGGCCCAAGACGACCGAGGACACCATCAACTACGCGCCCGACGGCAAGCCTCCGTGCTTCTCGCACATCTTGCCCGGGGGGCTCAAAGACCATCCCCGGAACAAGACGGACGAGCTCATCCGCCTGCTCGGATCCAAAGGCGGCTTTGTCGGCCTATCGCAATTCGGCCCGCACATGGCCAAGGGCAACGACAGCACCATTGACGACTACGTCGACGCGCTCGACTACGTGATTGGTCTGATTGGCGAGGACCTGGTCGGCATCGGGTCCGACGCCAGCGAGGGACACGGGCGGCCCTCGGATTTCATGGCGTGGTGCAACAAGGATAAAGGCTACGCTCGACAATTGACACCCTGGGGAAGCCAAAAGGTTGTCAAACCCCTAGGTCCACTAGCTGAACGCGCCGAATTGGCTTGTGCCATGGCGAGGAAAGGCTGGAGCGAGGAAAAGATGCGCAAAGTCTTGGGTGAGAATTGGCTCAAATATTTGGAAAAGATCATAGGGTCCTAAACATGAATATTCGAAAATCGACACACGTTTCACTCCACTAAATTTCTGCTGCTTGCACCTCTTTGGTAGAAAGGTTGAGTGCATGCAAGAGTCGCCGGTAGCATGCATGCCACTACATTTACCTAGTGTGAACTGACACGGAGACTTTCAGATTACCCTCGTGTAGTTGTACGAGAAGATATGAATAAAGTGCATCACACGAGGACCGAAAAAGGCGATGCACACGATAACTATCGTACACTCAAGACGGACTCAATATTCGGCCGGGGGTCCAGTCTGCTTACACTAGAAACCCGAGATTAATCAGCTCTCATTTGACTCGGGACCGAAGAAATGCCCCGTAGCACTGGTATAGTCCTCCAAAGCACTAACCTAACCTAGTAAGTCGTCCTATAGTCACCTTGCTCGCGGCGCGAATATGTCAACGTCATGACAAAGCCAAGATCGAGCTAGAGCCCAAATTCACGAAGAAGAAAAAAAGCAATATACTGTACGACCTGGTGCTCCGCGACACCAGCGGCAGAGTAGTAGTTACAATTGCCACGAATCATAAATAGACGGCCGTACAATGCTTTAGGGCTCTGTTGTGCGACTTCCACAAGTAGACCGACGCATGTTGCCAGATTTCTCATATATTTAGATTTACATGGCAGCACACGCTCAATAGAAGAAGAGTCATCTCATCTATACTTATCATGTCGTCCCAACTTCAGAGCGAAGCCGCCTTTGAAAGCGGCATCCCAGCCTTCATATATAGACAATGGTTCAAATACAGACAACCAGTCCCTGCCGGCACGAGCTTGGCAGGGCAGACTGCCATCATTACCGGTGCAAATGTCGGGCTCGGACTCGAATCATCACGGCAGCTGCTCGCCCTGGGCCTTTCAACGCTGATCGTGGCAGTCAGATCACAGCACAAGGGCGACGAGGCCGCCAAGGGTCTAAAGGCATCACACCCAAATGCCAGGATAGAAGTCTGGCTGGTCGATATGGAGAGTTATGACTCGGTGCAGAACTTTGCCAAACGGTGCGACAAGGACCTGGATCGTATCGATATCGTCATTCTCAATGCTGGACTGCAGAGCCCCGTGTTCCAGCGCGTGGCGGCGACAGGCCATGATCAGGTCCTGCAGGTCAACTACTTTTCAACAGCACTTCTCGCAATTCTTCTACTGCCCATTATGAAAGCCAAGCGACAGAGGGCGGACAGTCCGCCAGTTCTCAGCGTCGTCTCGTCTGACACGGCGTACTGGGCGACGCTGGAGACGGACAGGCCCGTCACCGCACAACTCAACCGCGAAGACGGCTACACGGGAATGAATCAGTACAAGGGCACAAAGCTTCTGGAGATGCTCTTTGTGGCCAAGCTGGCCGAGCAGGTCGACGCCAACGAGGTGATTGTCAACCTGGCGAACCCCGGTTTCACGGCCGGCACGGCATTCGGCCGCAACAGCAGCGGCAACTCCTGGGCCTCGCACGTAATGAGCACAGTCTTCCGCGTGGTACTGGCTCGCACGATTGAGGCTGGAGCAAGCAACTACGTGGACGCTGCAGTGGTCAAAGGAAAAGGAAGCCATGGTAGCTTCTGTAGTGACTGGGATATACGCCCGTAAGTGCATGCCCAATCTGATCGAGTAGCGTCGTCATGCATAGTGCTAATCTACCTTTAGATACCCCCCTCTGATGTACACGGACGACGGACAAAAAATCAAGGAGAGATTATGGGAAGAGACAATGGAAGAATTGAATTTTGCTGGTGTATCTAGCATTATACAATCCCTTCGTGGCTGAGCATACAATTTGAAATATGTCTGTTCAAAGCACATAGATCGCTGCTCAAGGAGCAATATGACAGTGATTGATGCTCATTTATCTTTACGAATTCATACTTTATTCATTCTTTATTATATCAAGTCGCTCATTAATACATTGCCCAGCCCTATAGAAAAATTAGTCGAGTAATCACTGAATCTAGAACTTTCACACAAATATATACAGCACCATATTGGGCTGTTTGTGGGTAGTAGCACTTACACCACTCGCGCTTATAACTTGTCCCGTAACCCACGCACCGTCTTTGCCCGCCAAGCCTGCGACTATATTGGCAACTTCCTGAATAGTCCCTAGGCGGTTCTGGATGGGCGTCTGCGCCTTTTGCATGTCGACAATCTCCTTTGGTATGTTGTCAAGCATCTCGCTCTGCACGGGGCCCGGGTTGACACAGTTGACCGTGGTGCCGTTGCCTCCCAGCTCTGCCGCCCAGCATCGCGTGAGACCTTCGAGGGCCGCCTTGGACGAGCAGTACAAACTTAGGCTCTGGAACCCGGCGCGGGCACCTACCGAGCCCAGGTTGATGATGCGCGCATTGGCTTCGAGGTGCGGCAGCACTGCTTGCGTCAGGAGAATGATGCCGCGGACGTTGAGGTTGTACACGGCGTCGTAGTCGTCGATCTGTATCTCGGCGAGCGACTTGACCCGCTCCAGCCCGGCATTGTTCACCAGAATGTCCAGGTGCAGGTCGTTGCTCGTCCACTGGAGGAGCTCCGAGATGATCTGACCTGGCCCCTCGACGCTGCCCAGATCCGCGCGTACCGAGTAAGCGACTGGCCGGTGAGGCAGCGACTCGATTCTCTTCTTGAGGTTGTTAATCTTTGGTTCGCTGCTTGGCGATGCATAAGCTAGTACTACCTGCCCTCTTCATGTCAGCGAATAGACGGACATTGTAGCCGAGCCGGCACTAAAAATCGCATACTGAAGCTCCCCGGCTTGCGAGTTCGAATGCAATGCCTTCACCAATTCCCCTCGAGGCTCCGGTTACAAGTGCAAGTTTCCCGTCAAGAGGAAGCCCATAATCTTTATCAACCTGCGCATCCATTTCTGTCAGTGGTCAGGCCTGGTCAATGGTACGCGAGTTAGGAAAGAAAAAATCAGCCTAGATCTGTTCATCAACACTGGGAAAATATTGTATGTGATTCAATATTGATAAAAGTGATGTTTGACTATGTACAACTCGTAAATTTATAACATTGTTCTTCGGAGATATATGCGGCGCCAATTCAGAACGAAGAATCGTCATGATGTTCTTCTTGTCAGACTCCGAGATATCGGCGTTGTGCGCTGCAAACGCCGATGTGAATTGACCTTTTGCGCTGCCAAGCTCAACTTGCTGCAATTCAGACGTCATGGTTGCTTGATGTCAGCTCCTTGGTTCATCCCCTGCTACATTGGCTGGTGTTCTTCTAAGCATATCTAGTTCCGGAAAATGACAATGTCAAATCTCTGCTCTGGGATTATATGGGAAGAAAGTCGTCTAACACGGTTGATGGCAATGGACTGTATAATGCGAGGAAGAAAAATAGTGACGGATAGATGTTGAATACCCCAACTTTCTTGGCAGGGTCAGATGTCGGCAGAAGCACATGTCAATACAACTTTAATGAAATTGTGAGACCATCAATTCTTTAACAATGTCCCCTAGAGCAACATTGTGGGAAATAGCCCTCCAGTGATTGGGGGGCCAACTTCTCGGCAAGTTTCCGCCCGCCGTGGCGACCCTCCAGCAGGTGCCCACTGCCCAGTACGCCTCCCAACCTCCTGTCCTCTCTCCCTTTCAGCAGCTCCAGCGAGTCCAGGGGCCCCTGCTTAGCGGCCCGCAAGCCACTGAAAACTGCGACACTAAACGGTGCTGTCTTGCCCCAATGAGCACCGAGAAGCTGCCAAAGCATTAAGCTTGGCGCCCATATGCTAGATTTGGGACTCCTCAACTTTCCCCCACGATGCGCAACCGACGGCCATGACTGGACGAGCAACGTGCTACCCAAAATCTGCCCTCTTGCCCTCCTCCATTAGGACCCCTTTGCCTACTGGACCTTTTTTCGGTCTTCTGGCGAATTCCGGATTGGCGCAACCAGACCTCGCTTGAACAACCCTGGCGACCCCCCGGCAGATCGATGAACACTGGCTGATCTGCGCAAGGGTCGCTAATTATACAGATGCAAATTGCCTTTGCTAGCTGATGCTTGAAGGGCATAAGAATGCAGCCAAACCCGTTTCCCATCATGTGGTCGCCGGCCACGACGTTGCTGCCGCCGCCCGTGTTGAAACTACTACCTCGTTCTTGAGGCGTTCTGCTCGTTGTTCCTTGGCCGATTCCCTCTGGCAGTCTATAGGACAAGACAAGACATTTCTATACAGGACGCCGTGCTCAGTCAGTACAGCTCATCTACGAGGACTTGACTGAAACAAGATGGGTTCTGGTCAGTCTACAACCGCCGGGCCTGGCCCGACCATGTACACGGCGACGGCGACGGCTTCGGTTGCCGCTGCGCAAGCCACCGCGCTCACCCTGAGCCCGACGAGCAGTGTCGCCGGAAAGACCTTTGACCGCTTTGTCCAAATCTTTCTTGAGAACCAGGACTTTAGTATAGCAGCGGGCGATCGTAAGTATATACATGCCCCATACCGTTCTCGTCGAGACGTGGTACTAAGTTCTTGTAAACAGCAAACCTAGCATACCTGGCGACGCAAGGTATCCTGCTCGACAACTACTATTCTATCACGCACCCGTCGCAACCCAACTATATCGCCGCAGCAGGAGCCAGCACCCACGGTGTCCTTCTCGATAACCCGGCTCGCATCTCTGCCGACGTCGAGACGATTGTCGACCTGCTCGAGGCTGGAGGCGTCAGCTGGAGCTTATACCAGGAGGATATGCCATACTCTGGCTTCGAGGGCGACTGGGTGAACCAAAAGACGGGCGCCAACGATTACGTCCGCAAGCACAACCCGCTCATGAGCTACGACTCGGTGACCGAGGACCTGAACCGCCTCGCCAAGTCAAAGAACTTTACCCTCTTCAACAGGGACCTGGCCGCCAACACGCTGCCCCAGTGGATGTTCATCACCCCCAACATGACCAATGACGGTCACGACAGCGACGTCTCGACTGCCGGCAACTGGGCACGGTCTTTCCTGGAACCGCTACTGGCCAACGATAACTTCAATACGGACAAGACCTTGATTGTGTTGACGTTTGATGAGTGCGAAAACTATTTGCTGCCGAATAGGGTCTTTACAGTGCTGTTGGGCGGTGCCGTGGCCGGAAAGGAGGGAACGACGGACTCGACTCGTTATAACCACTATAGTCTTACCAAGACGGTAGAAGACAATTGGGACCTGGGAGACTTGGGTGAGAACGATGTTGATGCTGTTGCATTCTTTTAAGAAGGTGGATGCGCTGTCCAATCAGAACTTGTACATACACATATATCACATATACCGGAATTCTTGCCGAAGCGCTATTTTGAGACATAGCGTACCCAGATGAGCAACCTGACCTAAAGGTAAAAAAGAGTGCAAGCCCCCATGATGGGACCAATGTCTGTTAGCAATTACTCATCCCACGGCATTTTCCTCGGATTGCCATGTCAGCACCTCGCGCCGATGGTGGATGAAAGATGCGCCATTGTGGGCGATCTTGGGGGAGATCGCTGGATTGACTTTTCCCAATTGAAAACCTTAACGGGCAACTTATGGGGTCATTCTTAATGTTTAGGTATGCTTGGAACCACGATGCAAGATAAGCGTCCCCCCAAGAGTGGGCTCCCTTTTGCTGCTGGCCACCAAACAACATGGGCCGTGAGTATTTACCGAATAAGCATACCGCGATGCGGGGTCGGCCTTGAGACCCAGGATAGGAGACAATAGACTTATACATGACCTCACGTAGCGCAGAGAGAAAGTACCAAACATTTTTTTATTTTGAAGGAATGTTCTTACTCAGCCGAAATAGGAGCTCATTCAGTGGTCTGCAACAAGTATAAAAATATCACCCTGCTGCAAGTCTCGGTTATTCCCAGTATATGATCAACGAAGAGCTCTGTCACGGAACTCTTTTCCCAAAGACCCATACGAAACGAATCTTTTTATCATCATCATGAATGCCGGCACAGATAATGCGGCGGTCTTGGACCTTTCAAAGTACCCAGCAGCACAAGAGCTGGTTGACAGATGTAGCCAGTTCTTTCAAGAGGTTGAAGACCTGTAAGTTTCAGTCTTGTCTTTTTCCTCCTTTCTTTCCCAGATAGACAGCCCCTCCGAACCCACGAGTTTCCTTCTTTGCTAATCATCTGCTGGCCAAAAGCACACCCGGCAAGGATCTCGAAGCCCGCTTAAACAAGGACTACGGCCCGGGCAACCCGTACTATGAGGACTTTTGCCGGCTGGTCCGCCAAGGCCTCGAGGAGGGCTGGGTGGCCGAGACGGAGCTGGCGGGGAGGACGTACCGGCGGGGCAAGATCACGCTGCCCACGGCGCGCTCGCGCTACTTTAGCATCACGACCGTCTACATGGAGAGCGAGGCCGAGTTCTCGGGCCAGTACCACGCCCACCCCTACGGCGAGATCAACTGCGTCGTGCAGCTCGACCCCAAGGCCGAGCTCCAGGGCATGAGCGGCTGGCAGGGCGCCGGCTGGACGTCGCCTGGCCCGGGAACGCATCACTATCCCCGTGTCCGCGGGGGCGCTCTGGTGGCGCTCTTCTTTTTGCCTGCGGGCCGCATCTCTTACAAGGCTACGCCGGATATGCCGCAGCCGATTGCCATTTAAAAGGCGGGAAGATACGGGAAATGTTTGAATCCGATTGTCTTGCTTTGGGCAGGTTTCTTGGAGACAGGATGAGCATTGTATTGAATTGTAGGCCAAAGAATTGATACATGTACGTGTCTGAATATGTTATGTACAATAGTGAAAGTGTTTTTCAGTTCTGAAAATACATTGTCTTTGCTTCCATATGTGCTGTGCCTGTGCATAGTCGTTCGTCATCAAACCTGAGGCAGTCTGGCTCTGCCGTGGATCCCACGTCTCGAGGTCGTCGCAGTGGTGGTGTTTGTGTTTGTGGCATTGACGATACGGTCCATGGCTTCTCCAAGGTCATCCTCTGAAATGGGGTCCGCAGCTCTCTTCCATCCCAAGGAGGTCGGCAGACGTTCATTTTCTGTATTGTGTAACGCGCGTTAGTATTGAAAAACTCTCTTTCTTGTCCATGCTGCTTCTTTTGCTTTAGGGGGTGTGGCAAAGTGTTTTTGTATTTCGTCTTACCAAAGAGGTACTCGACAATGGATCTCTCCACTGTATAAGATACCTTGTCGCCGAGGACAAACAGGTAGGCCGCCGACTCTCCAATGCTGAAGGCAGAGCCCAGGTCGCTCAGGGAAAAGTCGGGGTTGGTTGCCTGCGAGGTCTGCAGACGACCGACGCGGGCTGCGGCCGCCTGCTCAATGTTGATGATGGGCGTGGTCCAGTATGATCTAGTCTCGTCAAAGACGGTTTGGTTGAAACTGGTCGCGTCGCCGGTCCAGTAATAATCCGCACGACTATTTTTTGCATAGTGGAAAATTAGGTCTTGTCTCTTTTTTCTCTTTCCTGTGGACAATTGTGAGAGGAATGTCATTACCTCAAACTCCCGTCATGCTCGAGAACATTATGTCGGCTCAGATTATCTAGGCTAAATATGGTAGCATTCGGAGTGGGATTGGCCTCTATGGCAAAGTTGTGCAGAAACGTCGCCAGTTCGGCATCAATATTGAGAGCCTGGCCGAGGGCATCAATGGTTCTGTTGATATTGATGTTCTTGCCCGAGTGTGGGAGATAGCCATGATTGGCGAGGGTGTTGAGCATGGGGCATGGCCCTCGCACTACATTGACGGGATAAATGTCAGTGCTGTCTTGGTTCAAAGGAGTCTTCATGGGAGAAACCTACCATCGCCAACTGACGGAGGGTGCCATTCGGGAACAGAGTAATACCCGTCCCCAAGGACAAGAGACGGCGCCACGGCCACAGTGTATAGGAGGGCATTTTGAACCTTCATCTTGTCAAGCAATATACTAGATATGTAGCAAATGTATGTATTGGTGCAAGCTTGTTCAAAATTTTCTGTTTCACGACTGATACTCTTGCCTTTATATCAACCAGAGCACAACCGTGCCAGCCACAGAGCAGCTGTTGTGTACCGCCAATGTAACTTTGCGTAATCATCTTTTCAATGATTGGTTAATTGTAATGCAATGACAGACACTATAGGCTATAGATGTGGCCGAGTACACCGTCATCCATGGACCTGAACAGTCCTGTCAGTCCTCGTGGCTTCCACCCTAGACAAGCCACAGTGAGAGATTGAGATTGCTATGAATACTAAACGATCCGACCTATGAAAGCAAGTCTTTTGGATCCTTCAGACATGGATGTATATCGATGCATAGTAGTGCATAGCCTCAAAAAAGCAAAACCACGCAGCCCGTGTTCTAAACTGCTGCCTGATTGTAGTGTCAGGTACGGAACAGATGCCGCTTATTTTCTTGGCCGGGATTTATAGTTGAGCCATGGCGACGGAAGGTGATTAAATCTCCGAAAGACCGCTGGAGGAAGAAATAAGCTTGATCGAGTGGAGGTTCATGCAGTGACCATCATTATAGCAAAGGTGTCAGAGAACAGAGCCTGCTGCTGGCCGAGCATGGTCCCTACGAACCGACCAATCAGCATGCAAGGACCGACCCGTCTCACTTTTGTAATAGGCGCAGTTCCATCTTATTGTTAGTGGTTGAGCCACCGAGATTTCGTCAGCTTAGAGGAGCACAGGCGAGAGTAGGTTGATGACAAATATTGCAGTGCTAACCAGGTATTATTTTACTCCTAATAATTGCTTCCAATGTGGTTATTTTCCCAAAGTATGATAACTCGAATAGTGGTGTCCAAAGCAGGTCCATCGTATTTCTTCATGGTACAAGATTTATCCAAAATGGGAAAAGATCTTCACCGCTGTCCCAAGTCCGAGTGCGAGAGGTCCACGCGAGTGATCAAGCATACGTAGCAGTGGTGGCTGGTGCAAGGACTCGTGCGTTCGTACAGCATGGCTACCACATTGTGGCTTCAAGGGTGAGTTGCTGCTCCCCCCTTTTGTTCATGTTAGCTAGAGGCTTTGGTTTAAGCCGACTTCCGTCTTTTGACTCTGATCTTGGCGTCCAGCGGGGGAATGCCAAACCCGACAAACCAAGTGTTGGGCGGTCTCTTGCCGTCGTAGCTCTCGGGCAGTTCCAAGTCGTAGTGTGTCAGGGCGTAGCCGAGAATCATCTTGAACTCGAAATCGACTAGGAAACGACCGGGACATGCATGCTTGCCATGGTTCCAGGGCAGGAACTCCACTGATGACGAAACGAAACTGAGGTTGTTTAGGCCGGGCTTTCCGGTCGACGAATCTGCAGCAGCTTCACGCGGGCGGGAGAATCGGAACGGGTCGTACTTGAAGGGCTCCTTGAAAGTGTCGGCATCGGTCTGGCACTGGTAGGCCAGGATAGAGACCATGGCGCCCTGAGGAAGATGAATACCATCCTCTGTCACCAGTCCATCCTTGGCAATGATCAAGCGCTGAACGGCACGGCCGAGGAACGTGTGCAGACGCAACGTCTCGCGCGAGATGCTGTCGATTCGGGTCATGGTTGCCATGTTCGCCTTTGTCCAGTTCTTGGCGCTAAAGTCGCCGCCCTCACCCATTACACGGTTCACCTCGTCGCGGATGACATCCACGGTCTTGTATTCCCTGTTCGAGTCGAGTACATCCAGGATCAAATTGTGCAGAGTCAGAATGGTCTGGTGCATAGTACCAAAGTTCATAACGGCGAGTCGCTTCGTCATATCCGGAAGGCTGCGGAGTTCTTCAGGGCGGTCCTTGGCGGCGTGGTCGAACAACATTTGAAGAAGATCCTTTGGCTTCTCCATGGCTGGGTTCTTGGCGTGCTCTTCAATAATTCGGAGTCGTTCTTGGAATAGAGGTTCAAAGCGCTGTTCAAGGGCCTTGATCTTGGGCGGCATGGAACGAGCAGCCCAGGGACCGAGGAAAGGCTTGAGGGGCTTGCGAACAGAGGCTAACCATCCAGCAGCATCCAGCATACCGTCCACGACACCGTAGCATGTCTCCACAAACGTCGGGTCACGGCCTGTTGGTGTATATTGTTAGCATGTCGCATGGGTAAACAATTTGGACGACTTACATAGGCGGCGTCCCTCGGGGGAGTCTCCAAGAGTAAAACGCAAGGTCAGCTGTCCTCCCAGCGCACGACAAGTCGGGAAGAGGTCGATTTCTTTCCAGTTCTCGACGTCGCTTCCAAAGTTGGCCTCGAAAGAAGCATCGAGCTCGTCGCTCATGATGGCGGCAAGATTTTCCAGGACGCTGGTCAAGTCATTCTTGATGATCCAACCACCCCATGGATCGTAGGCGAACTTGTGACCCAGTGTGTGCTGAAGCTGAATACCGTCAATCTGCGCATCAAGAGAGCTGACGACGCTGTCGGGTTGCCTCATGAGCCAAGACAGCGCGCTCGGGGGCAGAATAACCTCATCGTTGGGACCAAAGACGGGGATAAGCACGGCCTTGCCCTTCTTGGAGTACTACCTGCAATCTTAGTACGGGACCATCTGGGTTATGGATCAATGTGCACTGGGCAATGGTGAACATACGTTCTCGTAAATGTCGTTGAAGACAGTCAAGCTGTCCTCGTGGAACTTCTTTCTCATAGCAGACCATGATATACCTTCCTTCTTGCCAAGGCGCAGCAGGTTCTTTGGGTACTGGATGGTGAAGAATGACCGGTAAGCTAGGACCAAGGCGACGAGAATGGCAGCAGATATGACGAGCACCCGGTGGGACGGGATATAGTCCGCCCAGTTTTGGAGTAGATCTTCCATGTTTGGCTGGATGGATTTATGCCCACGAAGCATGCAGTGCACTTAATCTGCAAAGCAAAGAGGCGGAAACGCAGCAACACGTACGTCAGGTGTCGGTCTGGTCTGGGGGAAGGGGAAGATCCAAGACAGTGGGAAGAAAATAGGCGGCTGTGGCGCCACGAGGTGTTTTTGTTGCAACTTTCTAGCGGGCCACCGCCAGGCGGTATCGGCGGTGCATTGGTCAAGGGAAAGCAAAGAGAGGGAGGAGTGGGAAGAAAAAAAAAATATTCACCAAATGGCAGGAACCCAGGCGACAAAAAAAGGCTCCGCTAAGGAAAACCGCCGTGATAATCCTTGTCTAAAAGATCTGATAATCTAATCAGATTAGATCTATTCGGTAGTTTAGAGGGGCACGACTCCACTCGGGCGTCGTCAACCCCTCAAAACCGGCCTTCGAGTCACTGTGAGTTTTTCCAGCAGTTCCGGTGTGCGCGTGGCGCCCGGCCAAAAAATGATTTTCATTGGAGTGTTTCGAAGTGTCGTGACACGGAACACACGAACCACGAGGCAAAAACTGGAGGCGTCTGGGTGCTGGATGGCAAATGGGAGGAGCAAAGAGGACCTCGGTTCTCTCGCGGTCATGGTTCACATTAGGTAAGTCGCTCATCTCAAACGATGCAACCCTCGTGCTGGCAAACCCATACAGGCGCCATCATCGACTGGTGGTGTGGATCTTCTGGAACAAGCTTCTCTTGCATGGCAACATTGTGCCCCGAAATGAGTCGTTTTATTCGTGATGGTTTTGGGAAATCCCGCATTCTGTTTTCCATTATTATTCTTGTGCTTGGCTTTGATCCTTTCATTGTCTTCCTGCTTGCCCTGCTCGGTTGTATCATGACGTGTCTAACCATGACAAGGATGTCATGACAGATCATGGTCTTGGCTGACTGCAGAAAAAAAAAGAGATGCGATTGAAATGCGATGCCGATTTCGTTGATTGATCAGAGCGGGCGGATAGCTGCTCCCAGCGTTGGAAAACCTCAGCGCCTGTCCGGGGCCGCTACTGAGCCGTTGAGCCCGTCAGTCCGTTATTTGCCCCCACTAAACTACTGGCCCTCCCCCTCCCCTCGGAGTTACGATTCTGCTGCGAAGATGGAAATGGAAGGTCTTTTTAATAACATGAATAAGCCACCCAATACTCGATTGTCTTGAGGCAACCTATTCGATCAATATCTCGATCAGAAGGCATAAATGCCGCCGAAACAGTCAAGCCGATCTATGCAGTTCCTTTCCTACTGATAGATGCCGGAATGACATGCGCCTGACAAGAGTTGCAAGTCGTGAGCTCCATAAAGCCAATCGAAGACAAATTCCATGGCGATTCCCACTGACACCCACCAAAATGATTATCCGCTGATTTGTCACGATGTCGTCAATTAAAGCCTTTTGCGTAGATAATTGACGTTGAGCATGTAATGGCATCAAAAATAGATCTCAACATCCCAAAGTCAATACATCTGAGCTCGCCGGGGCGAGCTTCATGATTTGATTCATAACCATAGTAGACATGAACTGCATGTTGTGTTACAAGACAATATAGTCCCTTTTCAGTCTACTTTGGTCAGATATCCAGATTGTCCACGGAAACTTGCCATGCGCGTTTTAATCATCTTCAAAGCCGCCCATTCAAGCCGTCAGAGCTAGCCAGATCATAATCCCTCGTGGCAAAGAAATCTGAGAGAAATTTTGGTGACAAGTCCCTCCATTTCTTCGGCCTGTTACGATGGTTAATAGGTAGGCACTTGTGTGTACGTGGCCAGGACTGATTCAAACCACGTAAAGACTACCGCTTCACAACGCTGTCTCGTGAGAGAGGATGCCATTCCTCGAGGAAGTCTGTTGACCTCCATTATGCGCGCGCTGCCAGTCGTAGTAAATGGACGTGTAAAAGGTTCCAATCGGTGCACGACATCGGGAATGGGCAGTCTCCTTGCAATAGCGTCTGGGCAATAATTAAGCCATAATCGAAGTGTCGAAATGAAGGCAATATTAAAGGTATAATATAACTAAGTCCTAGTACCAGGCCTGTAGCCAGTCGTAATCCCACATGTTTCGTAAAAACGATATATTGAGTACAAAGTAGTAACAAATTCACCGTAGCTCTTGATCTCCAAGCACCTTTTGCTTTTCGGTAGCAAAATACATTTCGCTATCCGTGGAGTTGAACCCATCAGCTTGCATTTTCAGCATACTTGGCTTGAAAATGAACTATAATACAAGGGCCAGCTTCTCAAGACTCAACACGCTGGTACGCGCACATACAGCAAGCTATTCTCGTATGACGGCTTCGCGAGGGTACAAAAAGAGTCTGTGTAGGCGCAAGACCAGACAATTTTTTTTTTTTGAAAACGCAGTATCAGACAGACAGCAGAGGAAGAACGCTGGGTATCAAGACAACTTCGGTAGTTTGTCTAGAGCTGAACAAAGCACGAACCTTCCAATATGACGGGATCGGTCAGGTCACTGAAGATTGCACCTCACTGCCGACTAGTGACTCCATGACACGGTTTATGTATGATGGCAACTCAAACATCGTCCAAGTCGAAACAGATGGCAACCAGAAGAATCTGTCCTATAACGCAATAGACCAGCGTAACGACCCAGGCTTCGAATGACTCCAATGGTAGATTGATTGCCGACGATAGTGGCAGGAAACTCAACTTCAACGACAAAGATCAACTGCAGAGTGTGATAGACAGCAGCGGTCAGAAGAGGGCTATTGAGTACCATGCAGACGACTTCCTCGCAGCCACGCGGGATGAGCAGTCTTCTGCTAAGCTGTTCCACAGCCAGGGCATCACCAACGCCGTCGACACCACAGATTCGCAAGAGCAGAGCACTAAGCTCTCCATCCTCTCCGACGACCGACGCTTACTCGCGAGCTTTACTGATGATGGAAAACCGTCGACGCATTACCTGGACCAGAAGGGTTCAACGGTCCTGTTATTCGACAATGAGGATTACAGAGCCCTTGCCTTCAGTGCCTACGGATCTGATCTGGCAGGCGTACGCGACGACGGGATCGAGTCGAGATTTGGATTTTCGCAAGAATTCAAGCATCCCGAGAGCGACCTCGTCTACCTGCGCGCCCGGCACTACAGTACAGACAACATGTCGTTTGTCTCCATGGATTTCAAAATCACGGAGAATCGGTATGCTTATTGCTAAGGAGATCCAGTCAACTACACCGATCCATCCGGGATGAGCCGTGAATATGTAGGGGAGTTTCTCAGGAAGGCTGGATCGTGGATGGTTGTCATGGCCTTTGGCGGAGGGGCGGCGGCTTTGGCCACACTAATCCCTCCTCTTGGCCCCGTGGCGACCGTTGCTGTGGCTGCGGCGATTGGGGCTGTCGGGAACCTGCTCGGCGGTGCAGTGCAGCGCTGTATAGCTGGTGAATGCGATAGATATAGCTTTGGCCAGTTCGCAGTAGATATGATCTCTGGCGCGCTAAGAGGCGCTGCTAGTATGGGCGTGAGCATAGTCATCGCGAATACAGGTTGGTCAACAACTGCCCGCTACTTCTTCGCCGGCGGCGCAAACGGATTCACGTTGACAGCGGTGGCCCAGATCGGGGCATACTTTGTCGATCACCAATATCACGGGGACTATGGGGAGCTCATACTGCATACCGTGACTGGAATACTCGCGGGTGCTACCGGATCTCTTCCGCTCGGGACTGCAGCTGGCAGATTCAGGATCCGGGTAACACGGGTGTATGCACGGTTTCGAGTGTGGCTCAGATCTGATGTCTCTGGTAAACTGTGTCCCCGAACGAGAGCTACGAGTTTTGACGAAGGGCCTGGCGGGGGCCCTGGGAACGAACCTAAAGGTCCGCCTCCAGATCCTCCTGGCCCCGGATCGGCCATGCAAGTTTATTAGTGTCAGATGGTGAATAATGGATCCAATACACCAGAGTGTGCTTGAACATACTGATCAACGCCACGCCCTCTAGATAAGTGTACGGAGCTTCCAGTGATTAGCCGGGGGCATGCAAAAGAGCATATACCTTATTACTATGTCAGTCCGAGGAGCTTCTGGTCTGTGTTTCGATATCACCTGAGGGGAGCGGTGCATAGGAATGAATAAGTGATTGAAAATAGTCTGATTTCGTACCAATGAAATGGAGGGTAGCTAGTAGTTATATACCCATTCAGGAGCTCCAAGGCCGAATCTGGGCGTATACCGGTATCTCGCTCGGCTGAATGGCGGGTTGAATGAGATGAATGAAAGTCAATGACACGATCAAATTTTTTGAGATCATAATTGGATTGTGTAGAGATGTACTCGTCCCAATACGTGGGGTCAAGACCATGCAACTTTCACGCCGGAGCATTGTCCTTGTCCTCAATGATCGCTATGGTTTGAAGTTGTAGAGTTGGGTATGGATCATGAGTCATCATCTCCTGTACAAATTGCCTCAGGATTCGAAAATTACCGTCACAGGGCTGGTGTTTCCTGGGCCGCTCCAACCATGAACCCCCTGAGGGAGTAAGCCATTTCCCCATTCACTTGAGACACAAGACTAATGACTACGAGCAAGGACATAATATAAACTCGTAATTGAACTTTGTCACAGAGCCAGACAAAACCCGACAGAATCATGAAAATGACTCAAATACGCCATTCGGGACAAACAAGTAGTACTTCCTCAGGACCGATATAGGGGCTGCGCAAGCACAACTATTGTAGCCTTATGCGGCTCAATGGAACGACTTGGCATTAGATACTAGTTTGAACTATTTTCAAAGATACTAGCTCATCTCAAAGCCACTTGCATGGGCTGCGTAGCCTCGATCCGGAGCCATTCAGGCTAAATACAGCTCGACTCGAACGACATGGGTAAGGTCAGGAACCCAGGGAAGCCTCCTATTCTACACTAGAGCAAGGCTTTTGATCCTTTGGAAGATATCGCGCATTCGGACAAACAAATGAGGTACATGGGCGAAAAAACATAAAAAAAAATGTATCACCTACTGACATGTACAATTTGGCTTGACAATGGTGGGCAGATTAGAGGCGAACGAATCATGGTCAACTCGAGCCGCTCCTATAGTGTCACCGGAGCAAGCGAGATGCGCGTTAATGGAAATGATAGTCCCGGGGAGCTGGATCGACTAAATCCCTTAGTCTTGACAGGTTGATATATGCATATCATGGTTGCTTTGGATGGCCATCATGGAAATTGCTTCCATGGCCCAACCGCAGGGCGATACAACTGTACCAAGAAGCTGTGTGTCTACACGCGCCAGTCAGATGTTTGCATTCGTCAGCTGCGGCGTTGCTCGATATAACCACTGTTGGTAGCGAGGAATCCGCTGCTAGTCTAGAATTAATAGACGACCGCACTTTTTGGAGGCAGGATTTTCCAACAAGGCATTGGAGGCTTCATCAGCTGGCACACCACATCAGTTTCCATGGCCTTGCTCGGCCCTTCTATTCCGGCTGTATGTTGTGCAGAAGGAATGGATCAAAGGTGTCACCACTTCTAGTTGTATAGAGTAAGAAATCATTCAGCAAGTACAACGAGTCTGTTGCTCTTTTTGCCAAGGCACCACCATCGGACATGCATAAGCAAGCCGTGGTGACTTAGTCATACCCATGTTATGTATGGCCATGAGCCATGCTGGTGTCAGCACAAACATGTGAATACTTTAATGGGCTCACAATTAATTGAACGAATCTTGGAATGCGACTTACGATCAAGCACCTTTTCCTGGTCTGCAAACCTGGTCTGGGGAAAATATCATATGATCATCAAGTGAGCCGATCCCAAGGTAAATCGTTTTCTCTTCTGGCACGCTTCCCAACTTCCGACTTCTAGGTTCGGGTACAGATCTGGATAGCGTGACTAGTCCTGCGACTCTGAATCCTCTCTATTCGAAATCGCTCCGTCCCGTTCCCCATATTTTGCGCATGGTTTCATTGGAGGTTTTTGATATCTCCCGCTTTGCCGGTGATTTTAACCGGACCTATAGAATCCTTGTCTCGTTGGGGGACGCTACCCCAAATTCCCCTTCCCCGTACCCCAGACTACTTGAACTTTTTGGTGCTTTGATGAGGAGTGGTGCTTGTACCCTCACGACATTCAAAATAGCATGATTGACTTTTGCCATGGAACCATTTGCATGCCCAGGACGAGGTCCACCTGCTAAGTATGACCAGCATCTACATGGCAATCGAGACTGCCATCGTACAGTCAACCAAGATTGCACCGGCGCAAACCATTGAAACAAATTGTTGCCAAAGAAGAATGCAATTCGATATACTTTGCAAATGTCAGAGACAGTACCTTACGCAGCATGTTTAACACATGTTCTCTTTTTGTCAGATAGTTCATCACGGCACTCAGGATCTTCGGTCCGCCTCCCCCAAGCCACGGGGAGAGGCACAGTCAGCATGGAGCCAATTCCAGGCCCATCCACCTTCGGGCTCGCGCCGAATCCAGACATGTCTATAGCTACACTGTCGGCACACCGAGGAGAACGTGCCGCCATCCCCTTGCCCGTTACCGCCAATTGGGACTTCCCAGCTAGCTGCCTCAAAGCCAAACGCCAACCTCCAGAAGAGACTGGTAACTCCAAGTTCCTATTCCACCCCCTCTCAGGTGTGCTCCTTTCAGAAAGGGGACTAGTCTGCATGCCCACATGGCTACCCCTTCTTGGTTAACGGACAGGCTATATGCCTTACCATGTACACACACGGAGGCGAGATCAGCTTCTGTTTTCTTGTTGCTGCTTTCAATCCTGGCTCATACCTGACCACACATCCTTGCTGGGGGTTGTTAGTAGAACACCCCCCCGCTCCATCGTGACCCCCAAGACTAGACGGCCAAGGTACTTTGGACCCTTGGAGTCGCCGTGAAATGTTCTTCGAGATATATTGAGAAGCAATCCCCCCTTGGCTCTATGCCATTGTGTGACACTCTTTTTTCCCTTTCTCTTGCAGAGGTTCACTCACTCTCGACAAGTGGGTTTCTGATTCGGAAGAGCCGTCAAGTGTTCGAGTCCTCGACCTTGTCTTGCAAACTATACAACAAAGTCCCCAACCAAAAAGCGTGGACAGCTTGTCGTCGGTCAACAATGGTTCACGTCCCCGAGAAAGGTGCCAAGGGGCATCTCGAAGATGTCCACATTGCCCAGGAGGAGGCGCCCCAGTTTGAGAGAGTCTCCTGGACTAGAGATCCCAATCTTCGCAAGCTATATCTCTGGGGCAGCGTGCTGATGGTTGCCTCTGCCACCACTGGTTACGATGGGTGAGCACGGGTTGAGCAAAAAGGTTGCCGATTGATTTACTGACTTGGGTTTCCAGAATGTTGGTAAATACGTCGCAGCAGATTGATCTCTGGACAAAATTCTTCCCCGAGGCCGACCCGCACAACGCCATGGGCACACAGTATCTTGGTCTCCTGGTCAACATGTTCAGCATTGGCAGTATTATCAGTTTCTTCGTCACGTATGTTTGCAAAGATACCATTCATTGCTTATTTTGACCGAGCTGTACTAACATGGGTTTTCAAGACCTTATGTGGCTGATCACTATGGACGAAAGATTGCCATTGTCATTGGATGTCTGTTCATGGTTCTCGGTGGTTGCTTGACTGCATTTTGTAATGGTTACAACAGTGAGTTTTTGTCCTGCTTGAAAATGTGCCCCGAAGCAGCAAACCTATAGCTCAAGAATGATACTGACTTTTTTTGCCAACCAAGTGTACATTGCCGGCAGATTCCTCCTCGGTTTCGGAAACAGTTTTGCCCAAATGTCCTCGCCCCTGCTGCTCACGGAAATCTGCCACCCGCAACACCGTGGACCCGTCACGGCCGTGTACAACTGTCTCTGGAACGCCGGCGCCCTCATCGTGTCGTGCATTGGCTGGGGCACGGCCACCATTGCCAACGACTGGTCCTGGCGCTCCATCACTTTCATCCAGGTGGTACCCTCGCTGATCCAGCTCGCCTTCATCTACTGGATCCCCGAGTCGCCCCGTTACCTGCTGTCCAAGGACCGCGAGGAGGAGGCCCTCAACATGCTGGCCTACTACCACGGCTCCGGCGACCGCAACAACACGACGGTCCAGTTCGAGTTTCGCGAGATTCGCGAGACCATGCGTCTGGAAAAGGAGGCTGACCGCGCCACTGGCTACGCCGACTTCCTCCGCACCAAGGGAAATCGGTGGCGATTGGCCATTCTCATTTCTCTGGGTATCATTTCGCAGTACAGTGGAAACGCTCTGTTCTCCAACTACATGAACACCATCTACGAGGGTGCCGGTATTGTGGTTCAGAACCAGAAGCTTGGTGTATGTGTTGAAGCTTTCCATTACACATTTTGAACAACTCTGAAGAGATGTACTGACACTTAAACAGCTCAGCACCGGTAGAACTATTTACGATCTCATCATCACCATTGTCGCCGCCATGAACGTCGACCGCTTCGGTCGCCGCCCCCTCTTCCTCATCTCGGCCGGCGGCATGTGCTTTGCCTTTGTGTGCTGGACCATTTGCGGCGCCGTCTACGAGAACTCGGGCGGCACCAACACGGGCTCGGGCTACGCCCAGCTCGTCTTCATCTGGCTCTTTAGCGCCTTTTACGACATGGGTTTCTCGGGTCTGCTCATTGCCTATGCCCTCGAGATTCTGCCCTTTAGTCTCCGCGCCAAGGGCATGATGATTATGAACATAACCGTCCAGGCCGTCCTGGCCCTCGGTAACCAGACCAACCAGCTTGCCTGGCTTAACCTGCCTCACCACTGGAACTTTATGCTGTTTTACACTGTAAGTCATCTTCTCAGTATCCAGAGTCGGCAAATTTGTGGAATCTCTTGACTAATGGTTCATCATTTGCAGCTCTGGGACTTTTGCGAGTTCCTCTTTGTGTACTTTGTCTACGTCGAGACCAAGGGCCCGACCCTGGAAGAGATTGCTCGCATCTTCGATGGTGCCGATGCCATTGCCCACATCAACATTCACCAGGTCGAAAAGGAGATTCACGCCGAGGTCCACGAGGAGGCCTTCTCATCTCCCAAGTCTGCTCTGTAAAATGTGTACCTTGTCGCATTTGGCTTGTAATGATCATGGGTTTGGTGGATAATGGCGGGTCATTACTTTGATACAAGGCTTGCATAAGTTAAGAGGCACTGTTCCATATCTCAGGTCGGAAAAATATATTTGTCGCGTTTTTCCCATCTATTGCAGGGCTTGCTAGTGAAGGACTTTTCGTACAGGACCGGACTCAAATCATCTAAACTAGGTGGATTTATCTAGAAGTTTCTCCATCCATACCACAAATCCATCATCATCCATCTGACATTAACCACCTAATCGCCACAACCGTGATCCAGGCACAAAGCCCTGCCTGTCGGTCCTCAGTCGTGAGAACTGATCCATCATTGTTTTCTCAGTTGATCTGAAGCTCTGAGATATTGGCTTCATTGAGGTCGATTTCCTCAAGTAATGGGTATCCTATGACAACAACATTTTCGCTAACTCCCAATCCAGACACGCAGCCGTTTTGCTGGCTGACTTATACACAGTCGAAATTTACCAATCCTAGAATCCAGCAGGTCAACGCCCTAGCAAGAAAAAAAACCACAACACCATCAACAGAACGCAGGCAAACATGCAATCCTATCAGATCTCATCACTCATCACCTCATCGTGCACTGCGCCAGACTCATAGAAAGAATTGCCAACAAGGTCAGCAAGCAGTTCGTTTCGGTCGCCGAGCTGGAGGTTGCTGATCTTCTGCATCGCAATCTCCAGCTTGTCCTTTTCGCGTTTCAATTGCTCGCGTTTCGTGGCAGTCACCTGATCTTCCTCCATGAGGCGGTTGAAGGTATCAGAATCTATCAAATTGTCAGTGATCTTTTCCAACTGGATATTCCTGAGGCACTTACCAGCTTCGTGTAATCCAAGTTTTCTGTTCAGAAATTGGTGCGGATTATCAGATGCAACGTCACGAAACAGCTTCGACTTCACGCTCAGGGTGACACCCTCGACGAGTCGCATGCCCGCAAGGATGTAATAGCCGCGCACAACGGCGGCGACTTCGAGCTCATGGCTAAACTCGTCGGGACCAAGTCTGGTAATGTTCTTAGCAATCTTTTCCTTCTCCTCGGCGATGGCCTCCGGCGTCATCTTGGTCAATGGGCGAGTCTTGTAGTCGAAGCTGAATACGCCAATAGCGCGAAGACGTTCGATTGATCGAGCACGTTGAAGAGTTGCGAGTTCCTCCTCGCGATACCTGTTGTATGCATCCTCATTGGTCGTATACATCTCATAAGTCTCAGACTGAAAGAGATCCATAATTGCCGCCGATTGAAGACTGTCCATTTTTGCAATGTATTCGTCCAAATAAGACCTAGACTCGTCGAAAATGAGGCGTTTTGCCAATGAGGCCATGCTCTTGCTCAATGCTCCATTCAGCATGGATTTAAACAGCCTCATTGTGTGGTCAATGTAGCGCTCGATGGGCTTTTGCCAATTGGTGATGGCTTTGTTGATCAGGACGTCATAAACGTCCGATGGGACAATGTCAGCTGGCATACCAGCACGTCTTCGACTAGCGAGAACATCTCGAATCAGACGTATATCGAGGCCGCGGCGACTGAGGCTATAGAATTCGGCGAAAGGAGACTGCGGATCAGGCCCCGGAGTCCCCTGACCACTCTGGGGTGTCATGCCATAAAAGGATTGCTCCATCTTTACAGTTGTGGGCGTGCTGACCTCGACTCTCTGCCTTTTGGATGGCGTAGCAATTCTGATAGTCGAGTCGCTGGCCCGTGGATTCGTCCGCTTTCTCGAGGGCGTTTCGGCCGCCACATTCTCCGAATCTGAGGTTAGATCAACAGTGCCGTCAAGGCTTTCTCTGTATGGAGCCTGCCCTGGAGTCCTAACCAAGCACGTCGGCTTCATAGCAAGAATGCACGCTTGGAACTGTTTGTTGAGCTGACTCCAGCGAGGCTGGAAGTCAGTGTACAGTGTGGCTTCCTTGACTGCCTCTTTGAACTGCTGAAGAGACTGCCTGACCTCAAACTCCACATTGCGTGGAAGCTCAGGAAGCTCTGAAAGTTGGGACTCGATATCTCTTTTGGCCTCGCGGATCTTCTGCGCAATCTGCGGCAAGCTACTGGAAAAAGCTTGTCCTAAGAGTTTGGACAGGAATTCTGTCAGGACGGCAACGCCACAACGGTCGTAGTGGGGTCCGAATTCTTGAGGCCATCCCTCGTCGTTGGCATTGAAGAATTGTTCCTCCCATTGATTCACCCGCTCAAGCGACTCATTGTTATCTAGAGCTGGACGGGATGTAATGAAATAACCATAGCCGACGCGATGCTTCTCGCCACGGAGAACAGACAGCCAAGAGGTAATGTCTTCTTTACGATGCATATCGGCCTTTGTCATGATACCACTTGTTCCATGGTTAGCTTGCAATATTTACCCAAAAGATGTACCTAAGGGAAACTTACACTGTTCTTCCTTGTGCCTTGGCCTCCCGTATTAGACCGAGGGATATTGACGTCTCGGGGTCGTTATTCATTGGGAGGGCCCATAGAATGATAACCTCTTCTCGACTGATGTAGTATTTGGCCAGATTCTTGACCACCTCAACAAGGTACTCATCTTCTTCCTGAGCAGGAGTTGAGAAAACTCCAGGCAGATCGTAGAAACTCAGATCTGGATAGTTGGGACCCTTCATTTCTAGTGCTACAATGTTGGGTGAGAATTGAGCACGGGTCTGCTCAGCGGCCTCCTGCAGCGTATGCTCTCGAGCATAAGCCCCCTGACCTGGGACGTACAGCGAAGCTGGGTTTTCGTGGTTGAGAATAGCAACCTGAGCCCAACGTAGGACATCTTCGATCTGATGACGGTCTTCGAAATCAATTGATTTGAAATTCTTGACCCGTTTCCCTACGTACTTCCAGGGTGGGAATGGGTCTCTGTCGCTGACATTATTTTTCCTGATCCGGCCCTGGGGTGGTTGATAATCGTAGTCCTGCTGCAACGAGACTGTGCAAGACCAGCGGTCATGGCGGCTCAGGCGAATGTGAATGGGGCAGCGGGTGCAAACACCACCACTGCGCGGCAGATCGAGCTCTGCAAGACCTGACATTAAGCTTGACTTGCCAGCAGACTGATCACCTACCATGACCAGCGAGGGAAGTTGGGCAAAATCTCGAATACCGAGCTGTTGCAGTTCGGCCAGGACGTCGTTGCAATCTTTTACCTTTGACGCAATGTCGGCAAAAGATTGGTTCACCATGAGGGTGTCGCCAGTCTGGGAAGATGGCGTGCTCCGGCTGCGCTGGTGGTTATTGTGGGCAGGAGGGTTCCGAGTTCTCAGCTCCATAAGCTGAGGAGTATCATGAGTCGTCTCGGACTGCATATCGTCACTGCGATGACCCTGGTTTGCAGCGTGGACTGCACGTGTATCAATGCTGGCTGTGTTGGGGGTCAGTCAATGGTGTAATAATGTGATGGATGAGTGAAGGCGACTTACGTGCGTGCGAGCGGGAAAAAGGTCGAGTTCCGTGGTTTGATGGTGCCGCTGGAGGTGCCATCCGACGGTTTGCATCCACTGAAGGTGTTCGGCTTGGGGAGCGCGAAGGTGGTGAAGGTGACGGCTTGGGCTCGTCCTGAGGTTCTTGCTTGATGCGCCTGCGAACCGGCATCTTGCATTTGAGGTGGATGCCCAAAAACTGCCACAAATAGTCAGCGGCAGTGACTCATTTATAATTTGACAAAGTAATAAAATCTTGACGACTTACCCGACCAGTGAATTGCTTTTGCTTCGTTTGCCCACGCCAGGTGGAAAATTCGGATTGGTGGTTTCAGGGTTCTTTGCAATTTTCTTCTGCGACGACAAATGCAAGAGGTCACAATACTGCTCCTATAGATGCAATAGCTGACCAATTCAGGAGTGGACTCGAGAAGAAGAAAGAAGGATGCGCGCGAGGACTCGATTGTGATCTCGAGACAATCTCGACAACTGTTATTGTCTGATAGGATTGTTCAGCAGAATTGGCTGGAGTTGCTAACAGTTCCCATCTGAGATTGGGGGATGGTCGCGCTGGTTGCTGGAGTTTAGGCGCCCAAATCTGGGGTGGGTGGCTGGCAGGTTGGTTAGTGTGGAGACGCTTGACCAGACTAAGTCGCTAACAATAATTCACGTTGACCTGTACAAATTTGTACGGCAAAACGTGAATAAATCCATCACAGGTTTTATGTAGGTGATTTCCTTTTCTACCTTATCCCTGGCGTGCTTGTTGGCCATGGGTAAGGGAGGATTCTAGAGCACAGCAACAAGCGATTGGTTCTCAGTCCTAGTTACACGGCCGCAGTCATCGTGGGGGATGCAACTGGACCAATGATGGGCCGTTGAGGTTGATGATATGAAAAAGAATCCCCCTTGCCCAAAGTTTTGCTTTTGCTCTTATCAACGCAACGGTCTTTTCCTTGCCAGTATTTCGGCATTTACACTGCTGCATACAGAGTAGTAGCTGAGAATTTGTGTGCTATCTATCCTCAAATGAATAGAGAATGCAGACCAAAATCATCAGGACTTGTGTGCATGCATGTATGTTTGTAAAAGTCAAGTCGTGCTATTACTGTACACAGATACGCTGCATGTGGTCGTACTTTGAATTACAAGGATACTAAAGAAGGGCATACGGAACATGAAAAACGGTTAAGCAACAAATACACACCGTATATCTTTCAAAAGATCTCATCCGGGCAGAGTGCAAGGGCTTGGGAGGATTTAGGATGGGTGACGATACCACATATATCGGCGGTTGATGAAACAAAGATTCCGCAACAACACAACAACCATAATCGGTACGTATTCCAAGATATTTAGGGATTGCATACAACACGCCTAGAAACGACGGCACTTTAGCTCACAGGGAGTCGATTAATCAACTATGATCTAGGTCAGCTGGGGGTTCAGGCGTGCGGGGGCAGGTCACTCATCCCATACGCACCACTAAGCCTTCTCCCCAGGATTGGGCCCTCTTCCTCATCTCGTACTCGATGCCATCCCCTTGCGTCTCTGTCGTCCATCTCTGTGCCAGGCGCGGGATATGGAGTATCACATTCCCGACTCGTCAACCTTGGCCAGTATCTGCGGTAGCTCCAGAATCCAATAACCATGCCCAAAAGCGACCCGGTGCATACATCGTAGACGTCGTGTCTGTAGTCCTGGCAACGGCTAATAGCAATCATTGCCGCGCCTACTAACGGCGTCAGGGCGACCAGCGCCCTGCCCAAGTCCTTCTTGTCCCTGAATATCCTCAACTGTCCTGCCAGGAAGAGGGCGGTATAGCCCAGCCCAGCGAAACTGAAGCTGGAGTGGCCACTGGGGAACGAGCGCCAGCCGTCGTGTAGGACATGGTGGTCCGTCTCCGTGCACACGTCTATAGTGATCAATGTGTCTCTTGGGGTGCCTGATCTTGGTTTGCATCTTGCGATCAAGTCCGGCCGTGGCCTGCCCACCATATTCTTGACAATATCCGTCAAGAAGCTCGTAAGGATCACCGCAATCGCCAGACCAAGAATAGTGGAATGGTGTTTGTGAAACGACGCCCTGGTTGCGCCATTGATAATGACGACGAATATCAAGGGAATAAAGGCTGCATAAATGATGCCCATGGTTACAGGAACTCGTTCGTGCTCGGCGTGCGGAAATGCGATACGTAGATCGTTGACGTAGAACATTCGATGAAAAGGCTCGACCAGGAATTGAATCAGGAGGTACGCTGTCAGAAGGCCCACGAAGCCAACATAGTCGGGCGCATAGGAATGCTATAATCAATGTATCATTAGTACAAACATCGAACCCAGCTTCATGATTGCTGCGACCGTGGTGTGCAACGTCGCCTTGGCATGAGAGGTTATAGCCCAAGGTAGCTTTCGGCGAGGGGGGAGCTTAAAGAGGACAACGTACCGTCCAGAACCTGGCGACAGCACTCAGGACGCCTCCGCCCTGGGCATTGCCATTGTTTCCAGATCGCGGAGCCATCATGGAAAGTCACCGGCCACGAAGGTTCCTGAAGGAATTCCACAGCATTGTTTTCTCCGAGCGGAAGGAGGATGTAAGGTACCAGCTGTGATTGATGATGGTGTCGAGCTTGTAAGGAGGTCGCGTGTCCAGCGATGCGCTAAGATCAGCGGGTCATGCTCATTAAGAGCTTGCATATTGCCCTGTAGGCAAGACCTGGAGTACGTAGTGCGGCGCCGGCAGCGGCCCGCAAGGGTCAATTTGATATTCCAACCTACACAGAAAACAGGGGTCATTTACCTTGAAACATTGCTTCGCGGTCATGGAAAGTATTGGAATAAAAAGACGCGACATTAATAGCCGCCCCTTGCTTGCCGCAAATGTCTCTGTAAGAAACTCTTTGATCTCGGCTATTGGCCTTTCGGATTGTCCACTATAATTTGTGTTAACAGTGCCCTACTTCCCACCTACATTGAACTTTGTTGGAATCTAATGGACACCAAAATAGCACGGGGCCGTGCCAATTGAGGAATAAAGTTGTCTTTTGTGCAGATACATGATCATTACATGATTAGAGGCTATACTGGTCAAGCCGTACTACGGGTTGGTTATGCCGAGTCTCACACGGCCTACTAGCATCTATAGAAGCAAAGCAGTCCTAATTGCCCCGGTGATTGTTCCTCTTGTAGGTGGTACAGAAGGCACATTATGTAAAACGCAATCTTGAAGTCGTGAACCCACGTTCATGTTTACTCATAAATGTGCTCAGAGCTCAAGAATGAACAAGTGCTTTGAGGAGACCCTCATCCTTGACGTCTTTTTCGACCACTTGCTGCTGTGACACACCGTCTTGGGTACGAGTGTATTTCACAAGCGTGGGGATTGCCTTCAGATCCCATTTGGTTCGGAATATGCTATCCGGGCTCTTCCACCTGAAGCAAATGTGAGCTGCATCGAAAAAAAAGGAATAGTTGCAGATAGTATGTAGTCATAACTGCAATGTTTTTGCTTTACTTACTGAGGAAGCTGGCCGACGCTCACGACAAGAATCTCCTCTGGCCGCTTCTCAAAGTACTTCTGCACAACAGGAATGGCAGCGCGCACGTCCGGACACCATGGCTTGCCAGTCGATGCATCATTGTCGCAAATGAAGAAGATGTAGGCCGAGTCGCCCACATTGGAGAGACGATCGGTTAGTCCCTGCCAGGAGGATGGCAGGGAAGATGTCGCGGTGTTGACAAGAACCATGCTGGCTTTTGATTGCGGCAGGCCGAAAGGTCTCCAGAAGTGAGGATTCGGGATGTGTTTGTTTGCTTGCCAGAAGTTGCGCTTGTTGAAGAAACTCGTGATATATGAGCGAATCATTTGTATAATCACGCAATTAAGACGTGAAATGGTCTGGCATTTTCGGTCAACACCGCTCTTCAACGGCTGCCAACAGGTCCCGCTTGGTTGGAGCGGGCCGGCACCAACAAATAGCTACATGGACTGCCGGCTTGTCATTAAACTCAAGTAGAAACTTGAAGGAAAATGACAGCACACAAATTTGTAAAGACAATGACATAGTTCGTGTCTGGTGTGATGGATGAGTGCTTGGGTACTCTGTGCTACGCCCAAAGGTGACAGCATTTCCAGCAGAGGGTGCCTTGGAAATCCAAGCAGACGCAGCTAATTCAATCATTGTCTGCTTTCGGGTAAACCCAAGTTACCTACATACTGAAGATCAAATGCCACCTCGAAATGCAATTGTACATATTGCTTGTCATTCAATGAAGGGACCGAACGACTCGACGTTAGGAAGGAACACCTGACCGGCTCAGATCTAGTCTTGAATTCGCAAAAAAAGGCATATGATGTTTCATGCTTACCTACCTACACGCCTCTTAGATTTATCCACTCCTGCAAACAGATTTTTTATCCTCCATCTAGAGCTCTTGTCTCTGTACTACTAAATGATTATTATTTTCTGAGTAGCATTATGCCGAGAAATCGAATTCTGGCACATCGCCAGTCATTTCAAGAGCACAGATATCCCAGTGACCTCTTCATTGAGGAACACTACGGGCCACATGAAGACCCGGCGCTGTCTTCTGAGCGGATACAACAGAGCACCAAGAAACCCAAGACCAAAAAGAGAAACCTCATCGCGCGATTAGCTTTGCATAGACGCTCATCGAAGCGGAAGACGATCCCGGAACAGCTCATCGCTGGCGCGGAGTACAACAAAACAGATTATCGTGAACGATGGCCAACTGTTACTACTCTTGTGACACAGTCAGACCCAAGATACTTGGAAGACATTGATGAGGAGTTTGAGGAAGAGGGACACGCTCGACGCCGCTCAGTAAAGGCCAAAGCTCTGGAAGCTGTGGCAACTCCGCTCGATTGGCTGACCGATCGGCTTGGGAGTGTTTCCGAACACTTGGGTCGCCAGATTAAGGTTGCTGATGGTCGAGGGCAAGGGAAACCAGTGTCAACTTCAACACAAAGAAGCACAGCAAAGCCGGGCAGGAGTACACATCCATACGATACTGGAGTGGTCACGTCAGCGGAAGCGATTCCAAAAGAATGCCCGACGGCTCCGGCTCAGACACAAATTACAGAAGATACTGGGATGACGAAAAGAGACGACCTACTGAGAGCCAAGGAGAGCCTTATCATTCCCACCAAGCAGCGACTTCGCCGACTCAGCGAGAGATCTGCAACATCAGAAAGAGCACACCAGAAGAGGCTTTTGGAGCACGGCCAAGCTATCGCCAATTCTGCCAACCAAAGATCAGCCACACAAGGGCGTCACTATCTGCAATTGTCTTCGGAGGCAGTTGAAGGGCCAATGCTCCTGGAAGAGCGAAAGAAGTGGTAGAGACACTTTTTAGAGTCTGCAGGGAAGAGGGAAATCCTAGGTGGCACCACAAACCCGAAGCCAAGATCTGAACAAGGGCGGATGCGCTCCTCCACCGACGACGTCACGATTATTCCAAAGCCTCGAGAAGACTGGAAGCCAGTCCAACGTCGTCAAGCCAGTCGATATCCAGAAGGGGTCTATGAACAAGACAGGTATCTTGTCCACAAAAACGATTTCGTGACACAATCCCAAGGGACCGATCGCCAATCCAGCACGACGCATCCTAAACACGAACAGTCAAGATTCAAGGCGGTCAGGAGAGCATCATCCAATAGTGAAGTGCTGCAAGATGCTCATAGCGGTGTGTATAAGCACTTTCTACGCCCACCGCACCGTCCAAGTACCAGCGACAGTCCTGCATCAGCACTGCTGAGACCTCGAAGCAAACTTTCCGGTGAACATCCGGAGATTCGGACCACAGGAACCACGCCGACTTCTGCGCGACAGGGCTCCTCGGCGATACATGATATCACTCCTATAGAATCTCATTTTCCTCATCGACCCCAAACACCAAAAGCTGGGTTCCTTGGCCATTGGCTTGGAATGCTAAGCAACAAAGCACCACCAAGTCGAGCAGTAACTCCCAGTGAGGATCTCGAAGAAGTGACTCTGATTATACCCACTGAAGAAGTTATCGCTGCGCGTCGACAGTGTCCCAGCAATGTTACGACCGCCTCGAGAGGGTCAAAGAGAAGCCACCAGACAGAGCATACCTTTTCCTCTGATCATCCCATCTCGTTTGAGGGAGATCCTCATCGACCAGTGCTAGGGCAAAGAGGAAGTTGGTTTACTTCGAGGCGAAAGTCATCGCCTTCATTGGGCAAGAGCCAAAAGAAAACATTGACTCCGGCCAAGAACGATTCGATCATGTCGAGGCGGACTTCTCGCGAAAAGACCGCGAAGGGCAAGAGTTCAGATATTAGTCAAGCTGGCAGCGGAGGGCCCTAAGAAGCATCAGTTATTGCAGGATTCTCCAGTAAAGCTCCTTTCAGGCGTAGAGGACCTAATTGAGCATGATACATACGTCTGTACCTTACCATCAGTCTTTTCAGCCATGGAATTGCATGGTTTGCGCGTAGCCTCGGTGACCTTGATGATCAATGATAGACTGACGAGAACAACCTAGGCAAGTTCATGGCTATAAAACCGCTCACATATAACATGATCGACACTAAAGCTACACCAACAAGCCCTATACTCTCCCTACCTATGCATACTGGCCTTGGTTTGAAGCTAGGAACAGAAAGTCCGCCGAAACCAAAGTCCGGTAATGCAACCTGTTAGCAATACAGATGCGGTCAGAGGTCCCGAGGCACAACCTAGCGGCAACGTTCCGCCGCGGATAGGGGGTTTCAAAATTTGGATGGGCGCGAAGCCGGCTTCGGCTGTCCACCTAGACTACGGAGGGTACGATGGTGTTTGGTATCCGTAGCGCTTGGTGCGGACGTAGAGCGGACATGCCAGACCAGCAAGCCAGACACCACCCACGATCGATTCATGGATGATGGCACTCTGTCAATCCAATAGGGGGCCCAGTGGAACAAGGCGTGTCAAAGGTGGGCCAGTGTTTCCCTAAGAATCTAAGATATGCCCCGATATGCCTGGGCATACCCGGCAAGCAAGTGTTTCTTTGCAGCACTGGGTAACTGGGTCCCTGTCGCATACCGGGATGTCGTAACCCGTCCCTGAGCCTTTCCCATACTTCTTTGGCCGTGAAGCAGCATTGCACCCAGGTGGGCGGTGGAGTAGGAGAAAAAGCTTCTGCCGTTTTGACGCAATGCCGACTTTCATGCGAGAAGAGTTGGTTGAATCTGATACTTACTGATGTCCAGCTTATCATGTATTACACAGCAACACAGCAGAGATAGAGTGCTTACATTCTGATGCATGTCTGCTCCAGCCTATTACAAGTGTACATTGCATGCCTATATACTGTACGTATACCTGGCGGATTGGATGATGTGCGTCAAGATTTTTCTGGGTTCCGGCTTCGATAGTGTTCCTAGGTCCAGATACAACCCCACCATGATGATGCAGTACGGGCAACCTGGTAGGCAACTTTTGTGCTTTGTCAGTTTTAGTAGTCCAAAGGTCAACACAGTTCGCCCGCCCCAGGGCTGTGGTCGGTGCAATTATTTGCTATGCCCCTCATCCGCCCGCGGTTGCAGGGGGCTAAAGTATATAGTCCTGTTACTTCTTCGCATTTCCCGTCTTTTTGAAAGCATTTCAAAATCTTGCAATTGCAGACACTCTTCTAAATAACACCCAATTTTTCACTCTCACAAAAAACCAATCGCAAAAATGTCTTTGGCTGCTGCTCCCTCCAAGTGCTGCACTGTCGGATCCCTGCACGAGTAAGTTGTTTAATGATCCTCCAACTGCTACGTCAGTTTGCTGGCACCTATTCCATCTACCCCGCCATCCGTCGGCCTCGGCATTGGGTGCTGCAATGTAAATTGTCAGCAATTTATGCTGGGCTGAAAGAGATGATTTGCAAATTTCTGGCCACTGCAGGCTTTCAGACGCATTCAAGCTCTGGACGGTATTTTTGAAGCTATGTTCGAACTCACCGCGGGCTCGAATCGTTCGGAGCAGGCCTTGCGACGTGGATAGCAAGCTTCGGAGCTGCTTTGCCGTCGGCAACAAAGCACTTATCCGCCAACGCCAATAAGCAGTCGAGACGAGACGAGACGAAACACCATGGACTGACAAAAAATCATAGGGGTACTCCCACCGGCACTGAGTTCAAGGTCGGCAAGTACGATGCCTACCTGGCCACGCCGGCGCCCGAGAAGGCCCACAAGGATGCCGCCATCCTGTACCTTCCCGACGTCATCAGCATCTGGCAGAACAGCAAGCTGATGGCCGACCAATTCGCCGCCAGCGGCTACCTCTGCCTCATCATCGACCTGTTCAATGGCGACCCTCTCGCCCTGAACCGCCCCGACGACTTTGACTTCATGGGCTGGCTCACCAAGGGCAGCACCGGCAACAACCCCCACACCAAGGAGGCCGTCGACCCCATTGTCGAGGTCGCCATCAAGTACCTCAAGGAGGAGAAGGGTATCAAGAAGCTGGGTGCCGCCGGTTACTGCTTTGGTGCCAAGGTATGTTTGAAAGAAAAACCTCTTCTCCAAAGCTGCGCCTTTCGTCCCATTTATCTAACTATATCTTTCTCTCCAGTACGTCGCCCGCCACTTCCCCGAGATCTCGGTCGGCTACTTTGCCCACCCGTCCTTTGTCGACGAGGACGAGCTCGCCGGCTTCAAGGGCCCCATCTCCATCGCCGCCGCCGAGACGGACGAGATCTTCCCCGCCGAGAACCGCCACAAGGCTGAGCAGATCCTCGCCAAGGGTGGCTACCCCTACCAGATCAACCTGTACTCGCAGACCGAGCACGGTTTCTCCATCCGCTGCGACCCCAGCAAGAAGACTGCAAAGTTTGCCAAGGAGCAGGCTTTCCTCCAGGCCGTCACCTGGTTCGACACCTGGTTGCTGTGAATGCATGATGGGGACGTAAAGGTGAAGCTATGAAAAACATATAGAAAAAAACGTTGAAATTAGCGTACCTGGGAATCCCGGGTAGGAAATGAATATAGATGAATATTGATGAAATTTTTGTGCAAGCAAAGTCTTATTGGAAGTGTTATTTAGATATATGCATGATGCTCGCGAAGGATTTGCAAGTTCAGTCGCTGCCCTCCTTTGCAGCGCCTTCGTCGAGGATACCCTTCTCCCTCTCTTTGAGTAGTTGACTATGAATGCCTTGTTTGCTAATCTTCATTGCCGCCTCCAGCTCGCGTTCCTCCTCCCTCAGCGCTGCCCGGCCGTGCTCAAGTTGACGTTTCTGTCTCCGCTTCTCCTCAGCGACCTGCCTCTCTCTTTCCGCCAGTGCCTTCTCCCGCTTTTGCCTATCGTCTCGTGCCTTTTGGGCGGCTTCATCCTCCGCAGCCTCGCCTTCCTCTGGTGGCGGTGGCAGAGTATCGATATAAGCTTTGAGCAGGGGATCTCGTGTCTTTGCATCCAGTGACACATATCTGACATCTGCCAAGATCTGACTCGGCAAATTCTCAAGCATTGTCTTGTTGTTCAGGTGCTTTGGCGGGACGCTCTTGAGGAGAGTAGTCAAGTCCTTTTTCAGCGTATCCATTGGCATCTTTAGCCTGCTGATATACTCGCGGTATAGCTTCTCCCGATCCTTGTCAATCAAGGAGGTGTCGCGCATGGGCTCTTCTTTCCTATACTTTCGCTTGAACTCTGGCCAGTATAGCTTTGGGTTGGCCTTTTCCTTCAAGAATGCAAGATATGGTATCCGTGGATCCTTCTTCTCCTCTCTCTGCCGGCGCTCCTTGATGACCTGAATTTGTGCCCGTGACCACTCTTCCCAAACGTCCTTGCGACTCTTCATGTTCGGGAGCACAGTATATCTCGGATCGTCGATGATTTTCCCGTCTTCCAATAACTTGTCCCATGTTGAGAATGGATTAATGTCGAAATCACTTAGCATATCCTTGAACAGCTCACGCGCGTCCTCATCAGACAGGGTGAAGCCCTCGGCGCCTTCGGGCCAAGTGGAAGGGTCCGTTCCGTCGTCATACTCGCCAGGGTCGAGGCCATAGTCTGCCCCCATGGCCTGCAGCTGGAACGCTATATCGTCTTCGGTGAACTCGGCGGGTAGATCATCGGCGGCCTCCTCAGTGCGCTGGCGCTTCGATGGATGCTCGTCATCTCCCATTTCATCGTCCTCGGCGCCTTCGTCATCTGTGACCTCGACTTCTTCGTAATCCGACCCGAGCTCTTCCTGCTCCTCTTGCTCCTCGTCTTGCATCTCAACGTCTTCAGCTGCTTGCGCCTCTTCGACCGACGCTGACGCTGAAGTTCCCTCTGCACCGGTGCCGTTTGCCTCTCCAGCTTCAGCCCGTGCCGCTTGCTCAGCCTTTTCTTTTGCGCCTCGTATGTCCAGCTCAATAATGCCCTTCATCAGCTTCTCCGGTATCCGCCAGTAGCTCGCGTTCTTCTCAGGGTGGTACGCGAACCGCCGCCCATACTTTGTGTACACTAGGATCCACGGCTCAAAGCCGGGGATGGCCACCTTGGACTTGGGTCGGTCGTGTGGCTCGGGTTTGGGTCGGTCGCCGCCCCCTCGGTGGTGCCCTCCCCTTCCTGGCGCATTGTTGACGTCGCCGCGCCCTCCCGGCCGTTGTGGTTGCGGTCCATACTGGGCGAGAAAGGCATTGGCCGCCGTCGGGTCAGCCAGGGACCCGACTGCCGAGTACTGACGATAGCTTGCTCGTGGATCCTGCTGACCGGGGAGCGACGAGGAGCCAGCAGGTGGTGGCGGCGCTGGCGTGGCAGCAGAAACGTCGGCGCCTGGTCTCTTGTAGGTCGACTCTTTTGTCGCGGCGTTGTAGTAGTATGTATGGCCCGTTGGCGCCTTGTGCTCCGTCCACCCTGTAGGGAGAGGCGGCGGAGCATGCGCCGACGGCTTATATGTTGATTTGAGCATGAAGGCTGCAGCAGACGTATTGGTTGTGTGGTGGGATGTGTGAATGGCTGTTGATTTACAATCTTGACCTAGAGCTTGGTCTAGGTACCAATACGTCAACCAACAACTTTCTAGCGGGATGTTTTTTTTTTCGGAGCTCAATTGGGTAGGTAGAAATGAGCCTGGCGCAGCTACGCGGAAACGGCCCGTAGCTGGTTCTTGGGTCGCTGTGTAACTCTGCTTTCAGTGGGGACGGTCGCAAATCTCTCTGGTATGTACTGTCCTGCAGTGAGCACAAGGTACCTGCCGGTGCGTGATCATCGCTAATTGGTACTCGAGTATTGTGCAGCTTTCCCTTGCTCTTATACTAGCCTGAAAATCGAGGAATTGGGTATTCATTTGATTCTTGGTATCTATTGATGCAATTCTGTCTTTCAAGGAAACTTGATCACTTTATATTTCCTCCCGAGTCCCTATACCTTGCCTCTTTCTGGTATCGATTGGACATTGTAGTCCACTCTCCTGGTTCCTGCCTCCAGAGCAGCCTCCCATCCTTGCCGTTGTAACACTTCTTCCATGGTATAAAGTTCTCAACAAAAAATCAACTTGTCCTGCAATATTCAGTGGTCGCAGCAGCCTGGCCGCAAACCTCAAATCCCATCTACATGTCCCATCTCTCTCCGATACCACTATGTGATCTCGCGAGAACAATGTTGGTGGCATAACCGCCATTTCTCATCTCACGGAAGTGGCTTACCCAGCTCGCGGGTCTTGGGTTCCAACCGCTGGTTGAACATGGCCTCGAACCATTTCTGGCTGGGTGGTCGCCATCTTCCTACTCCACTCAAGCAATGCTCTTGGTCTTGGTCGATATTTATCCACACCAACGGCGTGCTATTGTGTATCTTTCCATGGACCATGAAATCACCAAGGGCTTCGGGGAACCTCACAGGGTCTTTGATGAGTACCGGCTGGTACGCCGGGATGAGTAAATGCAGCCGAATCTTGCGCTTGCTCTTTCCGGTCTTGTTGGCGTTGCGGGCGGCCCTCTCCGAGTATTCTCGTGCGGCGAGCATGTACACGATTGCCGCGTCCAGTTGGTTGCTGTGCCCGCAGAACCGACGGTGAAGTCCCTTGTCTTTGACGAGCCGGTGGAAACCAGGCGTCCACAGTGTGTCAGGGTGATACACGAAGAACCAGTTCGAAATGTCGTCAGTATCCTGGTAGTTGTGTAGAGCTTCTTCGACGATGTCGTAGACCGCCTGCGGGAACTTTTCGATCGACAACAATGCTGTCTGCGCCTGGAGAGTGTCGTTCATGTCCTTGAGTTGCGATGCAATGAGTTGCAACGCCTTGACGCCCTGGCAAGTGACGACCAGGTTACCAATGGTGCCTAGTTGTGCTGCGATATTGCTGAACGATACAGCAACCTTTGTGCTGTCGCAGATGGATTTAGCCATAACCTGGAATACAGGAATGGCTTCATTGATGATGGTGATGGCTTTGGGAATGCTATCGACGTCCTGCGTCGCCTTCCACAAGTGCTGGCCTGCCTCGATCATCTTGACGACAGACATCGGCCCCGATCCGATTCTAATCATCTTGCCTCCATTTCGCTGCGACGAGCTGAGGGTCCTGATCAACTGCTCCATGGTAATGTTTCGCCCGGTCCTAGGTGTACTGTGTATAGAGAGAAGCGGATTTGGGATGAATGAGCGGGCTCATGTCCCGTATACAATGCACAGCATTGCCCGTCACTGATATGAGCAACGCCGAGGCCGCCCAAGGATGTTTTTAATGCCAGAGTCATCGTCAGTTGCCCATGGCCATGGCTTCTATTCAACCATGCAACGCTTGGGAGTTGATGCGTTGTCGTGTGGCACCAACTCAAGGCGGCCAATCACGACCGAGTCTCAGTGCCCAGAGACCCGTTTCTGGCGACCAAGGGATCAACTTAGCGGAGGATAAGGGGAATACACTTCCCCTTCTCCATACTGCCAAATGGCGGTATAGGATTCGTCCCTGTCGAATGCTTGTTCACTCGAAATTCACCGATTATGCGCGTTCCTGAGCTCCAGTACATCCTGGCAATGGTCGTCGCGCTGCTAATTCGTCCGATCTTGTCTGGTAGCTCGCCTCTACTCCGCAGTGCTTCCAAGGCACAAGGTACTCTGGGGCCATCTCCCCCATATTAGCCCACTGCTCCACGATGCAGCAGGAGATGACAATGAGGGAAAAGATGACAGCCATGAGCCATGGCGAATGATTTCCACCAGTCGTATCATGCCAGGACTGACAAACTGTTAGCCCCAAAAGACTGCGAGAACCGGTAGCTTATCGAAGCAGCTTGCCCGAGCTTATCAGTGCATCTAGTGACAACAAGCATAGCCCTGCTTGATGAGGTTCAGCGCGCGCCCCAGACATGCCGCAACGTTGTGGTCTGTTCACCATTGATGGAAGCAGATGGAAGCCAAACATGTCCGGACGGGTAATCGCAGATGTCCTACGGAACCAGAGCGCATGAAACGCAGTGTTTCTCCCTGTGATAGATGCGTCATTGCGATCTGGCGACTGAAAGTTGGGATGAGATCTGAACCTCCCCGTTTGCTGGAGTTGCGAATGCGGATGGTGCGTCCCAAAGAGGAAAGTCCTAATATAATGATTGGACATGAGTCCCTACGCGGTCTCGTTTAAGCTTCGATCGTCACCCTTGGTAATCTACAGATGAATTAGGCTACATGGACCTTCCAAAATGGTGCATTAATTATAGCGAAACATGAGCTCTGCAATGGAACCGTTCTGTACGACAATAGCGGGATCCAGACATCCATTGCGACCGGCCGAACAAAAAGCTGCTCGGTCGCAAACCCCAAGACTCTGGGCATGAGCACTCTTGAGTCTTGGCTGGCATCTCGCACATCGTCCCAGTATGCAGCAATCACTGTTACTCGCTCTTGGCCTCGCGGCTATGAGCGCAGCCGCCGTCATCTCGAATGAGAACACGGCGTATAACGGGCCGCTTTTCACCCGTGGTGACATTTCCATCGCCGAGGCGCCAGCAGAGGGTCTGATCCAACTGCTCTCGAATCCTAAGCCTGACCACCTCCGAAGCCCGGTCCGCGAGCGCATCGCCGCCCAGAAACTCGGCAAACGCGCGGGAACGGGCAACGAAACAGTCAATACCCTCTTCAGTGGCATCTACCCGACCGTCAATCTCACATGGGGCAACACGGATGGGTCTCCTGGACAGCAGTTCATCAGTTTCATCGACACTGGAAGCTCCGACTCGTGGGTAGTTTCTAGTGATCTGCAATGCGTCGACATTGAGACCAAGGTGCCGCTCGACCAGGCTGCATGTGGATTCGGACCGCTTTATGACTCCTCCAAAGGCTCCTTTACCAACATCACTGATGAGTCCTTCTCCATCAGCTACTTTCCAGAAGGCGAAACCCTCAAGGGCGACATGGGGTACGCGCCGATCACACTGGGTGGTTTAACCGTGCCGAAGCAGCAGGTTGCCCTCGTGAACTATGCGGCATGGATTGGCGATGATGCATCATCGGGTCTGCTCGGCCTCGGATACCCTGCCATCACCTCTGGTCGCAACCGGACAAGTGGTAAATACGTCGAGTATGACCCGCTATTTACCACCATGATCAAGGAGAAAGTCGTTTCGGATGGCATCTTCACCTTGGTCATTGACCGTGTACCTCAGGGAACCTCGCCTCTTGCGCCTGCTGGTCTGATGGCACTCGGTGGATTGGTGCCAGACACATACTACGAAGCACCATTTACCAGTGTGCCGATTGTAAAAGACGGCGGCGAGTACACCTGGTATAACGTGGACGCCAAGATCAAGTATGGTGCCAACGGCACTGTCACGGACTTTGCTACCTCTGCTTCCTTTGAGACCATTGTCGACAGCGGAACTTCGCCCAATTTCATCCCTACAGCGGCGACCAAGGCGCTCAATGCCCTCTTCGACCCGCCGGCTGTGTACAATGCCACGCTCGATTACTACACTGTGGACTGTGATGCCACGGCGCCGTACGCTGCCTATGTCATTGACGGGGTAGAGATGCCAATGGATCCCCAGGACATGATTGTGCGCAGCCTCAACGGTCTGCCGGGTTACGAGGACGTGTGCTTCAGCGCGTTCGCCGACGGCGGCCCCAACACGGCCGGTGCCAGTTTCATCATTGGTGCAGTTTGGCAGAGAAACTATGTTGTTGCCTATGATCAGACGAATAGCTTGATGCATTTTGCAAAGAGGAAGCCGTACTGAGTTGGATTTTTCGTACAGTAACGCACTTAGCCGAAAGATTGCCCTTGCAATCGGGTTGTACTATCAAAAACAAAAAATTACCACGTAGCTATGAAACAAAGTTTGTACTAGCAATCAAATCATATTCAATCAAAGCCCCATCCAATGTCTGCAGAGTAGCATAACAAACAACTCAAAAGTCTCGTTTGCAAGATCCTTTTATTTATTTCATCTCATGTCGGGTCTATAGATTTTCCAAATCAAATGCCCCCTGCTCGTCTACGGTTTCCCAGATCTCATTCAATGTACCTTGCTTTCTCTTAACAAATTGACCGTATCCTTTAGTTCCTACAAGACCTTCGCCATCGCGATCCCATACAACCTTGCCACGAATGATGGTGTATCGGGGCCAGTTATTCACTTTGCGGCCTTCGTATGGCGTGTAGTCCACGTCATGATGAAGCATGCTGTTGGTGACTTCCAGACCGTCCAACTTGCCATCCGGATACCAGATGACCAGATCAGCATCCGACACACCGGGGATCATGCTGCCCTTCTTGGGGTACAGTCCATACAGCTTGGCGGCATTGGTACTGGTAACCTCGACAAACTTTGTCAAGGCGAGTTTCCGAGCGGAAAAGGCCAGCGGCATTCTCGTCTCGATACCCGGCAGGCCATTGGGGATGTAGCGAAACTTGCCGACGGGGTGTTCATGCGTGACGCACGTCTTCTTGCCCGTGACGGCGTCGTCAAAGCGGAAAGGGCAGTGGTCGGAGCTCAGCACGGCAAAGGTGCCGTTGCGCAGGCCGGTCCAGATCTGCAGCTGGTCCTCGACGTTGCGCGGCGGCGGCGAGCAGACGCACTTGGCGCCCTCGAAGCCGGGCTTGTCGAGGTCGTCGCGCGTCAGGAACAGGTACTGCGGGCACGTCTCGGCGAAGATGGGCTGGCCCGCCGTCTGCGCCTGGCGGATGCGCAGCGCCGCGGCCGGGTCGCTCACGTGCACCAGCAGGATGGGCGTGTTGGCAATGAGCGACGAGAGCGCAATGGCGCGGTTGGTCGCCTCGGACTCGAGAATGGGAGGGCGCGAGTTGGAGTGGTACTTGGGCGCCAGCTTGCCCTGGGCCTCGAGCTGGTCCGTCAGCCATTCCAGCACGTCGCCGTTCTCGGCATGGATCATGGTCAAAATGTGCCGTTGCCGGGCGGCGAGTAGGACGGACAGGATCTCATTGTCGCGAAGTTGAAGAGCCGTATAAGTCATGTAGATCTTGAGCGAGGTGATACCCTCGCTATCGACCAACTGATCGAATTCCGATAGTGCCTTTGGTCCAGGATTCGACACGAGCAGGTGAAAGCCATAATCGCAGTAGCAGTTATCCTTGGCCAGCTTGTGGGTGTTTCCCAATGCCTCCAAAAGAGAGTCCTGAGTCTTTTGTTGCGGTGCAAAGGCAACAATGGTGGTGTTTCCTCCAGCGACGGCAGATCGGGTGCCCGTCTCAAAGCTGTCTGCGGAACTGCCCTTTCCAAACATGCTGGGCTCTTCGAGGTGGACATGACAGTCTATCCCACCTGGCATGACATATCCACCTTCGGCGTCGATTAATCTTTTCGTCTTTGCATTTTTCAGCGACCCCGATGGTGCCAAGAGGGCGATTTTCTCGTCTTTAATGGCAACATCATATGGCGAAACATCTGCCGCCGTGACGCAGACGGCGTTGGTGATGACCAAATCGTACTCGTCCATTTCTTTGTCGGGCTATTCCTCAACCTACGAGACGGTGTTTGACTGCTTCAAGAGAATGTCAAGGAGAAAACAAGGTGAAGTGAAAAAAAAAAAATCGTTTACAACAACATGAATTACTACTTTTTCTCACGTTTGTATATCTACATTTGGCAGGTCATATTACCATTTTCGGCTCAAAATGTCTGGCGGCGCAAAGCCGCGCAATAGGGCGGGACTGGCGCCGACGCGCCGTTATCGAGACAGTGTTCGGCGCTGTTCGGGGGCTTCCAATTGTCGAGTCAGGGAAATGTCCAAGATAGGACATATAATCGTGGGGAACTACCCCAAAGATAAGGATTTCGATTAACAATAGCAAGATTAGCTTTTTGTCTAGTATCGAATGACCCGTAGACCAATGAGAATAACCCTTCCAAGTACAAGTCCAAATGAGGTGTTTTTTTTTAGAGAGATCGGAACGCTCGAAGCCCGCAAAGCCGGGTGATTACCTACACCTGGACAATCAATGGACATCCCCACAACATGGGGTTGAGAACTGGGGGAAATCTGAGATGATATACTCGGCAGTTGTCTCCCGACATTGCCACTTCTCGTCTTGCATCTTGCTCCCAGATCTGTGTCTATTTTTCGAAGACAGCAATCGTACAAGTGTGTGCGCGACTCGACAGGATCAACTGAAAATAGTGGTCTTTCAATACACCCCGCGCCGTGCCCCAATTCGGCATATTCCGACCCCCGTGTTATTTGCTCTGCTTGTGGTTGGATGCGACCATGAGGCGTTCTGCGGATATCGTATATCGTCGAGATACAAAAGTCATGAGCACTTCGCTTCGTCGGGGACATTGACTCTTTATGAATATATATCTGACCACCACCCGCGACGAAGCAATCGGGAGGACATTTGTGCCGCAGATCTGGGCCAATGAACGCCGCGCGGCCTCCTACTTATAGGTGCGTTTGCATACCATGTCGTCCTTATCTTGGTCGATCTTGGCAAACCGACATCCCCTGGCCATTTTGCAGATATCCGCCATCTTTGGATATCATTTGGCTGGAAAGAGAAAGCAACGTTACGAGATGGAACGAAATTGTTGCATAATGGATGGAGTTCTTGGGGGGTTATTTGCAGGAGTCTCTTTGATTGCTCTGTTGCCGCTAGATGGTTCCGAGGAGAATTTGTTAATGGCGCAATAGCACTCGAGATATCGCAATGCACCAGGGGTTACTCCGAGCATTTCTCTCCACTTTGAGGCGACCAGACCGCGGTTCGAGATCCGTTGAGCTGAAAGAGTCGTAGTACTATAACATGGTACAAAACGTGGCTGCCCGCTCCTTTACGAAATGTGCGTCTTTCTACTTTGACCTTCCGATTCTGTGATCTCTTCATTTTTCTTGGGGATGTCAGTAGGCGCCAAGTCAGTATAAAAAGCTTGTCTGTTCAGGGACAGGGCTTCGATTTCACGAGTTGTCTAGTGTATCTGTTGGCAACTTTGAAGGTCTCCTCTTCTGTACTTGATAAACACAAAATCAACAGCATCGATCGTTCATCATGGGTGAGTTATACTAGCAATGCCCTTGATACCGCACACACGACTGACTTGTATTGCCTTTACAGCGGAAAATGTGGTAGGTCTGACAGTCCAAAAGATTGTTGAGCCAGACTCGGACCAAGGAGTTCATGTCGCCAATACTCCAGCCAAGCAGGCCAACAATACCAGCACTGCACCGTCTTTCCACGATGATGCCCAGGCAGAGTCTCAAACTGTCTCGGCGAGTTACGCTACACATATCATCGACCCTGCAGATTATCCAGAGCCGACCCAAGAAGAGCGGTCGACGCTGCGCAAGGTTCACGACTCGATCCCGGTCATTGCCTGGTCGCTATGTTTCGTCGAGATGGCCGAGAGAGCATCGTACTACGGTGTCAAGGCCGCCTTCAACAACTACCTCCAATTCCCACTCCCCGAGGGCGGTCCTGGCACTGGTGCCATCGATCCCAGCAAGCCTGATTCCCATGCCGGTGCGCTGAATCTCGGTCTACAAAAGGCTTCAGCCATTGGTCTCATGTTTACCTTTTTGGCCTACGTCATTCCCATCTTTGGTGCCTGGATTGCAGACGTCAAGATTGGTAGATATCAAGCCATTGTCTGGGGTGTCATCATTGGCGGCGTTGCTCATGTCATCATGATTGGAGGTGCCGCGCCGGCCCTTCTCCAGGCTGGCAAAGGCCTGGCGCCCTTCTTGTTCAGCTATATCCTCTTGGCTATCGGCGCCGGCATCTTCAAGCCCAATGTTGCTCCTACCGTCATTGATCAGTACAAGTACCAACGAGAGTACACGAAGGTGCTAAAGTCGGGCGAAAAGGTGCTCGTCGACCCCGAGACGACAGTGAGCCACATTATGCTCATCTTTTATGCCTTTGTCAACGTGGGCGCCTTTTTCTCCATTGCCGTCGTCTACATTGAAAAGTACCACAGCTTTTGGCTTGCCTATCTCGTACCCGGCATTGTCTACTTTTTGCTGCCGGTCCTGCTCGCCTTTACCTATAAGCGCACCATCCGAACGCCGCCTCAGGGTTCGGACCTGACCCGGTTCGTCAAGATCACCGTGCTGGGCCTCAAGTCCAGCAAGGGCAATATCTTTGCCAAGAACTTTTGGGCCAATGTGGCGCCTTCAACACTCAACGAGCGTGGTGTCGAGGTGGGCTTCTCGGAAAAAGACGTGGACGATGCGCGCCGGACTTGGCAGGCCGTGCAAATCTTCCTCTACGTTCCCGTGTGGGTTCTCAACGATGGCGGTGTCGGCAGTGTGCTCTCCAACCAAGGCGCAGCCATGACATCGGACGGCGCGCCCAATGATCTCCTCGGTCATTTCAACCCCTTGGTCATCATCATCTTTGCCCCGTTCATGGCAGAGATTGTGTATCCTTTCCTCAAGCGTAAGAATATCAAGTTTGGACGTATTAGTCGAATGACGTTTGGTTTCGTTCTCGCTATCATCTCCTCCGTTATTGGTGCCATTGTGCAATGGCGTGTTTACGAAACTAGTCCTTGGTAAGTTTGAAGCACAATCCCCCATAGCTATCCTATACTACACACTGCTAACCATATCTAGTGGTTACTACGCCAGCGATTGCGACGGTGTATCACCCCTCTCCATCTGGTGGCAAGTGCCCAACGTTGCCCTCGGGGCCATGTCCGAGGTCTTTGTCAACGTCACGGCCTATGAACTCGCCTACGCCCGCGCACCGGAGAACATGCGCTCGACCGTCGTCGCCCTCTTCTTGTTCATGACGGCTCTCAGCAGCGCGCTCGGCGAGATCTTGATCCCCGCCATTGCGGACCCCACGCTCGTCTGGGCCTGGGCGGCGCCGGGCATTGCCCTGTTTGTGCAGACCATCATCTTTTGGTGGAGACATGGCCACATGAATGATGATGTCTTCATGACTCAAAAGGAGGACTTTTCTGACAGTGTTACTGGAGAGAAGACCATCATCTCTTCAAAGGAGGAGTAAGAAAGGAAGAGAGCAAATTAATTGTAGAGTCATGATGCCTCGTTTTGAGGGGCAAGCAGATAGTATAATTAGAGTTTGCAATAATTACACCATTCATATTACAGTCTATCTTTGGGGAACCTTTGACTTGTAAACATCTCAGGTACCGATCTTCTTGCGGTTTCATGAACTGGCATAGCACCAACACTCAAGTCGTACGAAAATCGGAATGACATGATCCTGTATTCATACGGCTGTTCTAAACCGGGTCTTGGCACCTCATAGGTAATGATACATGTTCCTCACAGAATTATGAATTCGGATCACAAAGAATATTTTGATTGGATACTGCTGGTCGAGCTTGACCCTGACGCAATGTGTAAATCATTGCTTCGTGCATTCAACCGACGACCGTTTGCCAAGCCTCACGTCACAGATACATATCAGGACGATTTCAAACTGGCTGCACTGAATGAAAGCAAGAGCCGAAGCCTTCCAAGAAATTGTAGGCGTTGAACATATTTCCCGTCTCGATTATGCATTTTCCCGGACCATGACTTGGTGTTGTGGCAAAGATAGTGCCCAATCGCGTGTCGACAAGGATTGCGGATAATATGAGCAGTATATTGGCCAGACCGCAAAGGGTATCGATTGATTGCTCCTTTTGGTATTGACGACAACACATGCCGCGACGCGCAGATGGGAAGTTTAGATCTGCCGGTGGTGCTTTGAGCATATCGTACATCTATTTGATCTTGTTAAATATGACAACGCAACCCTCGCACAGGCGACTGATAAGGCGTCGCTGTTGTCCAGCTCCCTATGCATCTACCATTCGAGCGTATGAGAAGACTAAATCAAAAGATGAATCTCTTCAGTGCTATTTTTTATCTAGTAGCCTGGCTTTGTATCGGTAAGCCAATCTGCCTTGCCCGGCGATGAGCTGAGCTAATCAGGCAACCGTGTTAGACCATGTGGCGGCCGATATCCAGGCTTTGCCGCTCCCAACGAGCTGCAGCGGCGTGGCGGCAATGAGATACCAGTACAAGGCAGCCTCAGGCTGGTCAGTGGTCAAGGTAGCCGGCAATCTAAAGCAGGTCCGAACCATTGTCTTTGATCCGCTGGGCAACATGCTCGTGTCAGAGGCCACCAAGGGCATTTCCGTCCACACATGGGGCTCCAACGGATGCATCAACAGCAGCTCGACTCTCATCTCCCTCACGTCTTTGAATCATGGGCTTTCGCTTACTCCTGACGGAACCACTCTGTACGCCAGCAGCGAGACGACGGTCTACTCCTGGACTTACAACCCGGCCACGAGGGCAGTATCCAACCAAAAGACGGTCGTCAAAGGCATGGACACTGGCATTCATTCCACGCGAAACGTGCTGGTCGTGCCATCGCAGCCCAACATGGTGCTTGTCCAAGTTGGAAGCAACCAGAACTTGGACACGGCTGCAGCCAACAAGGCCACTGGCCGCGCCATCATCAAGATCTTTGACATGAGCAAGGCTCCATCTGCTGGGTACACCTACAAGACTGACGGCGAAGTCTTTGCATATGGACTGCGCAACGAGATTGGTTTCACGACTGACCCCAACGGTGTTGTCTGGGGAGTGGAGAACAGTGGTGATGTAGGACTCCATCTTATGATTGATTGAACGACATTTCGGATCAGACTAACAGAAGAAATAGGATTTTACCCGCACAGTAAACGGCGCGCGTACAGACATTCATAAAGATAACCCAGCGGAGAAACTCAATAATCGTATGTAACTTACCATGATGCCGTTTGATATCTAGTCGTCGCACAGCTTTTCAATCGCTGACATGGAAACCATCCATCTAGTGGGCGACCCTCTCAAGGACAGAGACAGGTGGTTCGGGTACCCGACCTGCTTCACCGTCTGGGACCCGAGCCTGTTCAAGGACACGACGACGCTCAAGGTCGGCGACCACTTTGTGCTGAGTCCCAACAGCACCTTCAACGACGCGAGCTGCAACGCGCAGGCCGTGGCGCCGCGGCTGTCGTTCCAGGCGCACTCGGCGCCCATTTGGAACGCCTTTGACGCCGACGCCACCAACATGTACGTGACGTTCCACGGCTCGTGGGATCGCCAGCCCCCGACTGGCTTCAAGGTCGTCCAGGTGCCCTTTACCAAGCTCGCCAGTGGCCAGTATGACCCCGTGGCCCCCGCGACGAGCACCACGGGCTACACGGACGTGTTGTCGGCGACGAGCCCAGAGTCGGTAAGCAATCTCCATCCTTTCCATGCATCTCTTCTGGGATGGCTTTAGAGCATATGACTTTTCTCACAAGGTACCACGACATAGTGGCCTTGGAGAACCAAAAAAAAAAAAAAGGCTCTTCAGAGAATCACTGTAGCTAACAAATGATGTCGTAGTGCACCGCCAATGGTCTGACGCAAAGCAACTGTTTCCGCCTTACCGCATCTACTTGGGACCCGGCCGGTCGGGGCCTCTTTGTCGGCAGCGACAATAGTAATGAAGGAGAGATTTACCTCTTGCACAAGAACTAATTCATGTGTTTTATCATCTATTGGCTCCTCTTGATGACGCTGGAGCCTTTGCTTCAAGCGGCGGGTGGTGTATGTATATATGACTTTGGTAGCATCAATTGATCCTGATGAGTCAAGGCCATCTATATACACTCGAATATTGAGTAAAGTAGCGAAAAGCATTTTGGTGTCTTCATACATCGAGGTGTTGGAGACCGGTCGCTCCAATGGTATGTCGCACTGCATCGATATAAGGTCATGTCGTGTTGCCAACAGGCTGACAGGTAGAAGAAGTCTTGCTAACAACAGCAAGTGGCCCATGGTTCTACGAGCTTTCTTGTGAGTAGGTAGCACCAGAGGAATTATTTACCAAAGTCTCGGAATCATGTTTGAGAAGATTAGAGGACACAAGCAAATAGACTTGTACCAGCATACACACGCTCGCTGGCTGCATGTGATAGGACAGTAAAAGTCGCCGCACTAGCGTAACGGCAATCCGTAGATGGTGGGGGGGGTTTCCGCCCATTTCATCGCGGGTTGAAAAGTTAATGCCATGTCTAGAACGTTCCGGTTCCAAACAGTTCATGGGCAATTGCTGAAGAGAAAAAGGATTGAATTTGCATTATATTGCCTCCTCACAATGGAGAAGCGGCCGCGGAGGGCGGGGCAATGCAAAGCAAAGCAAACAGTTCAGTGTGGTTTGGCAGAAAAGTTAGAGGGTTGACGCGAATACTTTTGTCCTACTAACCTGTTTGCCTGCTCACTGTAGTATACAGAGACTGTGTTTTAAAAATAACACAGAGCAGCTAGAATCAAAAATGGGAAGCGACTTAAAACGCAAAGGGGGGGAACAGCTAGCGAGGGTAATGTACTGTGTAGCTGGTAGTAGGTAACCTAGTAGGTATGGGAGTAAACTTGAACTAGGATTTTTCGTCTCACATAAGCGGCTCGCATGGGCATAGACCACTTTCCCTTATTAGCCATGGGCCATTGGCATGGCTTTTGTTAGCTTGACTGGAGCTTCCCGAGGACGTGGCACCGCCCTTTTAGGTACCTCATTCGACAGCTCCCGAGCCTCCACTGGCCTCCACTGGTGTGTACGCGTGTGTGTCTGTGTTTCTACTGCTCTTCTTGCCTCCCTTTTCCCTCCTCCTCCTCCTCCCCAGCTTTTCTTGACATCTGATGGAGCTGTCACTGCGCGACAATAGGTGGGTGATATCGGCGATTGCGGCTGAGATGCAAGGATTTGCTGGCGGGGGTTTGGCTGGCTGACTTGTTGGAGAGCTTGCGTGTTCACTACTTGTCGTCTGGAGCTCCCGGGCTTGTCGCATCCAAGAATCCTTCTCTCACGTCAATCGGCCGCCCGTATGTTCTCTGTCGCCGTCTTCGCTCTGCCTGCCTTCAATAAAAAAGTCCTACATTAGCGAGAACCATACTCCCATGCCACACCAAGGCGCACACCTGAGATTATCAAGGGACGTACCAATCGCACGAAGCTTTCCGCTAGGCCACAGGGCTGGCTGTCATGGCCGCAATGGCTAAAACCGCTATGCGGTCTGGACTCTGGACTGGTCCTAAACCATAATAAGATTACAAGGTTATCCAAGTATATCAGCCAATCACCGCGTATCGGAACATGATGGGGGTCTGTGACGGCTAGGGATTAGGTACGTCTTGGAGGGTTGGTTACCCAAAGAAACCCCCCCGCCGACTCACCCACGAGGTTTGTCTTTGTGACACAGCATAAAAGAACTGTTCGTGGCCGCACCAGTAACCGATACAAATGTAGATGAATGTAGCAAATGCCATATTTGTGGGAAGATGATCCTCCTCCACTTTTGGGTTTACAATTTTGTTCCTTTTCTTGTTTCCTCTCCTGGAAATCTTACCAAATCCTCAAGTGCAAACGGTGCGGTCAGTCATGGTCCGAACGCCTCCGGCTATCGCTTGAATCTGCCGAGTTCGTAACAGGTAAGGAGGCTGACGATCTTAGCCCATTTCTCATTTCTTTTCATTTGAGAAATTCCATTGTTTCCCAATATCAAAACCTCACGAGAGCGTCAGCGTTCCCGTCGACTAACAGTTCTCTAGTTTTCTAGTTCTGACCTCTTTACTTTATTTTTGGGTGGACAACAAACGTTGCGAGCTTTAGTATGCCTTTTTAACGACAGCGTCATGGCTGGACCAGAAGACTGGAATCGCGCGCAGGCCTTCCCAGGCCAGGAGAGCCGGGTCATTTACGGACACCCGACCATGACGGGCGTGCCAGCAGCTCGGCTCGAGGGGGAAGATGCAAAGGCATCGGCAAACTACAAGGATCTCAGCACTGTTTCCGTGAGCTCAGTATCACAAACCGGCGACTCTACAAATCCTTCGCAGCGTCCCGTGTCGAGAGAGTCGCGAACATGGCTGCCGATGCAGGGCGCCAACGACTCGACTTCTCCGTCAGGTGGCATACATGATGCCGCCTTGATCTCTCCCCCCTTGGAGTCTCCCTACAGTCCTCCACCGGCTACTCACATTTCTTCGCAAATGTCGTCGTTTGCCAGTCGCCGGCCAATGCAGCCCATGGAGTTTGAGGACAGTCCCGCAGCCTATATGTCTTCTGGACCAGGGTTCGGGAGCGCATATGCTTCGCCTTACACTCCCCGTGAGGCATACCACCAACACGGTCGGTCCACAACCGAGACCTCTCAGGCCTATCTTTTACAGACACCGCCAGTAACTACAGAATGGACGCGAGAATCACCCACCCCGCCGCCATATAGCGCTGGCCTGCCACCAAAACAGCCCAAGAGGTGGTTCGTGTGGCGGCCAGAGTGGATCATGTTTGTTTTCCTCTTGCTGGGTCTCCTCGCCGCCGTGGGTCACCACATCTTCTACAAGGCGTTGGACGATCGGTTGGCAGATAATCAAGTGGCCATGTTGCGATATGGTACCATATTGGCGTTCGTGGCCAAGGCGGGATTTGTTGCAGCCACGGTAACTGCCTTTCGACAGCGCCTCTGGGTAACGGTGCGGAACAAGATTCTCAGCGTCGGCGCACTCGATTCCCTTTTTGCCGCAACAAGCGACATTACGGCCCTGTGGAACCGGGAGATTTATCACAAGGCCAAGATCGCCATGCTCCTGGCCGGCCTTGTCTGGATTACGCCGCTCATAGTCATCTTGACGAGTAATACCCTGACTGTGAGGCTGGTCAACAATATCGTGGATACAAAGTGCCCGAGTGTGCGGACTTTGAATTTCACGTTTGAGGAGGTTGAGAACTTTAGAAAACCAACCAAGGTCAATGGTTTATACGGCCTGTCTGTGAACTTATGGAACGCAACGACCTTAAACGACAGTCTTCCCGGCTGGTACGACTACTATACTGCTCCACACGACCTTTTCAGAGCCACTGCCAGCTTGGGAATTTTCTCCAAGAAGGTTAATGCCGTCGAGACTATAGCACACGATATCTGCGGTGTTGGCTGGAACTGCTCATACACCATTGAATTTGTTGCACCGGGGTACAAGTGCACCGAAGTAGCCAATGGTGTCAATTCCGCAGTACAGAACTTGGGCGATTCCACGCCGCCATTCAATACAAGCTTGCTGCTGCCCGAGGGACAATATAGCTACTTTGTGCACTCGACCGAGGGTGACTATTCCACGGCGCAGCTCAAGGAAGTCTGGCCGGGAGGAATGCCGCTGAATTCGACACCTTCTTCTTGGCCCGAGCACTTGGGTGCCTTTCGAACGGAACCCATTATTTGGGCCGGCTACTCGGTCATGGTCAACCAGAGCAACCCTCCTGCTAACAACACCGTAGCGGGCTGGAATGATGCATTCATTCCCAAAATATTTGCCTGCGAGCATTACGAAACACATTACAAGGTCAACTTCACCTATGAAGGCAAGGACCAGAGCACGAAAGTCCTCGAGAGAACATTCTTGTATCCCGTGATGAACACAACGTACCAGCGCGGCGTCGATGCCAACGACGGCACCAATGACAACACCACCGCAACGCCTGAGAGCAACTACGTGTATCCCTATCCCATGTCCAATGTCACCAACACCCGCCGTTACCGACGACTGGCATCTTTCCACTCAATCGGCTTGACCCTGCGCGAAGTCATGAACGGAACGGTGAACTCGGCCTCGGTCCCGGTCCCCAATGCCAACACCAAGGCGCTCCAGACCAAGTTGCTCGATCCCAAGAACGAGTGGTTCGCGTACCCAGACCTGCAGACGCGCGTCCAGAGTTTATACGAGGACATCATCTTATCTATGCTCTCGAATCACATGTTGGTGTCCGTAGCGTGGGCCGCCAAACCCTGGGAGATGTCGGGCGACGAGCCGGGTAACCAGACGACACTGTGGCCCTGCACCCGGACGCGCTGGGAGAACCGCTACCATTACGTGCTGCGCGATCTGTGGATCGTCTATAGCTGCGCCTTTGCCTGCGCCATTGTCGCCGTCATCATGGGCACGGGCGCCGTGCTCGCCAACGAGGGCCGCGTCTACGACACGCGCTTCTCCAGCATCGTGGCCGCGACCCGGGGCCCCGCGCTGGAAAAGATGGCCTGGCACGAAGACAATGGCTCCGATATCCGCAAGATGAAGGTCGGCTACGGCTTGATTCACCGGGCTCGGCCCCTCGATGCCGTCGCCGAGGACGAGGCGGCGTCTACGGGGGCGTCGACGCCGCGGGAGACTGGTGCGACGACGGCACAGCAGCGGCCGCGGTTCGGCTTTGGGCTCGAGGGTGATGTGCGACAGACGAAGCGAGTGGGAAGCTTTTTCCAGAGGACTTGATCTCTTGAGCATCAAAGAGCTTTTTCTTGTTTATATAATTGAACATTAGGTGGTGTATAATACAGGGGTCTACATAGCAAGCGTATAAATGTCTTTATTGTTTTTGTCCAGATACCCAGCGTTGCATCCTGTGTCCACTCTAATTCGTAATGCTAGCTGCCGTGCCGTTCAACCCCCGGCCTGTCCAGCCCTTAGTAGCGTTTGAAATACGCGTATTTTGGCTGGCTTCATGTCGGTAAATTTGCAACCATGATACAAAATAGACATAGTGCTGAGTTTATACAACGGGCCCAAAGAAAAGAAATTCCCCGAAAATTCCGCAAATTGGTGTCTTTTCTCTATATTCGCCCAATAGATGCGACATACGACATTGTATTTTTCAGGTATATCCACGGTGGTGTATGGAGAAGTCAGGACGAGGGAGAGGGCTTTCTATATAATTCTATTCATCAACCGGCCTTTTTGTAATTCTAACTGATGGCTTGCAGACAGTCTCTCAATGTCCATCTCTACTGTAACGCGTGTCTTTTGCTTCAAGTACACGAGTCGAATGTGAATCCAGAATCACCTCGACATGGAATATATCTAATAGACGGCCATCTTGCATTCAATACCTGTCAAATGTGATTTCCATGAGTATCACATTGCAGCTCATATTTTCAACGTTCTGCCGTACAATGAAAACCTCAAGCGAAATGTATACCTTCAACAGGCAAGACAATGGGATTACGCAGGCCCTCTGGCCATGAAAGCCACGGGTCCCATGCAGGACCCAGTAAACGCTGTATGGTATGTAACAGGCGCGGCCCCGCGTCTCCAACCTGCCACAATGACCTCCCATAGTGAAGCAGGATAGCATAACGACCCAATATTGCAATCGCTTCCGGAACTTGGCGCGCCAATAATTCGATGAACAAATCGGGAAGCATGATGGACCACAAGAAAATCATGCGCCGGCCCGTTTCCGACCTCGTCAGGTCCCTCAGGTTGGCAAAGCCCGTTTCAATCAACCGAAGTGCCGTCTCGCACGATGCTTTTTCCTCGTCATTCAGGCCTGTAGCGTGAAAGACGAGATGCCATAGCGTATCTTCCAATTCATAAGGCTGGTCATAGGTAGCGATGCCGAGGCCCCGAATCATTAGTGGCCCGAGTTCAGAGCCTAGAAGCACATTCCAATCCTCCTCTGCAGCCACAGCTCTCACGCCGCGGTAGATGCGGATGCCCTGAACATATCGCTGGAGAAAGGACGAAAAGTCAAGCCCATGGCTATCGAGCGCGTCGGCTATAATGTGGCGCCCCAGAATGGAGGAAAACAGCAGCCGGGCACATATATTGTCCCGATCGGCATCCCGCGTCGACATATTGAACAGCTCAATTGCCTTGGTCTGTAGTTGCACGGCCTGGCTGCGATATATTGCCGCGTCGCTCGGTCGTGTTACCGACAAGTGGCATGCGGATATGGCCAGGATTTCGTGCATCAAGAATGGTGCTTTTAGAGCGGTTTGTAGCACCAGCTTGGTCGCGGGCTCCTTGATATGCTGATCGAATTCGGGAACGTAAATGTCGAAACTGAAATGGACAATAAGTTCCAAGTGTGCCATGTTTAGAGAATCATTACTGATCTCCTGTTGACCATTTTCTGAATCTCTAGTGCGTGGCGCCTCTGCTGCATCTGATTCATCGCGTGATGGAGTAGATTGATGCTCCTTGCAAGTTGTCAGTAAAGAACCGCGCGATGAAAGACCAAGATGGTGAGAATACTCATACATGATGCTTCTTGGTAGGATAAGAGCAGGCTCGTTCGGCCTTGGTACAATTGATACATGTCGGGCGCTGTTCATCACACTTGATGTAACAGCGGAAGATTAGCCATTGAGCATTCTAGTCTTATGCTTACAGCAAAGAGCTCTAACCTACGCGAATATGACGCCTTTTGCACTCGGAGCACCCCTTTCTCGACTTCTTGTGTTGGCGACGGATCATGATGTGGACTCTCTACCCCCCGGTTTCAACTGGTTTATAGTGTAGACAGCCGTATACGCGTCAGCCGAATTGCATACCATGCCGTGGTGTAAGGAGTGAGAACGACATGGATCGGCACTTGCATTGGCGGGATCATGGATGATAGTTGGTGGAGTTTAAGCCCGACCCTGGAAATTCTGCAGCCTAGAATTAGACGGGTGTACACAGTAGAGGCGCCCGACCCGCATCGGTAATTCCCGTCACGGTGGCAAAGGTCAATGACGGACCAGGACTTAAGTTGACCGTACTATAGTAGTCTAGCTAAAGTAGTAGCATCTTAGGTACCTGACTACCGTCAACAGGGGACTGGATTTGCTAAGGGCACGGCACCTAGAATTTTATAGAGGTTATCATGCAAGGGGGGCGGCTGTATCAGGAGCTGGAATCCCTATTAGTGCCGTGAACACGATCAAGAGACTTGATAATTATTTTCTGCGCGCGCGAACTTTGCACGCCTTTACTCTTCGATGAACTTATCTTTTACCTGTTTCATTGTATCACGTTCACCACACGCATGTTAGAGGTTGAAATGCTTGTCGACAAAGATCGAATGATAATATTATAAATACTTCAAACTTGGCCGCGACGATAATGCACAAGATGCACACCACCGCGACACTTGCAGATCTGGTCAACAACCATTCAGCACCTCCAGCAGCAGCAGGAGGAGCATCGTCAAAGTGGCATCGTGCCAAAATAGTCCTTCGATTGCTCTCATTGGCACTGGCCATTGCTGTTGCAACCGAATCGATCCTCCTCCTACCGATTCCTGTGCCTATTACCTCGCCTCTCTTCCCCCTTACTCTCGTACGTCCGACTCCCAGTAATCTGTTGAACGGGCTGTTCACGCTGCTCGTCGCGGCTTCTAACGGTTGCTCTTTAAAAGGCCGTTGCTTGCATCTCGTGGGACGCCACCATTCTGTACACAATGCGCCTGCAAAAGTCTTGGATCAGCGAGGCCCTTCGCATGCACATTGCCATTGAAACCTTGCTGTGGATCATAGGGTTGATGGCGACAGCAATGCAAATGGCGTCCGTCACCATCAGAAGACAAAACAATCCAGGTACAAGTACCTCGGGTAAAGACCTGGCGTTGGCGGCAACGCTCTGCCCATTATTGTGAGTACCGCGAACCCCGATTGTTGTAATTTGACGACTTACATCTATGTGAACGAAACTTTAGTATTCTCCATTTTACCCTGTTTATTCGAGCGTGCTCCGAGTCGCGGCGCCGCAAGCGAGGAAAGCAGGTCCAACAGCTCATACGAACCTTGCTTCAGGAGAACGAGCGAGGAATCAGTCTTTCCACGCTATCTCCCTCGAGCCCTTATCAACAACCACCCCCAGTCTACGAATCTGATCCGAGTTACAAAATGTCCCCGATTAGCGAGCTCTCTACACCCACGGCCGTTGCGGAACTTCCTTCGGTTATTGAGCCGGTGGAACTCCCTGGCGACTTTGACTATATCGGACACATGCGAGTAAAAGATTGAAAAAATTGTACATAATATAAAGATTGTATTTTATCAACTCGCGTTCCAAAATGATAGAATATACCATACGACGATTACCACAATGAGAAGACTTCCGAGGCCAAATGCTGCGTTAGTCAAGTCGGCTATACTATGACGTGTCCACTATGATTTCCAGGACTCGAGTTTGACAAAAGCGGTATAATTGATCGAGAATACTAGTGCTGACAAGAGACAACTTTCATGTGGAAAGAGAATAAATTCAGAGCGCCGCTCTGGAAGAAGGAGATCCCAACAAATTTGCCCACTACCTACATCATCCACAAGCAGCAGCTCCCAGCATTGTAGCATTGTGGTTATCCTTGCTCTGTGTTCTACCCCAACCGAACCACGAAACCAGTCATAACATTTCAGGGGGTGGTGAGATGGGTCTTGGCATCGATCATGTCAGTGACGCCAGTTACATTCACCAGCGTGACGGGCTCTTGCTTCTTTGTCCAACCCAGCGAAGAGGGCAGTCGTTCATTCTCTGCAAAGTCCTATTAGCTCCATCGGGATCTATCGAAGAACTGCCAACCAAAGAGGCGTGGGCTTACCAAAAAAGTACTCGACCCAAGTACGATTGACCGTTCCGGCAGCCATGTCACCAAAGACAATGATGGGTGCAGCGACCTCTCCCAGACTAAAGTGCTCGGTAGTCTCGGTAAATGTATAGTTTGGGTTTTGCGACCTGGAAGTGATCTGCCGCGCCAGCTTGCCATCAGCTAGCATTTGGGCCGTGAGGACTTCATTGGTCCAATAGACTCGGGTCGTGTCGAAGATGGTCTGATTAAAGACATGATTGTTGCCAAAGAAGGCGTCAGAACGACTGGAAGATTTTCGCAAAGTTAGTCGACGAATAACGTTGTTGGAGCAGATCGCTCATATGGGGGCGAGTATGTTCTTACCTCATGCTTGCGTCATGCTCGAGAACATTGTGTCGATTCAGATGGTCGCTATAACATCATGTTAGAATGTTGAGAGTCTTTTCATATGGTATGAAACAAACGTACAGGGTGAAAAAGGTGGCATTGGGCTGCGGGTTGGCAATGACGGCTTGCTCCCACATCAATGACGCTAGATCAGGATCAAAGTTGATGCCATTACCGAGCGCGGCGACGGCGTTGGCTTTGGTAATGTTTCTTCCGTCATGAGGGAGAAAGCCATGGTTGGCCAAGGTGTTCATCATTGGGCAAGGACCGCGATCTATCAAGATTGTGTTAGTGTCGAGTGGTTTCTGGTAACTCCCATGGAATATTGAAGACCATACAATCGTTTGGTCCTGCAGGTGACCACGATGAGTAATCTCGGACTTGATAGGCATCGGCCAATGCCAAGGCAAATGCGAGGGAGAATAGGTTGGTTTTCATTTTCAAGAAAGAAATATATGCCAATCAAGATTTTGTGATATCAAAGCCAAACCAGCGTTTTTTTCTCTCTTGGTAATCGACTACAACTGTGCGTGGCTTGAAAGGGTTCATATACGATTTTGGCTGGCCTCGAGCATGTCGTTTCTCCGCCATGATTCATTTATAATACATGCTGAGCCCTCACATTCTCCTAGGTGGAGCGCGGTATGCGCTGATCGACAACTCTGCCCTCGTGTATAATACCGAGACATGGATAGAACCCAGTAATGAGGACTGAGGGCTCCACGCGAAGCATCAAAGGCCACCTGGGAGGTAACAATCTCTAGTGCCTTGGTCGTATAAATTCTAGGCAACTGCTTAATCTAAAGCTTGTTCCGTCACATCAGAGTATTAGTCCATGTTTTGTTGTTTGCTTGTGTTCGCCTGCATATCACACCACGAAGAGACTGGAACAAAAAGCAAAGGACCAATATCAATGCACCCCGACGTTGCTGCCAAGGCGTTGACATATCAAAAACTAGAATATTAGAGCGACCCCTCCGAATCCCTCCTGAAATTCATACTAGTACTTGAGCATGCAGCTTGCAGAATAAGTGGAGATACGCGTATAATCCCTGCTCAGCGACCAAGCGGATCAACGGCCGATTTGATGGCCCCGCCCAAACTGCTACCGAATGGGGGCTTAAGGAATGGAAATGCCGAGAAACTTTTGGATGGTACCTATGTAGTATGAATCGCTGCAATTACGCGTATTTATAAAGGACGTGCGTAGACACGAAGAGGGAGAAGGAAAGAAAAAGTAGGAGACCATTAGTATGGCTAGGTGAGGAGACAATATGGCCGTTTATTCGGGAAAACACAATCACACGAATTTGCTAGCTCGAAGATTAGTACTGTCATGGTGTACATTTTAAGCTTTGAACTATTCAGAATATCATGATGTTGGGACTGTACTAGCTTTACAAATTTGATATGTGTGAGCAGATGATGTAGAATGATGTATGCTTTAATTATTTCGCCAGCTTCCAAAAGCTTGTGTGCCGTGTCCTATTTTCAATATTCACCCATGACTGTGCGTGCTCTACCGTGTATCAACGTCCAACAGGCGTCAAGAACACATCTAGAGGACCCTTATTCCACAAGTTGAAGACTTTTTGTTGATTCAGCCATTCTCGGCTGTGTTCAGCGATGCGAAGGTCAAAATTCCAAAGTAATCGTGCCAGCACGAGCCGTGACTCCAAATAGGCAAGACTGTGACGCAATTAGTTTAGTAGCTGCAAAAGAGGTCGAGATATAACACAAGCAAACTGACTTTCGACCCAAACAGCCTCGAGATCCAAGGTGAAAAGGCTGGAAAGTGGCGCGGTCGTCATTCTCAAAGCCTTTTACGTCGAGGAACCGCTCGGGATGAAATCCAAAGGGATCTGTCCAGTACTTCTCTCTATGATAAATTGCGTACTGGTGTATGGAAACGACGGACTGTGAAGCAACGTGAGCACGTTGCAGGTTTGTGAGTTAATCATGGAGAATCATACCGATTCTGGAACGTGCCGACCACATATCAGGGCACCACCCTGGGGCACAACTCTAGGGAGACCAAGTGGCACCGGAGGATAGAGCCGCAGCGCCTCGTTCAAGCAAGCCATCAGGTAAGGCAGCTTGGTCACTGTCTCGTGACTAATCTCTCCCTCTGCTTGAAATGCATCTCTTACCTCGTTCGTCAAGGTTTTCAGCGCATCTGGATTTACTAGAAGAAGGAATGTCACCCCCGATAACAGTGTGGCTGTAGTTTCCGACCCGGCGATGACGAGGACACTCGCGTTTGCTTGCACTTCTTGCAATGTAATACTCTATTGTAGAGAATGAGCACAATCTAGAGACGGGGACAGGCAGAATAGCATACCTTTCCATTGACCTCTTTCAGTAGACCATCCACCAGGTCCGAACGCTCCGACTCTCTTGCGAGTCTCTTGGATAGTTTCAATTTTGCCATTTCAGCGTGTTTGCGATGCTCATCCATCATGCTTCTGGGGACCATCATCAGCATCAGCTTTTGCAACGACGACCAGTGGCTAGTGGCCTGCAGGACTGTCCCAGCGCGGGCCATTTCAAATATAGTTTTCACCCATGGATGGTAGTCGGACTTCTTAAGACAGCCAAAACTGCGGACATGTTAACTTAAGCTCTCGACTATGACCAAAGGCGCAAAGGGAGCAAGGGCGTCTCACGGTTCGCCAAACGCCAAGTCACCGATAATGTCAAATGTCGTAAAGTTGAACCAGGCCGCAAGATCCACTGGTTTCTCACTGCCAAAGCAGTGTTCATGTATTCGTTGGATGAACAAGTCGATGTATTGGTTGATGATTGGCTGCTGGGCCTGCATGCTTCGATCGCTAAAACCATGAGACATCAACCGGCGGAGGCGAGAATGCTCTTCCCGGTTCGCACTGACAACATCTACAGGTCCAAATGAGACAGGTCGGTAGAAGTGATCGTACTTTTCCATTTCGACACGGGACCCGTGATGATGACCCATGATGTCTTTCCAGGCCTGAGGGTGAGAAAAGGCGAGCTCGTTTGGGGCGATGCGAACAACATCGCCATATCTCTCGTGAAGCTCGAGCATGTCAAACGTCAATGTTCCCATGATTGACTTGTAAGAATAACCCAGCCTGCTAACTCGCATAAAGAGAGGGCCAGGGTATGCACTCAATGGGTGCATAAATAAATTGTACGTGGCATAGCCACAGAGGTAGAGCAACACCTGAAGAGTACTCAATTAGTCGTGATTCAGAGTATGAAGCAGTTGATCTGAAACGTACGAAGCCAATCCCGATGCCCCAGAACATGGCTGTGTCAAGCATCCCGAAATCTAGAACCAAGAAGTTCAGGGTGGTGTTGAGAATTGAAGGAAGTGAATGATAACATGCATTGGAATTGACAAGAAGGACGTACAAGTTATTTTGGGATATGCGGCCCCCATGGAGGGCTTGGACTATCTAGATAACCAAATCTGACTCGATACACAATCTTAGGGAGGGCCAATAGAGCGAATCAATGCCACGGCTAGATCATTGAACGAATAAAATTATACGCGTATCCCCACTTTTATCAAACATTTGGAAAATGAAAAGTCGTTGGCCGTGTGGGTATACCGGCACTAAACTCTAACCACTAAATGCGCCCGAATCGGCACTTTTACGCCTTATCCTATAGTTGGCAGTGTCGGTACTCGAATACGTCCTGCTAAAGAATATTGCCTAGAAATGTCACTGAAAGACCGAGCTTCGACGGCACAGCCGCATGGTTCAATACCAACTAACGATCGTCTTGCAACGAGTCGAATCGTGAATACGCGTTCCGCTTTCATGCTGAGAGCCGCACTGCTGCGCCTTCTTGATGATAATATCTCTTCATTCTCGATAGAGATAGTTCATATATCAACTCAATAATGACATATAAAGAGAACAAACATTGCCACGTAGCAAGTGATGAGTTCGAATAGTCAACATACAACACACAATTCACAAGCCAGACCACCAGTTCTTTCAGTCACTCACTATTCTCTTTCCTAATTCAGCAACTGCTACTCTGCACTTTCAAGATGGCACCTCTTTTCATGCACAATAACTTGTTGGAACTCCAACGGCGTGACGAGCAGGTGATGTCGAAACTCTACTTGTACGACCCCTCACTCGCCGCTGCCTGCATCTTTATTGTACTCTTTGCCTGCACGGCCGTGGCGCACCTCTTCGTTCTCTTCAAGCGTCGGACCTGGTATTTTGTACCCTTCTTGATTGGCATTGGCTGCGAAATCATTGGCTATGCCGGGCGCGCCCTGTCGGCTTCTCAGACGCCCAACTGGTCCGTATTTCCGTACGCACTGCAGTCGCTGATGCTGCTTATTGCTCCCTCCTTTCTGGCCGCCTCCATCTACGGCATGCTCGGGCGCACCATTGCCATGACCAGGGGCGAGGCCTACAGCCCCATCCCGCCCAAGAAGCTCACCAAGGTCTTTGTCACCAGCGATGTGCTGTCTTTTCTGGTGCAGAGCGGGGGTGGTGGCATACTCACCAATGCAAAGTCGCCGAGCAGCATCCAGCTAGGGGAAAAGGTCATCATTGTTGGTCTCTTTATTCAACTGATTGGGTTCATCTTCTTCATTGGTGTGACGGGGACATTCCACAAACGTATCACGCAAGGGTCGAGGACGGGTCCCGTGAGCGTAGCCGCACCATGGAGACGGCACATTTTCATCCTCTACGGAGTCAGCGCCCTCGTATTTGTGCGGTCTCTGTTTCGCGTCATTGAGTATTGTCAAGGTTACGATGGATAGTAAGTACAAATTTCACTCCTTTTTCCTGTTAGTACGGTTTCTAACTCCTTGACTTCTGCAGTCTGCAGACGACCGAGGTGTTTCTCTACGTTTTCGATGCAGCTCTCATGTTTGTCGTCACGGTCGTACTGGCCATTGACTATCCCAACGGCGAAGAGACGGGGTTTGAAGAGGTCAAGTCAGAACCAGAAGGGCCTCTGGAGCTGCGCAATCTGATACCTGGCAATGTTCACAGCATGCAACAGTGGGAGGGACCTTCTCCTACAGCTTATAGAGGGCAGAGCGCGAGAATCTAATTGGAACACTCCATGGGAGACGAATTAGCACTGGTGTGCTTGATGAAGGAACTAGCAGGAGGAAATAGAGTGATAGTTGAACACAGTTTGTGCCTCAGAGTATCAATTCAAATGTTTTCCTGAAGATTGCATGGAATGTTATGAATGGTTTCACTGCTAAAGTCCTAAATTCTAGTCTGGAGGCGCGGGCTGCAGGATTCTTGCACCGCAACAAATGCGCATCTTCTGATGCAATTGGCATGTAGTTGCGCCTGTTAAGTGACGAATTGCTTCTCACCTCTGATAGCGTAAGCACCTTGGTACGTTGCCAGATCGCAGATAATGGAACTCGTATACTCGAGTGTGCTGTAGGTAAAAGTAAAGATGGGCGGGGTCAGCAGCGGTTTCATAAATCAATCCGGCAGATTTAAATTCGTAAATCTTGCGAAAACGGCAACAGACGACTTATTGGCTCTAGTGCTCCAATTCAGGCACCAACCCCCGGTACTGGCTACTGTAACGCCCGCTGTGGAGGTAGGTGCTAGCTGGCTGTCCAGGTATCTGATCATGTGTTTCCCCGCTGAAGGCAATCAATTCTCCTGTGTCCGTCTTTCGCGTTATGCTGCTGCGCAACCTGAAGTGCCATTGAAAATGCATGTGGCTTTGTAGGCCCCTTCAAAGGGCACATTCTTCTTTTCAGCGCTCGTGTCTGTCTGGTACCTACATTCCAGCTCCCCAGGTCCTCAGTGTTCCTCTCAGTCAGGAAAGGTATCAACCACTTACCTACTACGCTACGCTTGCTATGGCGGTGCAATGCGATGACACGTTCGGGCCTGTGGTAGCCAGCAGCTGCCGCGGGGGATTCGACTTCACCTTGCTTTTCGAGCAGACCGTTTTGGGCATCCTTCCAGCTGCGATATTCGCCCTCTCTGCCGCTTCGAGACTCTTGTATCTGGTCCTCCATAGTACCGACGCCAAGACACATGCTGGCTCTCTCCGCCTTCTCAAACTTGTAGGTTCTCTACCCTGGTCCTCGCTCCAAGTCTCATGTCCAGCGCTGAAGATCTGCCACTTCAAGGTCACTGCTACCATACTTGCTGCTCTGCAAGTTGCCCTGCTCATTCTCTGGTGTAAGGCGCCACCGTTGAATCGCACAGCAGCTTCATTACCGTCGGCCGCCTTGAATCTCTTCGCCGCAGTAGAGCTGCTAGCCCTCACGTGGGTCGAAGATGTAAAGTCGGTACGACCGTCCTCGCTACTAAACATCTATCTGGTTTCCACCGTATTCTTTGACGCCGTCCAGGTCAGAACGCTGTATTTACAGAGCCCCGCTAATACCGCTCTTGCTGCTGTATTCACCTTTACCATTACCGTCAAGTTGGTGCTCCTGTTCTTAGAGGGACAGAGCAAGACTACGTCTCTCACGCCACCGTACCAAGGCCTCCCACCAGAGTCAACTAGCAGCATTATCAATCGTAGTTTTCTCTGGTGGGTCAATGACTTATTCTACAGCGGACTTCGTTCAATCCTGACCTTGGATGACCTATACGTGCTTGATGGCAAGCTAGCGTCAGCTCCTCTGCATGCTGCCATTGCGCAGGCCTGGCAGCGCCGCACAAAACCGGAGCGTCGCTTCGAGTTCCCGTGGGCAGCATGCCGTGCGTTATGGCGCCCGCTACTTCTGGTCGTCTTCCCACGCCTTTGCATGATTGGATTTACCTTTGCCCAGCCTTTCCTGATTTCGACAGCATTGGGGCTGCTGTCACAACCATCGGACCAGCAGTCGACCAACAATGGCTATGGAATTATTGGCGCAACTGCCCTGGTATACCTTGGACTGGCAGTTTCTACTCTGAACTATAATCAAAACCTTTATCGATTCGTTACCATGTTTCGTGGAGCTACCGTCAACCTCATATACCAACATGCACTATCCATTTCTTCCAATGCGTACGACGAATCTGGAGCGTTGACCTTGATGAGTACGGATATAGATAGGATAATCTTATGTCTTATCGACGTAAACGAATGTTGGGCCCGCACCATTGAGGTCATTGTCGGGATGACATTGCTGGCCCTCCAGCTTGGATGGATCTCCATTGTTCCTCTGGTGGTGGTCGTTGGTATGTACCCATATTCTGAAGCTATGAATAAGAGAAGATCTCTCGGCTAACCTTACAGTCTCTTTCTTTGGTGCTACGAGGATATCTAGTACCATTGGCGCGCGACAGAAAGTCTGGATCGATGCTGTACAGAAGCGCGTCAGCATCACTGCCTCGGTATTGGCCAGCATGAAAGCCGTCAAGATGATGGGATTGAGCAGAATTCTCACGACTCTGATTCAGGATCAAAGGGTAGAGGAGACACACCGAATGGCAAATTTTCGGTGGAGCATTGTCGCACAGAATATGGTGCAGAACCTGCCATGGTTTGTTGCTCCTGCCTTGACCTTTGTTATATACGCTGCACAGGCACACGGGCAAGGAGAACCGTCCATAAATACGACCCAAGCTTTTACCGCTTTGTCAATCATTACGCTTCTCACGGCCCCCTCTGCTAAGCTCTTGAGCGCCGTTGTTTCGACAGCCGCCAGCGTAGGCTGCTTCGACAGGATCCAAGATTTCCTCCTTGCTGCTCCCAGGCATGATCAGCGACGCGCCACAACTTGGTCAAACACCCCGATATCCATTCCGAAAACTGAAAATTTCCAAGATGGAGACATTGAAATGACTACCTTGATGCAGGATAGTCGCAACAGCGGGTCAGATCCCACAGTCGCCATTGCCGCCACATGCTTATCCGTCCGACCAACTTCTTCGGCAGAAGTAGTTTTGACCAACGCCCATTTTATCATTCCCAGAAAATCTGTCACTATGATCATTGGACCGGTCGCCTCCGGTAAGACGACCCTGCTCAGGACAGTGCTTGGTGAACTCAAACCTGAGGATGGAAGCTCCATCAGCGTTGCGAGCCGTCGGATAGCCTATGCTTCCCAGACACCTTGGCTCCCCAATACATCCATTCGAAATGCCATCGTTGGTCCGGAAGAGATGCAAGCTAAATTCGATCATAGCTGGTATTCCAAGACCCTCTTTGCCTGTGCACTGGATTGTGATATCGGCCTTCTGAAGGATGGCGATGAGACTTGTATAGGTGACGCTGGTGCTGTCCTCAGTGGCGGCCAAAAACAGCGCGTGTCACTGGCACGTGCTGTCTATTCTCGGGCCCCGATCATGCTTCTGGATGATGTGATTGCTGCCTTGGATGTGAACACCCAGGTTACTGTCATGAGCCGCCTCTTTGGAGAATCCGGGCTACTGCGGAGTTTCGATAGTACCGTTCTATTCGTAACACACTCTGGTAGGCTTCATCGTTTCTTTGAAAATTCTTTGCGGGGGTTTCGGAAAGTCTAACATAGCCTTCATAGCTCGGTTCCTTAGCTACGCGGACAAAGTTCTCATTGTGTGCGACGGACGAATTGAAGACGGTGGTTCATACGGGAATACCGTTAGCAAGGAAGTGGCACGTGTGCTCCCCTTGGCTGATGACTCAGATATACAGCCCCAAAGCGAATCGAAGACGCCGACTGCAAATGAGGCGGCTGCTCTGGTGGCAAAAGCCAACCAGCATGACGATCTCTCTAGAGCATCTGGTGATCTCAAACTGTACAGTTATTATTTCAGATCCATTGGGTTACTTTCAACTTGCACACTGGTTGGTTTTGTTATCATGAACGTTTTCTGCAACAGCTTTGGTCGTAAGTACTCCGTTGTGGTTCAGGGGAATGTCGAAAGACAACGAGATGCTAACGACGAGTAGAAATCTGGCTTAACTGGTGGACCGATGATGACGGCGGCCATATCGCACTATATATGAGCATATATCTCGCCCTGGCAGTGATGGCAGTTGTTGGAATGGGAGGTTACGTATAGTACGTCATTCTCACCAAGGTCGCCTGCATATCAGAGACTGACATGTGCATCACCGTGCCACCCTCATATTGATTGGACCTTCTACTGCGCGCAAATTTCACGAGAGGCTCTTAAATGTCGTGATGAGGTATGTTAAAAGTCTTCACGATGTTTAACAGTAGGAAACTCATAAGTGCGCAAGGGCCCCCCAATCGTTTTTCTCGGCAACAGACACCGGCTCAATATTGAACCGCTTCAGCCAAGACATGACCATCATAGAGGGCCAATTACCCACCGGTGTTCTCATTACAGTATCAAGTGTGTTGAGCTGTTAATTTCTGAAGAAAGGTTTTCTAACCATTCGTCGCAGACCTCTTCGAATGCATATCTTGCGCGGCTCTAGTTGCCACTGGCTCCTCATACATGGCCATCAGTGTGCCTCTACTCGCCGTTGCCGTTTGGGCTCTTCAGCACGTCTACCTTCGTACCTCTCGCCAGCTACGACTTTTGGATCTCGAGGCTCGAAGCCCCCTATTCACCCACTTCATGGAAAGCTTGACGGGCTTGGTCACCATTAGAGCGTTTGGCTGGGAACAAGCATTTATGGAGCAGAACTACAGAAAGCTCGATTACTCCCAAAGGCCATACTATCTGCTATATTGTATCCAAATATGGCTCAACCTTGTCTTGGATCTTATAGTCGGTGCGGAGGCCGTCCTGGTTGTTGGTCTTGCCATCTGGTTACGAAGCTCCACCAGCGTGGGCCTGCTTGGTGTATCCTTGAACAATGTTTTATGCAAGTCTGTCCAGCAACACATGTCGCCTATCTAGGGGAAGCAGAGCATTGGCTAACGTGCCTCTAAAATCTAGCCTTTAGCTCATCGCTGTCGTCGCTAGTGTCGGGATGGACAATGCTGGAAACCTCTCTCGGCTCGATCGCACGATTGCGAGACTTTGAGGCTACTGTCAAAGCAGAGGATGATGTTGAACAGACCCGTGGACTGCCCATAAACTGGCCGGAACTTGGTAGGATACAACTTCGAAATGTCACGGCTCTCTATCAGTAAGATTCTTCACCTATATTCACCTCAGAATTTTGAGGCTTCTTAGACTGTTGACCATCATACCATAGTCCCGGTGTTCTAGGAATCCAGGATGTCAGTTTGGAAATTGAGCCTGGCCAAAAGATAGGAATATGTGGACGCACAGGAAGGTTAGTGTGAAAGACTTCAAATAAGCCCACTCCGTGTTCCTTTGCAATATCATGCAAAGGCAAAGCTAACATTTCGTAGTGGTAAAAGTTCCTTCATTTCAACTCTTGTGCGGCTCCTCGACATCAATAGTGGCGCCGTCCTGATTGACAACGTCAATCTCACCACTATTTCCGGCGACACCATTCGCGAGCGCTTATTCGTCATTCCCCAAGAGTCCTTGACTTTTCCGAGCACCCTCCGCCGCAACCTTGACCCCCATAATACCGCTACCGACGCGGCCTTGACTACCGCCCTTCTCCGCGTTGGTCTGCACGATCTCCTTGCAGCTTCTCGTGGCCTCGACACGGATATCACCGCGTCGGCCTTATCCGCAGGCCAACAACAGCTTCTGGCGCTCGCACGATTGCTAGTAAAGAAGGACATGGAAATGAAAGTCAAGGATCGGGGCGTTCTGTTGTTGGACGAGGCGACTAGTCATGTAGATCAGGCTGCCGAAGAGGTGCTACAGCGGGTTGTGAGGGAAGAGTTTGCCAATTTCACCGTGATAGCGGTAGCGCATCGATTGGACACAATTTTAGAATCTGATGTCATTGTTGTCATGGATGCTGGCAGGGTAGTGGAAGTTGGGCAGCCTAGGGAGTTGATTGAGAAAGGCCAGTGGTTCGCGCGGCTTGTCAAGGCATACACTGGCGCTACAATATCTTCCCACGAATAAAGAATTGAGTCCCTTCTCATGCCAGCGACCTTCCACTACATATCAGTCACCCAAGCCGGACTCGAGACGTCAGTGGCATGGACCTGACATTATGGCTTACTTACATCGGGCAGAAAATGCGACGAACTGAGCAACCGAAAACGGACTGAAACAACGATTTGTCAATAATATATGCAGGAAATTGTACCGAGAACAGAGCCGAGAAATATGACCTTTCATCACGAATATGCTTGGCCCCAGGAGAAGATAGCCTTCAATTTTCTTGTTAATGGGAAGAGTAAAAACGGAGGCGACTATACATTAAAGAGGGAAGGGATTTTTCCGTGTCGAAGTATCTGAAGTATCTCGCTGGATCGGGCTTTAGTACAGTATAATAAATTAACGAGTGGATGTGAAAATACATTTCCTCTACGTGTTCAGTCATGTTTCATATGCATGACATGACTTTTCCTCGCTTATCTTAAGCATAGCCGTTGGCTAAATGTCCCATCGCGTGCGCTTTGAGTCGTTCAGAGTACCCGATTTAATCGAGAATCCGCAACCTCTTTAGAGATAATCCAATGCCAGCGCCGACAGGAGATGCGATATATGTCCTTCAAGCAGGACGTAGTCAATGTTGAAATGCATGCCAGCGCAAGGCCCGCTACACCTCTCCTAGCGATAATAATCTTGGATTTCTCTCTTAGAGTCATTTTCCAGAGATTACCCAAAGGTGATAAGCGACGCAAAATCGACGGGGGAAAATAAGAAGGATACTTTACTTCAGCAAAAAAGATATTGGGAACATTTCTTACCGTGCCGAAAGCAACCTATTCGGATAATTGCTCGCAACCCGACCGCGGATGAACGCAGTTAATCGGCTCCGACAGCACCGACAAGCGCCAGTTTGATTGCTCGCCACCCCTGTTTAATGGTGCCTCAGTTATGCGAGCGGAACCAAAGTTGCCCCTCCATTGTCAGCTTCGGCCACGACGGGCCACGAAAATAGCACTGGCGACCTGACGCAGCAAAGTTTCCCCGCCAATAATTCATGAATTATAGAAATTGGCGATGCCCCACGGATGATATCAAGAACCAAGTATTGCGTATGGCCCTACAACATTATCTTGGTTAGCCCTTTTATTCTTGTTATTATAAGAGAAGATATAGCTCATGAGGGTTTGGTATGCTGGGGCGCAGGATTATTCGTGCAAAATCTTAGAACTGCTTTCGAAATCGATTAAATATGCTAACTTCTCATTCCCCGATTTTATAGCTTTCATCTGTGATCACCTTCCTGAGATAATTGGGGGGCGAGGGTTCTTTAGTTACTTGCCTGCTCACTCCACGAAGTTATATTTATCTAGTCAGATGCTCACCAATCTATTCCGTAGCGTACGTTACAGCCGACCTCGGCATCACAGAGAGAGAGTATTTTGGACTCGAATGCTGCCAACTTTCCGTCATTTCTACAACACCACTCTAGTTTGAGTATAATAATGACTGTCTTGAGTCTCAATTTCATGACCAGGTAAAGCCTAAACGTTCTCAATCCCCTCTTCTTTAGTCGTAAAGAAAGTTATTCTTTGGGGTGAACCACTGGAATGGTAAGCGTAGAGTCGAATTCGCCACCGGTGTAAACAATGTGTCTGCCTACATTCTCATCGTCCGGCTCCACCTTCGTTACATCTTCCACCTCGGGGTACGACAGGTCATGGCCGGCAACCCTTAGCATGATACCCTCGCCTTTCGCAAAGACCATTCCTATAGGCCAGAGGGTGATTTCCAATTTCACCATGCTGCCTGGCTCAATAGCTTTCAACTTATCATGCTTGTAGATAATTTCTACGTCTGTAGAGTTTTCTTCGTCCTTGCTCACAATATGCGAGGCGCGAAGAAGCCCCTGAGGCCCGAGGAATTTGACGATGTTGGTGTTTGGAACCTGTTCCACGGGTACGGGGCAGGGGTAGTTGAGATGCTCGAGCAGTTCACCTTTTGCTGAGATCTTTCGAATTTGCACAACCACATCCAAGTCTCCCATCTCAGCACATGACATCCAAATGCTAACTTTGCTGTACCCGATAAGCTCGGTGTCTTTGGCGAAGTACAAGGTAAAATCCTGGACAGATGT